ACATCATCACTTGATTCGAGTTTCAAACGATAATTATTGACTGTGTTGGTCAAACTGCAGATTCACTGCTATTGGATTCAGACTCTGTAGCAAGACTTTCTGTGTGATGAAACAGCATTTGAAACTGCACCAATCGTTTGATTTCCAATAGTATGAGCATCGTCCATAATAATATCATCAGCGGTTTGTGGTTCAGCATTTACCATTATACGAATCCAGTGAATATGTTGATTGTAGGTTTGTAAACAGAAACTACAAGCCAGCAGTGACATCGTTTGCAGACTTTTGATTTTGAAAGCATTCATAATTTCTGATATGTTACTATCATACAGCAAGGCACATTGCAGTTGCTCAATTTGTCGACTTTTATTGGCAGCCTATTATGTACCAGCCACAAATCTGATATTGCAGACTTGTAGATGCTTAAAAATGGGTTTTTAAATTGACTTTTAAGTTTGAGGATTGTGAACATATGATGGCATATTGATGGTTGTCATTATTGTCAAGTGTGTTGCAGTTGATTGAAGACACAAAAGAATGAATCAATATTCGATTGTGTTGTTTATTAACAAGAAAGTGAGTGTGTTCATAAGATGGAAGAAACCAAGAAAGTCATGTGAATTCCAGTTCAAACGTCATTGTTGATGGTTTTTAATTGTTAAACTATTCAGAAATGTCTCACATTCACACACTACTAATGTCTCACACAATGCAAGTCAACACTCTCACACTAGTAATGTCTCACATTAATGAGACATTAATTCTGGTGTAAATTTGACTAATTTCCAAATATTTAAATCGTGTGAATTGTCTTGAAATATCCCAAAATTTTGTTATTTTGACTCGATTAAAAAGTCGATTTTTGTTTTACAATTTGACAAATAAATTGCTTTTTTACTCTTTTTTCTTTTGATAAAATGCCAAAACGATTCCTCAATGTTGAATATGACACTATTTCTACTGAAATCGATGTGACAGACTTTGAAGACCCGAGTGACGTTCAGGATGCTATCAAGGCAGAGTATGGTCCTGCTATGGCTGACATTGATGCTCCTCAACTCCAACTCTACACCGACAGTAACAAGGACCAACTAATCAACACCTGGGCTTTACTCGACTCTCTTCCTCAAGAATACTTTACTCAAGATGGTTCTTGTGTTGTTATTGATATTTCATCACCCACCAGGAAACCAAGCAAGAGTGCCATTTTTGATGCAGGTTCTACTTCTTTATCAACAGCAAACCATCAAGACTTTTCTCCTAAACGACAACGTACTGAACCCAATGTTTTGACAACCCAATTCAAGTCGTTTGCAAACGCCCAGCTGGTCGATGAATGTATACAGTCGACAGATCATGTCCTTTTCCCATACACCCAAGACAAAATACAAAAACTATATGTTAGAGAGTGCTATCATGATGTGTTTGGCTTGCTTTTGGATCAAATTGATTGTGGCATGGAATCATTTGCAATATCTGGAACATCAGGCATCGGAAAGTCACTGTTTTTTGTCTACATATTGCATCGCTTGATCGATGACTTTACCACGAAAACTCTGTCCTTGAAGCCAAACCGGATTGTTTATCAAGTGGGATCCTCGTACAAATGCTTTGACTTGCAGCATAAAATCGTCACAGAGCTTGGACTTGAAGTGGCCAATATTGTTTGGAAACAAGACACATTGTATATTGTTGATGGACATACGACTCCAAGATCATCATCTTGTATTGTATTGTTCATGTCATCTCCTCAGTCTGAAGGATACAAGGAGTTCGTCAAACAAAAGATGGCAAGGCAATGGTATTTTCCTGTTTGGACTTTGGACGAGTTACAGGCTTGCCGACGTCATTGCTATCCGGATGTACCCATTGAGACTATCAATGAGAGATATCGCATGTATGGTGGTGTAGCTCGTTCTGTCTTTGATATTGTATCAAATCCAATGGAGAAAGCTTTGGCTGATGTTGATGCAGTCAAAGGGGTACGAAACATTGGATTCACAATCAAAATATCTGCAAATACTCATACCTTGCTTCATACCATTGTGTCGGACGACGGACAGTACAAATTCCTGCATGTTGATATTGCTTCAAGATATGTTGGAGAACAACTCTGGCAACGTCATTCTGCTCAAATGATTACCAATCTGCAGCAAATGTTTGATGGTATTCCAACCGAGATTTCAAGACATTTGTTTGAAATATACGGACATGTGATTTTTTGTACTGGTGGACAAACTCTCAAATGCAGATGCCTGGAAGATGGTAAAGCAACAAAGATTACTTTGGATGCACTCAATGGCCAACGAATTACATTTGGAATAAATACTATCCCTACTGCAGCAGCACTTGATGGCAACTATTACGAACCGACAGATGACGATAATTTTCCAGCAATTGATTCACTCAGTCGACAGGGAATGTTCCAATTTACAGCTGTTGCTGAACATCCTATTCGCGAAGTTGATATTCTTACAAAACTGTGCAATTTGTATGATGAACCCAAACTTTATTTTGTGGTTCCACCTCACCAGTTTAAAGGGTTCAAAAAGCAGAGTTTCAAACCAATTGATGGCACAGAGCAGGTACAACCCATTCATGGATTGAAGCAATACGTTATACAACTCCCACTAATACAACCAGATTTGAAGAGTAGAAAGTGATAGTTGTATTTTACAACTGATATGACATATTTTCAACCATTCCAACCATTCCAATTATTTGATAACTCAATGTTGTTAATACAACTGGCATCATACAATTGTGTCCATTCAAGGGATTGAGATGCATTTAGCATGGAAAGTCCAAATTCAAGTTTACTATTGTAACATACGCTTTTTGACAAATAATGGCTCTGTTGACACATCCTTGTACCATCTAATCGTGTCCGATTGAAGCATCAAGTATGAGTTTGGCAGACAACTTGCAACTTTAATCAACTTGTATACGGTAAGCATTTTGATAATGTCGGCATTTGTCAGGATATCACACCTGACAACTTTGAATCGAATTTAGCAGTGATTATAGGTGAAAATACCAATCTAGCACATCAACAATTCCAAACAATTCCAGACGATCCGATTCTGATTAGTTCTAAAACCAGAACTCATATTGTAACCACAAACCAAATGCGTTCAATATCAATCACAATCATCATGGACGAATGTATCAAAGTATGTCGTCAACTTTTGAATATTTTAGCAGTCTTGCTTAAAACAAGTGGTATCATCCAGTGCACTACATATACTACTCATGGTCATTGACAACTGATTGTGTAGCAATAGTGTTAGTGTATTGTGAGCAAAGTATTGATGATGGAATAACACACATTTTGGGTATGATACTAGAAACACACAAACTTCAAATAACTGCGCAACTATATGTTCAAACTCTGCTCCAAATATATGTTGTTGTATACAGCAAACCTGGTAAAATGTTGTATTTTGTCATGGCTGCATTGTTCCGAGACATAATTCAAGGCTTGTTACAATGGGTTACTGGATTTGATATCCAATAGGTTTGATAAAAGTGTTGCAATTGACATTTATGTTTGTGGATAACAATATTTTGGAATCAACTCGTTCAATTTGGAAATCAGTTGGATTTCTTGCTGATATCAATATCAATGTCAGTTCAACTCAGTTGATTGGAGTAGCACTCGAGTGCTTGCAGTATTGACTTTGGTTCAAACGGTAATACACAGTGACACTGATTATCATTTCAGTGAAAAATGATACAGAAATGATCATTCCCAAAACAAGGAATCTGAATGACTGAAATGTAGATTGTGAGCATATGATGGCATGTTGATGGTCATCATTATTGGCAAGTAGATCAAAGGCATGAAAGAATGATCCAATAAACTAATTGCGTTGTTTATTAAAGAACGGGAAGTGTGTTTTATAATATGGGAGAGCGATGAACAATACCAGAAGGAAGGAATGTATGCGAGCCATCGTTCAAGCATCATTGTTGAGGATATCTGATTGCTATAGATCTTCCATCCGAGGTGACTGGTGATCACAACTGATGATCACATCCCAGATATATACAAAGGATTCACTCAGTGCAAATCAACAGACTTGACATCTCAACACTCTCACATTACAATGACATATGTATTAATTGACCAATGGTATTTGGTGTGTTGGGCGATGATATCAACCTGTAGTCAAGGTTTGACTATCTGAACATGTCGGTGACTTTTTACCAACTGTGTGCAACTCGATGTCCAATATCGAGTCATGTCATTGGTCAATTGATTGGTTCAATTCATCAGTGGGTTTGCTGGATCCATATGGTGTGTAGCACTTTCAAGAGTATGTTGAATCTGTTGCAGTATTGGAGCTTTGTAAACGGATCAACATACTAACCTGATCATGATTGTGGTGGTTATTGCAGTCGAGTCGTAAAGCTTATTCTGGCAATCATTGATGGTTTGGACAATCGTTTGAATAATTGTTTGGATGTCAGGTTACGGTATTCTGATTGACAACTCGACTCGGATACAACTTATTTGGACAATTACTGATCGATGGATTGGACAATGAACTAGCAATCAATCAACACATTGACAGATTTACCATCCCAAATGGAAACAACGACAATCCAGTTGTAATCCATATTGAGCCTTGAATTCAAACAGTCGTGAATCAAATCATTAATAAACTACAAAAACAGTCCAATATGCCAACTCGCATTTATCCATGACTCAATATGTGATGTTCAAATGTCTAATATTCAGACTGTACTGATTGCAATTGTGGTTGTAATTGTGGTTGTGTGTAAATATCAATCCAATACTCGATTCAATACTTGATTCAACTTGAGCATGTACAGTTTTGTAGTAATCCATTTGATCACATTGACAGAATCAAGCAATGATCTGATTCAACAACACCGAATGATGCATCCATATCACTTGTATCAATCAATTGTACAATCAGTCAATATAATCAACAGTCACTGTCATGATTGACATGATTGATTCAATTCATTCAATTTATTCGATCCATTTAATTGCATAGATCTGACTGACATTGCAACTCATTGTTGTATAAATCACAACCTCACAATCAATTATCAATGATCAAGATTATACTTCTGTTCATATATGTATTCGTTGTATGCTCTTGTGATTTGAGTTCGGTCACTTGTCAATTCATCTCGATAGTGTTTGGCCTCAGCTGGTGATTGAACACCTTGAATATACTGCGTGGCATCATTCCACAGTTCAGGCGGTATGGGTGTCTTGTCAAGACTCGAGTTGTACCATTGTGGTTGTTGCGGAGCCACATGCGCAGTCGAAACAATCCGACGAGATGGATTCACTACAAAAAATGTCAAAATCTTGCAATGTCCTGGTTGAGTTGGATCTGCAAGTTCAAATGATTGTTCTTTGTGTTGATATCGATTGGGATAAACTACACATCGACCATTTGATGCTTCAAGCGATCCTATATACTGATTCTGTGGTGATTCTCGATCAATTCCATACACATCTTCCCAATACATATTAGATGCTATTTGGTATTCAAACCGATCAACAGCCACGCGGAAATCGAGTTTGGGTGTGGTGATATTTTCCACGTCGTAGTAATACAGTCCAATCGCAACAATCGATTCGTTAATTGGACCTTCAATGTTCCAGTTTCCCTCGTCGTATTTAGGTTTGGATGGTGTCAGTTGAATGTTGGTGAGTTTGACAATGACTTGTAGATTACGACCACGCAGTGACACTGGTTTTGCTGATTCATAATCGGGTTCAAAATGTTCCGGAAGTGTTGGTACATACACGGGACGAGTGACTTGAGTGTCTGGTTCCATATCATCATGATCTGATTGGCTTGGTGGTTCATATCCCTTTGTGCGATTGCAAATATCAATATACTTGAACACTGGATGTATCGTTCTGAACAGACTTTCAAACATTGGGACAAAACATTTGAATATTTTGGCAATGCACTTGTACATGTCTCGATGCCATATCGGATTCAGATTGTTGATGTATGAGTTGATGGTCACACTGCCATCCTGTTCGACACGAAATTCACTCGGAAGCCATTGGAACTTGCGTGATATAAACTCGAAATCGCCTTCAATGATGGGCGTATCTGAAACAAGTCGAGTCGATAACAATATATCGCATGGTACCATTGTGGTGTATTTGAGTCGTATATTCAGTGGTGAAATCATCGTTTGTCCATATACAACACTGTACATTGATGCATCAATCAGATTGTGCACCATTTGACCAGTGTTGTGATTTGATCCATGTTCAATATCCGATACATTTGTCATCAATCGCGTGTATATATTGTCAGGTATGCCATTGTCCAGTATATACGTCAGTTCAACAGGTCCTGGGACAATTGTGCCCAATCCATCACTGCCACTACAAACAAGCTGTTTGACAAAAAACTCGAGTTGTTCCAATGCAAGATTAAATGTTGATGGCAATATATTCTGATCGAGTGAGTCAGCCCTCCATTGCTCCACAATATGCTGGTTTGTGATATCGATCCACCACATGGGTTTGCAAAGTATAGATTGCAAATACTGGATATACCGTATTTCGACAAGTGTGCGTGCCTTTCCATGTGCATACCCAGCCATTCCAGAACTCATATCAATTTTGGCATTGTCGTTGTATGGCTGAATATCCGAGCTAGCAGTGTAAGCCCGATGCTGGAAACACGTTTCAATGATTTGACCAGCAATCCTCTTGTTTCTGTAGTCGGTATCATCCGATTTTACAATAGCCGTTAGATTTTCAAGTATCCCGCCTTGATCCAACTCGGTACGTATTGAACTGTCGGAATGATTGTCGGCAAGATCAACAAGTATTTTGAGTAGTTTTACAATACTAGTGTCACCACTATCATAACCATACAAGCGTATATTTCTACGTGAAAGAATAGTGTTGAGTTGCTTCACAATTCCATAGTCTTGAAACGCCTTGATCATCTCGGCCTTGTTTGTAGATTTCTCAATCATGTTGTTGACATAATCAAACATGCGCAAAGAGTAACCCATACTGAGATTGCACATCGATATCGTCAATTGCTCAAAAACCAACGATCGTACAAGCGATACAGGAAAGTCGCGCATATTGGATGCAGCAGTTCCTGCTACCTTGATTATGCGTGTTTTTAGTTCAGAGTCGTTGCTGTATTTGATACACAAGTCGTTCAGTATTTGAATTAAACCCGACCTTATAAACTCGGCTGAAATCACTTCACAATCTGCATAGTTGCAAAAACTCTGAATAGTATCAATACTTTCATAAATCACTTCTTGATCGACACTCCTGTATTCATGTCATGTCAATCCAACCATATCAAATTTACCAATTGTGATGACTGGACACACATTCATGCATAACACCACATACCTGAGCGTATTGACCAGTGCTGGAATGATGCCACATTCCACTGCTTTTACTGGCTTATGGTAATAAATATTTAAAAATATGGTTTGAAGATTTCTGATAAGACCAACAGCAACTGAACCATTGGATGATTCCAGTCGTGAGACAAGTCTTGATACCACGATGCTAAACTAATGATATTGTTCAATGTCAAGTATACAATCAGATCAACATGACAAGACACTGACCAAACTGATCCAATATTGTATCATTGTAAACATACATTTTCATCGTCAATATCATGACAAGCTTTCAAAAACAGGCCAATCGCCAATGTGAGCACTTGTTGATCAGACTCGTGAACAATAATCTCAACCATAGGCTTGATGTCAAATCCATCCTCCTCACTCCAGCGTTTATATTTGTACAACTCTGTATGTGCGTTTATCGCCTATATGCATATCGACACTAGATGAGTTGAATGTCAATCATTTGGTCAATATCAATCATGACTTGCCATCATTTTGACTTGACGGTTTGATGATTGCATGAGTTGTGAGAGTTGGTTGTTTAATCGATGTGATACTTTGAAATGATAATCACTATGTACAATACCCAAAAATGCTGTAGTAAACTTCATTACTTTGATCTACAACACATGTTGATTAGTTTAGTCATGAACAATCCATTATTGTTATAATATATGAATACCTGTAAACTGGGTTGATTATACTCCAAATGCTCGGTTATGATATCTTCCAGTCCAATCCTCTGTAAGCGCTGCACTGCATATGTAGACTCTACCATTTCAAACCAACACAAAGTCAGCAACAGTTTGAATTCATCAATAACACAATGGCTATTAAGCTTACTGTAATCATATTCTTTCAGCTCCAATAGCAATACAAGCAGTCTGTCCCATATTTCATCAGCCTTGTATAGTTGAGCATCTGTTGTTAACAGTTTCAAATCTTCCATATGTTTGATCAACTCTTTCATGATATCATCCAACTCCATGTTTGATAAAATTAGTAAAGTTGAATTTTGATGACAATTTCATTTATGCGAATGTCCAACAATTACCAATTGTTTGTTTGGATTGTTAAACATTGATAGTGTATGTACTTGTATATGATTTGGAGTGTTTGAATGTGCAGTCTGTTGACTTGCATTGTGTGAGACATTACTAGTGTGTGAATGTGAGACATTTCTGAATAGTTTAACAATCAAAAACCATCAACAATGACGTTTGAACTGGGATTCACATGGCTTTCTTGGTTTCTTCCATTTTATAAACACACTCACTTTCTTGTTAATAAACAACACAATCGAATATTGATTCATTCTTTTGTGTCTTCAATCAACTGTAACACACTTGACAATAATGACAACCATCAATATGCCATCATATGTCCACGATCTTCAAGAAATGTGTTGCGCAAAATGGTCCCAATTGTCCAACTTGTAGCACTAGTTCAACGTTGTTTAATAATCAACTTGACAATCAACTTGAATTCAAAGCTGTAAATATTCTTGTTGTTCGATCAAGATATTGCAGTGTGACGCTGATTTTCATTTAAAGGATTGTGAGTATTCACCACACAAATGTCTTTTGTTCTAGTATTGCTACATGTGATGCGTATACAGAGCATCTTAAACAAGAATGTCTTGACTTGTAACACAACGAAATGAAATGGTTACAAACTACTGGAAAATAAACTTCGAGATCAATCAACTTGACATTTCAAAAGCTTCATCGTTTGGTTTCCAAATCAATCTTTTGGATCTCCAATTAAACTTTGCTATTATAAAAAATGATAATTTTATTGTCAACAACCAAAACCGCTGGTTGGTACTTTGCATCCATTCAAATAAAAGAGCGTGTATAGATATTTATACTGCATTCATACGACAACAAGTTTACAAAAGTATTGTTATTACAAACCTAACATGTTGTCATTCAGTCAAATATACACATCAGATTGCAGAATTACCAACACCATCACTATGTACATTAGTCGTTGGCGTTGTATCCCTTCCGAGAATTCGTTTGTTTGACTTTGGTGATCTCAATGATTTAAAGTGATTACTTTGCCAATGCAGTTGTTGCATAAAATATTCAATAGTTTGGTTTGGAGTCGCTGTTGACCAACCATCATAGAGTGTAACAGTTGATGAAAATATTGATGCTCAAACAAAGAACCAGAAACTTCAATAAACCATTGCTTTCAAATTGTAAAAAAATGATAGTCATGTACAAGTTGTTATATTGCGATTCAAGTATGTTGTAAATCTTGTCTGAATAATTGTTTCAAATTACTATAAACCACTGTATGGAGTTTATGAAAATTTAAAAAGCGGAATCGCATTTTCAGAATACTTCTCAAGACTAGAATGCTTAACTATATAGTTTGTCAAGTTTAGAGTTACTCGAAAAAAATTGTGATTTGGTGTCAAACGTTTTCAAGAACATGCTCAATTAAGTATTTGGTGATTGATATGCCATAATATCATTAATGCAATTCAAACTTGTATTGAAATAACAAGATCTTGACGGTATAAAATAAAATGCGCTTTATTAGTATCGCAATATTGACTCTGTCAAGCAAATGACAGTTAGATTTAATGTGAAGTGCATTAGGCTGAAATTAGTATCAACTATTATGTTCAAGCTCAACGCTAAGCTTGCGTTTCCATAAGACCTGATCTGCCCAGTATGATTCAAGTCCTTTTCGAGCAAATACTTTTCCCTGTTTTATCGATTGAAGATCTTTCTCAAGTCTAAAAAATATCAACATACATAATGAGCCCGAATGTTTGTAAATTCAAACCAACTAGATAGAATTGCTAAATTTAAAACCGCCCAAACATACTCTTTTCGTGATATTGCAAGACGATCCAAAGAGTGTCGTTTTTCAATTTCAGTAACTTTATGAGCATACTCGCGTCTTTGGCGCACAATTGCCATCTGCTCTTGATATAGTTGCTTTGCCTTTTCTTTCTGATACAAAACCATTAAACTTTCGCTTCTTGCAAATGGATTATCAAAAACCACATTTTCTAATGGGTCTTTGTCGGACTGGCGTAACCGAATTTGCTCTGATAGTGCTTTTTGTTGAGCCATGCAGCGTTTAGATTTTTCCAAATGATTTTGAAGCTCGGCTGCTTTAATCCTGCATGAATTTGCATATATTTTACAGAGATTAGCACAGTGCCATTTATTTAAGAGAATCGAGCATGGGTCTATCCAAATCACATACTCTTTAATAAGAGTATCGTTGCTAATTCGATCCTCCAATTCTTGTTGAGCATGCAAATCCAATAATCGAGCCTGCTTGGATTCCAGCTATATATTTGGTAAGTTTGATGATCTGCCAATATACATTCAAATGATTTGACAATCAAAACTATTAGTGCTATAGTATATACCTGTTGTTTAAGATCTAAAGCAAGAGTTTGCTGAAGTAGAATTGGGTCTCGTTTGACTTCGCGATTTTCAAACAGATTGCCTACTGGAAGAGTCACTCGTTGATAAAATTCTTGACGTTTTTCCATAGCTTTCAGGTGATTATAATGAGCAGTACTAATTGCATTCTTCAATTTTGTGCGCTCCGCATCCTATGATTATTATTAGAAACGTGCATGAATGAATAACGTAAATACTTGTTATGTAGTTGCATCTAATTCATGTGTAATACCTTTTTTGTTTTGATGAAATCTTTATCAAGTTCAAGAGATAAGTGTAGTAGCATTCTATCATGCTCCTGTTCAGTTTGTCTTTGAATGTCACGGTTTTTTTCAAACGAGATTTGTTTTGTGCGACAGATTGGACATTTGTGGTTTGTCCAGAGTCTATTTCCCGAGTGGCTATGTGTATGAGTCAACACTAACATGGCGTATGTTAATACAATTTTAAAATAGTTGTTGGAAATCTACAGGTTTACCATTTCTTGAATCAATTGAAAATGTCTTGTCAATAAGCTCTTCCAATTTTTTCAACTTGCACGCAGCCTCATCAAGCTCATCAGTAGCTGCAGAAATATCAGTATTTGGAAACGTTTCATTGTCTGTATAAATTAATTACATCAAAAGTCGTGTTGAATAAACCTAAACAGAATTCAGCAATTATCCTATACAAAAGGCATGATAACAAACCACAAGACTCTGTCTGTTGATTATGAGCGTTGATGGCACCATTGATGGGGTATTCTGACTTTCCAGCCAAGTTGTCATATGAGGATGGTGTTTCAATTGATAATGTATTGGCAGCAGCTATTCCCGCGTTTACTGGCTGTGAGGCTTCGTTCACTGTAGTCATTTCTAACGTGCGCAACTTTGATGCCTCTGGTAGATCTGACTGAGGTCTACTTGTACCAGATAGCATTGAAATCGCATTGTTTTCTGATGTATCTACTTGGCTAGATAATGGTAGAGTGGATTGCACCAAAGAATTGGATGATGGATCCAGACTGCGTGTCTCGGTAGGAGAATGTCTGCCTGGGAGTATGGGCTCAAGCTTTGGTTGGCTACCAGAAGCCATAGCATTTAGATTTTGATGTGGGGAGCATCTATAAAGTAGTTTCTATGAAAATTAGGGTTGAATTGAAACCAAAGCTATCAAGCAAACTGGAATCATGGGCAACATTTACGTTGAGTTTAAATGGCTCTCAGTTTTGTCGTCATTAAGTGTTTTGAGAATTCCTTGAGAAAATCTACAGAAACAAAATGAGCAATCTATAATTTCAATAATAAATCCCTGTAAACCTATTGGTTACCGAAATTTGATACTGTGGCTTTGCATGCTCATCCGACCAAGCTGACCAAATGCAAGATTTACAGTAGATCCTCGCTTGAGCACTTTAAAAAGTCCATGAACTATATCTTTTAAACCTGCCTCAATAAGATCTCTCTGAAAACCAGTTAGCTGCGCGACCAAGGAGAAATTCATAGACTCTGCAACACAGGAACCTAGATTACAATGTTGAGAATCAGAGTAGAGCAAAAAAGAATCAGTAGAAATTTATGGATTATAGCGGTATGAGATCAAGATAAACATGTTCAATGGAATTTAGACATATATTATACCTGTTGAAGCGATTTGATTCAATCGAAGTCCTGTAATCTTGTTCCATGATCGTGATGGAGAAAAGTAGACATGATATCCAGGCGATTCAATATTTTTTTTAATAAAAAAGCCTCCAATGCCAGGAATATTCGTAGACTGTGATCCGATTTAGTTAGTATTACAATCTTGCTATAATAGATTAAAAAGCCATTATGTGCTAGTTTCCAACCAACCTTTTTGATGATAAGCTGACCAGTGATATACCGAGACATGCCTTTCCATAGATCACAAAGCTCTAATCATTAGATATGCGTTAGTTGTTACGACATGCATAGCATGGAAATATGGTAGTGAAAATCAATATTATGTTCGAGGTTTACCTAAATGAGATAGTTCTGAAAAGCGCTTATTTTTGGAAATTGATTCACAGACTACCTTGATCACATCGTCTAAATCAAGTATGTCCATATTATCTATTTTAATGCGCAAGGTGCACTTTTGATGAGCATCTGATGTTTATATTCAAGATTGGCTTTCGAGAGGGTTTCTACCTACTTGAGCCAGAGAAATGTGTATGCTTGTAATAGACGATTTACTATAGCGTGGGTTTTTCAAAAAAGAACCAGGAAATGTAATTGGATGATTTTGTGTAAAGTAAAAAATCACAATAGCAGGTGTGGAGGGTGCTGCAATAAGGTTAGAAAGCTAATTTTTGTGGATGGCAATTTCGCGTGATGATTGATAATATCCACCTTGTAGTCTACTTTACTGAAAAGCAGAGTATACGCAGCGCTTTAAACATGTAGGCACCATAAATGCGTGTGTACACGAGTCGGTTGCATCGATCCGGTAGTGAGAAAGATCTTGTCACCATGGTTTTAATATAAGATTGTATAGCAAGATGACCAACAATTGGCACTATTAGCAAGATTTCATCTCTGTCCAGCACACTGTCTGGTTGGACAGGATTCGAGCAAGTCGGGTTTTTAGTAGCGAGTCTTGCCGATTTTTCAACTTTTTAAAACTTTGATTAAAATCTATCCAAGTACAATGGCTTCAATAGGGAGTGACATAAAACAGGATTTAACAAAGTATAATGAGAAGCCTTCAACAATGATGCTTCTTCGGATAAAGCGCAAGAGAAACGAAGACCCTATTGATACACTGCTTGTTGCACACTCGGGCAAAGATAAGCGACTCAAAGCAGTAGCAGGTATTTGTCCAGGTTGAATTTATGGATACGGTTTACATGATTCAAAAGAATGTAGACTGTTCAGAGTAGAGTTGGATAAGCAAGTCATTGTACTTGAATACTGACTTGTGTTTTGTAGATGCTCGAGTCTTTAAACTATTGGATTCAGTCGAGTCGGATCATCTTGATTTAAAACAGTCTACGACGAATGACTCTACCCCACTAACGGTATGTTTATACGCTTGTGTTCAATACACTTTCTTAGGTTGAAGAGTCCTAATAGGTGCTGTAATGATCAGAACACCATCGAGAGGCTTGCATCAAGGTTACGAAACTCTCCAAAACATGCTAGTGTATCGGCTTTGGATCGCAGAAAAGAAGTCTTGGTATCATCTAAGTTGGCCGAGGCCAAAGCTGCTCGCTACCGAATTGTTGAACAGAATAGAAAGTCATTTATGAATGGCACCTTGAATGTAAGAAATGGTTCTTACTAGCTGCTCATAATAATATTGATATTTATTTTTGAAATTTTAGGTGATTGATATTCATAAAGACACTGATGAGTGAGGACTATTTGCATGCAATATATCCAAGTTTGCTTTTGTTCAACCATGTTTAAAGTTCTAATAACTAGTATTAATCTATATATAGTAACATGCGCGATGAGATAGTTTGCAACTTATTGCCTATGGTTAGAGAGTATTTAAACCTTTCCGAAGGATCAGAAGCAGCAAAGTCTGCCAATATTCCTTTACAGGCAGACTATACAGTCCAGGAAGATGATGTATACGATCTGTACTATTACGATGAGGGAGGTCGTGTCGGCACTGCTCTTCAGTCCAGCAAAGTGGCAACTTTGTAAGTACAATTTCTTTTACAATCTTTTTGTTCTTGTTACAGCCATTTATAAAACAAAACACGATTCTGCAGTCTGCTTTGTGAGACAGTGGTTGAATTCCACTGCGTTTCCTATTACAAATTGACTTTAGACATTCTCAACTCAGACAGCGTCCATCATGACACAAACTATAGTTTTGAATTGAAACCATCTTTTTTGAATTTGCTATACAAAAATGAGGAGACTGGCACCAACCGTTTGCGTTTGATGAGACTGGAGGTTTATTATGCATTCTGTTATTTACTCTGCGTTTTATTTTATGTGAATACTATTGTAACATATGATGACGATCCGTGACATATTTCAGAGGGGTGGAAAACGGAGATCTTTTAGACCTTTTTACAAACGATGACCATTCCGAGTCCGATACTGATTTAGACTCGCAAGACTCAAATGGTAGCGTGTTTTCACTAAAGTATTTGTTTCCTATAGTTTTGTGCATATTCTAACCTCAACCCTTTAGCTGAAGACTACTATGCCAACGACTATCCAGACGAAGACGAGGGCTTGCACTATGAAGATACTGCAAGCGATGATGAGGATAGTGACAATGAATTTTATGACGAGTACAGTGTCAGAGACAGGTGGAATGCCCACGAACTACCTAGCGATGATTTGTAAAATCATTTTTGCACTAACTAGATTATGATAAGCTAGAGCCAAACGTATCTACTGTTGAAATGAATTATGCTATTTTTAGTAATTAATTTCGGGGGGTTTCACGAGAATCATCATAATCGTTGCGCTTTCTTCTGTTCTCAGAGGAGCGTTTGTCCAACCTATCATCCGTAGAATGCTGTTCGCGGACACGCCTTGACGAGTGATCTGAGCGATGGGATTTGATTGAACGAGATGACTTTTCTTTTTTGTGAACCTTGTCCTTTTTATGCTTTTTATCCTTCTTGTCACGCTTGTTTTTAAACTCCAAATGAACATCCGAGGTCAAAGAGTGAGATGGCTGCGTAAATGTTTTGCCATTTCTAGCTTCTTTGACAGATCCGCCATCAACTGGTGCTGATGCCAATGAGCCACTGCTGATATTTGTAGAATCGAGCACCAATGTGCTGCGAGCCAGTCCTTGCATGCCAGATCTATTGTTGCGTCAATATTTCAACTTAATATTGAGATATACTTTGCTGACTATATACCTAGTCTGCAGATGTTAATCAGAGATGGTTAAACTATAATCAACTTACCCTCCAAAGCCAATTCCGGAAATCTTGTCCTCAACATCTGCACTTGGTCCTAGGTCTTTTGGAATGATTCGCTGGAGTTCTTGTCGGGACATGTGGAGTTCTTTTTTCCGGTAGACCCGGCCTCCCAAAGCCTCTGTCAAAGCCTCCTCTTCCAACCGCTTGATCTCTGCTAGCTCACTCTGTTGTACCTCTGCAGAGTTTGGGTCAGAGTTTCTACTGTACCAGTCCAAGGCTATATGTAAAGAAAATGTATTTTTAGAATAGCAATATTAGGAATTAAGCTACCCTATCAGATAAAACTGAGTCTGAAATAAACCCACGACTGTGACTAAACCTTTGTTATTTTGCCATCTGATAACATGCACATATAATAATGACAATTTAAAAAGCGTCAGCAACAATTCATAGTTTGATCCCAAAGCAATCCATCACAAAGTATCCAAACTTTTGTATCATATTTCTACTGAAAATATATACTGAGATAAAGGTTGAAACTTGCCTTCCAACCGACGCTTTCACCGAATTACCAAGATAGTTTTCTCGATGCTTGTCATCCTTGACATCTAGCTTCAAAAGTTCAAATTAGTATTATTGCATAAACCAATATAGTATTATCATGTATATCAACAAGACAGCCACCCACCATCCCATTTAAACAGTCCTTGTCCTCCTCTGTTTCCTTCTCGAATGGGATGGAACATCAAAAGTTTGTTTAAAAAAGTTGAAGTTTCTTCCCAAGCCAAAAAATCATCCAAGTATATGGTCATGTGATGACAGTAATATTATAGCATATTTATTGAAATTGGCCCAACATGGCAATGTATCAGCAATGAATAGACTGTTTCTGGTGCTGTCTTGGAAAAACATGATTCAATTGTTCCAAGTCTTATATTTCAAATGATGAGCAGGTTTAACAAGGTAGTTAGTTGGAAGATTTAAATGTTTTCGACTTTGATCCTGATTTGCGGTGAATCCGAGATCGAATTGGCTTGTTCTACAGAAAGTTGATTGTAAACATTTAAACAATTTCAATATCAATATCAATTTGCACTGTCGTCGTATTGACGTAAAATGGACAACTAAACAGGGATGCCAAAACGTATAATAAACAGCCAATCTTATGGAATGACTGATAGAATTCACTGAACAGTATTGGTGTTGAGCATGAAAACAGCTACATTCCCAAGACATACAATCATTGTTCTTTTGAACTAGAGCGCAAATGTACAAGATTCCAAGATACAACAGATACGAGTTTTTTGAAAACAATCAAACCCAATATCTGAATTGCAATGAATGTTTCTGGTGATCATATAATGCATGACTAAAAAAGAAAAAGGATATGGCTTGATTGTGTGTGCATCATATGATGAGCATTGTGTTTAAAAGAATTGAGAATGCCCATTAAAGCCAATTTTTAGTAGGGAATATTCAACCATTGTCTATTGCAAAAGAGAGGCAGTCACAGAGATACAAGTATTCCATTTACGTGAATATGATTAATAAAATCAACGTACCCTTTTTGTTACAATTTCACCAAAGGGTGAGTAGACCTCTTGAGGACGAGATTGCTTGTGAGTGGTAGCAGAGCTAGCTTCATTTACACTGTAATCAAAGGGAGTAAATGCTTGCTTAACATCATCAGTCTCAACTGCACTCTTTCTTTGTCTTTTGTTGGTCTTGTTAGGTTTTGAACGAGCCACTGTTAGTGTATCCACATTTGCAATATCCAGGGTGTGATCATCTACGTTGGGTGCTGGTGCATCAGATTCAATTGGATCAGTTTTGGGATCAGACGAATCAACTGTAGCAGTCACAACTGCAGCTTTCAATGAAGGGGTGTCCGGTTCAAAAGGTTTTTTGGGAGTTGCTTCTGTATATGCAGGCGATTGCAAAACAAGCCGCGAACGGATTCTAGCTGCGTGATCTATAGCCAATGCGGACTGGCTGGATAGATTACCAACATCAACTGGCTTGGAAGTAAACAGACGCGAATTTTTTGTAGCATGTACAAGAATTGAGCCATGAGATCGTTTTTCGCAAGATAATTGTAAATGTGTATTCATAGGACATAAAGTAGACGATTCTGGGCAAGTAAGATCTATGTTGCTAGCAGTATTATCAGACTTGGCATCTGATTTTGCCAAAGAAGTCTGTGGATAGATGGTTTGTTTAGTAACAGTATCGTCAAATCGAATATGCACAGGTGCTGCAGCAGTATCAGATTCGCTAGTAGCTTGAGATAAGATATTTTTTGCCGCATTGTTTTTCATCGTAGTTAGTTGTCGCACGGTGTTCACAGTTTGAAAAATAAGATGAGCAAGCTCTTTGGAGTAGAGACGGACAAGCGATGGAGTTGGGGAGCAGCATGCAACAACAGCGGGTCCATCTGTGGGCATTACTCGAGACAGAGTTTGCAACATGTGGTTGGGAAGAACAAATCGTAAGGACTCGTCTTCTTTTCGAGCAATACGATCCCTCCATTCATGGATGGCCTTGAATACTGCCAAATTCTCCTCATTGAATGAAATTTTGAGTCGATTAAGCAATGACCTCCACCCATTTGGGCTTAGACCATCCTTACAGTAAGGCGCTTTTTGATAAGTGTTCAAGGAGGTTAATCCAGAACGCTCTAAAGTAACATGCATTAGATTGTGAGTTTCGGGATTCGACTTGTTCAGCAGTTCGTTTCGCATTCGGTCAAAAATGTAAAGCAAATAGTGCGTATCCATGCGAGCATAATGAACCATTTCTTTTGGAAGGGGACTGAGAAGCGTGCCATTTGAGATCGATAGTACATATAGTAGTGTTAATACATACACGACGGATCTCTGTCAAAATACAGACTTTGGTGCCCAAATATTCAGTCACTTACCGTATACGCCAATCAGCCAATTGATATCTTTTGTCAGTAACTACATCACAATAATACTTGAGGAGAAAGGCTAAACTATGGCCCTCTAGCTCCAATGCATGGGATGCGTGATATGTATCAAAAAGATCAACTACATAAACGCCAAAATCTCTTTGAAGCCATTGAATATCCATTTCTGCACCATGAAACACCTAAAATTATCATCATGGCGTTAGCATATAATTGACAACACATCTATTTGAGAGTATTTCATTTCACTCAAGCCCACACCTTTACTATCTGAGGATTTGCAAAGCTTGTATTCAATGCATGCAGCGAGTTTCGAAGAATCAAGGTATCCACTAAAAAGTCTTCAGTTCTTGTCGAAATCTGCATTAAACATGTAAATCCCTGGTAGGATCTAAAATCATGATGCTATTCACGATACATTTGTTAAATATGGACAGAGAATATATACAATCACAGTCAATGGACATTCCAACATTGTATACACATTGATAATAGTACCTCCAAGTCGACTGCAAATTCTGTAACACCTTCTAGGATACTGCACAGTGTTTCGAGTTTGTCTGGTGTGTCAATCCATGTAAGCGGAGTGGACTCCAAGGATCGATAGATCTCTTCGGGATGCTGTTTAAAGTATACCACAGGGTACTGAATAGTTTCAATTTCAGATCGATAAGGATGCTGCACACTTGATAAGAGCATTTACAATGTCAGCACGGCTAAAAGTCACCAAACATTGAATATACAGAGATAATAAATCGCAGTAAATACAGCATACCAATAAAGTTGATTTTCATGACTATCCACAGAGTCTTCGGATTGAAATTTTAAATTGGAAGAACTGATTGGTGCCTTGACCAAGGTCAAATCAAGCGGGATTTTTGCATGAGGTTTATATTGAATTCGAGGAATAAATGGAGCAAATGAATTGTCGATTTTATCTTGAAAACCAAGTTGAGGACGATGATTTCCATAGGCTTTTGGTAAAGCAAATGAACTTGTAGAGTTTCCACTTGGATTGGTTGAGATTGTATTGGAGGCAGACTCGAGTATACTTTTGGGAGTCTTTTTAAGAGTATCCAAATAAACATCCTAAAATTCAAATATGTAATGAATAAAGTTAGAGTCCATTGTATGTGGTGCATCATCAATCTAGTAGAATAGCAGATTAGTTTGCTCTTCAAAAATCGAAAAAACATACCGTTTTCTCCAACAAATCGTCAATCACATCTACAATCAAATCAAATCGATCAATGACATCTTCTCCCGAGAGTTGAGGTTTTTTAGCATGCATTGGGTCATCTTCAGAGGGCAGAGCAGAAAGACGTGCATATGCAGTTGTCTGTTTCAATGCACTTAGTAGTGCATTTGAAGTTGCATCTATCGAGTTTGCAATGGAATTTGAGGATGACCTAAGAAACATAACATCTGCTGGATTAACAAACTGGGAGGCCTTGGTTAAACGAGCCAGTGAGCTCAGAAGATCCTGTTGTTTTTTAGCAAAGTCTTCATTGTCAGACCCCATAATGTTACTGATTGCAGAGTTGGGTCAACTTTTTTCCAGCAATTTTTCCAAAAACTTCAGCCAGCAATAAAAAAATAAAAGATGCAAACGCTTGTCTGATTTGTGTAGATAACATTGCACTATTCTTGACTTTAGTTGAAAGGTCAAACTCACTGTTTTCATACTGAATTGGCAGACTGATGACATTCTATACACTCGAGTTTGAGTGATTTGCCAGAATTCATTTCAACAATTCGAGAATATCGAGATTACAATTGTTCAAACACGAAATCAAGTTTATTCTCGACTATCAACTGTGTTTTTGATTCTTAAACACCAAGAATATCCATTAAACTCAATTGTTGTTTATAATATGCAACAGGCTATTCAACTCGCTGAATCTGCCAGTTTTGCAAAAAATCATGCTTACCTTTCTATTCCATTTGATACCAAACAGCCACAGTCCAAGCTAGTTTCAATAGTGCCTGCCATCTCCAAAAAAAATACCTTTGGTCAGTTGAATCGTGACCATTGCAAGTTTTCTTCGTCTATATGTCCATTGCTAGATTCTTCAAGTCTTTCTACAATTCACACGGATTCTACCATGTCTTTCAACCATGCAAAAAACCCTATTACTGTCGAGGAAACAAAACGTCTTTCATCATTTGATTTTTCTACTTCAAATACACAGTCCATCTCATTTGGATTTGCTTCATCTATTAATATTTTGCAGTTGCAATCGCCAGAATCTAATTGGAAAGTGCGGCTTGTAGCAATGGAATCAATTCTCGCCTCAACCCAGCTTATTCATGTAGATACATTTTTACCTCATATTCAAGCATTTATTGAATTTGTGATTCCCTCACTGTGTGACGACAATTTCAAGGTCATTCTTACTACGCTTTATGTCATTGAGCAAATGTTAAAGGTGGTCGGTGCAAATATTCAAGCCGCAGTTTCAAAGCTATCGGTATCTCTAGCACACTTACTAACTGATACTAGAGCTATAATCCGTCAAACCTGCAGAAAACTGTTGATTGAATTAATGCGTGCAACCTACCCCATGTTCGTGTATGAGTGTATCTTGCCACTTTTGAGTGATAATAACCCGCGAGTCAGAGAAGAAATCATCACAATGCTGATTATATCGCTTTTTACATTTCCAAATCAAGATTTAAATATTCCATTCTTGGCACAGTGTTTAGCACCCGTTTTCAAAAATGCCCAAGCAAAAGTCAGGTTTGTTGCTGTAGAAGCATGTGCGGTTCTTGCCAGCAAATCCAGCCAATCGCTAATTATCTTGGCATTAAGTACTCATGGTGTTGATCCTGATTCGCTCCAGCTACTTGAAATGCGATTTTTAGACAAACAACTACCCTTTTTAACGAGCGATGGAACAGTTAAACATATATTTTCACAAAATTGTTTAGGTACTGCAGACCGTAATCCGTTGAATAAGATCGATCAGATCATTTCAAATGATTTTGTGCAGAAAAAATCAGAGTCTGATATACCATGTTACAAAATCTCAAGACTGAGTGAATCCCCAGTTAAATCAAGTCATTTTCCAATCAAGGAGCTACCGTATAATCAAAATGAACAAAAGGCTGATCACATTACGTCACGTATTTTTTTTGACAATCAAGAATATAAATATCCACAGAATCAAGGTAATTTCCAGTTCATTGTCTTGAAATATACTCTGGGCGTGTCGAGTAAATTGATCATGCGTACCAATTGCTTACCTTATCGTGCACATTTTCAAACTAAATCATTGCCTTTCATATAACAGCCTTCAAACACAAGCCGCGCTCTCTCAGAGCAAGATTAGAACCAGAAAATGATAATTTTGGATTGCAAATGTCTAACGACCAATCCATTTCCTTGGCTATTGAAGATTTGCTAAAAAAAGCTGCTGTGCTTGAATCAACCGAGATTTTAGTCTCGGATCCAAATACTATCAATTTAGCTCCAATGACCAATGTTTCATCTGAGCATCATTCAGCAAGAGATGATAGATTAAAATCAGAGTCAGAATCGACCGGCTTTCAAAGAAAATCCAAAACCACTACACTATCAACAGATTCGCTCATTTCTTGCAATGCAGCGAGTCCAATAAATAATCTTACATCTGCATCCAACATGGACACTACACTTCAGATATGCACAAAAGTCACATGCGACAACTTGCCCGAAAAGCCGATTACAAAGCAAATTAGTTTGACACAAACGGACAAAAATATATCACCCAACGAAACTTTGACGGTCATACCCACAGCATCCAAGTGTGCTGACAATGTATACAATTCACCCGAAAAGTCTATTCAAAAAACCAAAACAAAGGTATCTCGATTTTGCGAAAGCGATCTAAAGCATTTGATTTCAAAACTACAACCTTCGCAAGATTGGTGCGATATTGTCGATGCAATGAATTTACTTCAAACTGCCTTTTCGGATCATCCCGCTGTGTTTACAGCAAACAATCGAGATATTTTGCTAGTTTTATTGGCAAATTTGCAAAACTTGCGCACCACCGTATCAAAACTGGCTATTCAATGCATTTTAAAAATTTATCAGCTTGCATCCAAAACGCTGGAGCCCCATTTGGATGGAACAATAAGCAGTTTATTACGAAAGATTGGTGAAGGAAATCAGTTTATTATTGAAGAAATAGACCATGCATTACTAGCGTTTTGTGAAATTATTCCTCCAGCAAGACTTGCCGTTGCCTTGGTTGCAAATGCTAGTCATAAAAACTCACTTATTCGACTGCGTGTATCGCGATTGGTCCATCAAGTTTTAAAGAAAATGTCAACGTCTCAGCTGTGTCATGTTCTTCAAAATATCCGAGACACTGATAAGTTGCTTCCAGCACTAGCCCAGCTCATGAAGGATGGGCTTGTAGATACTCGAAATTCTGGGAAGCAGGCTATGCAGATTCTATATCAATGTCCAGAGTTTGATCGCGCCATGGGTAGATCATTGAGTATTTCACAGATTGCTGAAGTCCGCGAAACGCTCAATAAATTGATTAAAAAGTCGAGTTTTGCAGTAAAGAATCAAGATCTGGTAGACGAATCTGTGTCTAGTGAGAATCTGATACAAGGTATACTATAGCTATCAAAGTAGCACTTTTGTATTTGTATAGTAAAATGCATTTTTGGGTTTGAAGTTTATGCGCCAAACTAATACCTCCAATTAGTCAAGACATTGCCGACTTTTAAATCCAAACCAAAGGGAAAATCTGTTGCAAGTCATAGTGAGCATTCAGATACTTTGAAAGAAATTTTGAAAGAAACTACTGTTCATGGTAAGCGATACTGCTTTGTATTTTAAACTGAAAGATTGGGTTTAATTACATTGTGTTTTGTGGTTTAGATTGGAATGGCCGTTATCGATCCATGGAGAAACTGTGCAAATATTTACACGATCAACCCACGTTGCTTACCGATCGTGGGTTGATGCAGCTCGTTTTGGATGTTTATTGTGATAGATGTCGTGATGGAAATAGCAAAGTCGGGATACTGTCTCTCAAATCATTGACTGATTTGATACCACGCTTCAATGTAAGAGCCTGCATAGATTTGCACTGTGTTTTGCCCATGATTTTGAGCCCATCCGTATTTATCAATAGTCATCCATTTCACATGACAGTCATCCTCTATCAACAGTGCAATACCCGCTTTGGTATCTATGATTACAAATCAATTTGCTTCAACACATCCAGCTATACAGAATGCCGCTATCAATGCAATCGACGCACTTTTACAAATAGCAGATGATGCCATTATCTTGCCTGCACTGATAACGATTATCCACTACGGAACAAATTCAAAAGTCAAGGTGCAAATTGTAGATATTCTCTGTTGTAAGTTGAAGTTGTTTTAATGTAGGCTTGTGGATTTCATGTCAGTGTAAAATACAATCAAATAGCGTTTTAATTTATATGTTTTGTGTATGCTGAATCAAATTCAACATGATGCAGCCTCGATCAAAGCTGGCCATTTGAAACTATCAAGTGCGATTCGAAAGCATATGGTTCCATGCTGTGTGAAACTTTTCGAGGAAAATCGAAGTGATATGTGTCATCATACCAACAGGCTCATTCTCGAGTTGCAGGGTCTTATGGGAGATAAGCTTTTTGATGCCATGGTGGCTGATAGTAAAAAGGCAGACATACAGCATAAATTGGCTACTCTTCTTAAACAAGGACAGACATGACACCCTATATTATCTACTCGTGCTGCGCTACCTTTTTGATTAAACAGGTTAATCAACTGATTGTTGGCAATGTGATAATAAATTATGTCATACACTGAATGAGCAATTTAGTAAAAGCGTAGGGCAAGTTTAATTGGTTTTATTTCAGCCGTATACACGTAAAATGAGAGATTAATAGGTGTGTATACTAAACAGCCAGTTTCATGACATGATCGTTGTCCAGTTTTCCAGTAGACGCCAAGATACTTGCATGTAAAAGACATTGGAGATTTATAAAAACAGCAGATCAGTAAATTGACGTGATTGTTCAAGAAACACAAGAATAGATTGCTAGAATCATGTCTATTTAGATATTCGCTCATAAGCACAATTTTCATTTAGTTTTAAATTTTTTGACAAGATTGGCAAAAAGGAGTGTAAACTACAGAACCATATTTAATAGGGTCAAACTGCAAGAAAAATCTGGATTTTTAAGACATAGGGAATGTTATACCAAGACCTATGCTCAGCCAACAAGTTTAGAAAGATCTTCAGGAGGCCATTTCGTTTGAGCAAATGTCATCAAGCGCTTAATGCTTTGAATCCATTTTCGTTGAGTTTCATCATTAAGAGCGTGTGCAATCTGAGAAGAGAAAATCTTTTCACGACCACTACGTTCATGGATGCCTATATGGGATGTAGTTGAAGACAGGATCAGTCATATTTTTTGATATGCAATCAGACGGTCATGCAGAGTACTTACCAACCATTGTGACACCGATTGGCCATGGAGCATTTCCGATAGACAAACGAAGATAAGCATCGTTGGCTTGCTGATACTCGCGCTGCTGAGTGTAGTAGCAAATCTCTGTAACACGAGCCAGAATATCTTCAGCCAGATCACGCTTCTTGAGTCCACGAAAGAAGGGTTTAAGGTATTCGCCAGCCTGAGCCATGGTTGCAGCCTGTAATTTTCCTTGAGTAGTGCGACGTTGCTCATCAGGACGAGATTGTAGTTCTTTAGCCCATTCAAGCAGCAGTCGCTTAATGTAGACAGCGATTAGATTACAGGTGGTATCACGATCAGCCTGAAGTAGTTCAAGCGAGATGATGGAAGTATCGATATCCTTGAATGGGTTTTTAGCCTTTTTCTTTTCAAACTGAGCATCAGCTTCTTGGTTGCCTTTACCACGTAATAATGTTTCAGCAAGACCTTTATCAGCAGCTTGTAATAGATCTTTAAAGTCGTTACGTTGACCATTTGTACATTCTTCAGTAGATTCGACTTTACGAAGTCGACCAAGTCGTTGCTGATTGGATTCACCAAAAAGTCGAATAGGTTGGTCTCGAGCACGCAGACGTCGAATGATTTCATCTTCATCAAGATTAATCAATTGTTCATTATCATTATCATCCTTTGTATCCTGTGCAGCTTTGGTCATCTTTTGAGTAGTTTCTACATCAGAGAGAGTGGAGACAGCAGGGAGTTCAAGAGTCATGGAAGTATTCAAAGTGTCATTGACATTGATTCCAGTGGACAAGGTTTCAGATGCAGGATTGACTGACAGAAGCCTTAGTTTACGCAGTCTCTCAGTTTCGACTTGATTCTTGTGATAGTTTTCAATGTCTATTTTGTTCAAGTCAGCTCTCTTTATATATTTAGAAGAAAGACCTTTAGAAGCACTAGCAAGAGCCTTGCGTTTCTTTTCAGTTTCAGCCTAATAAAGTAAAGAATAAGAATATATTTTTAAAACCAACTTTAACAAGAATGTTCTTACTTTGAGTATATCCATGATAATAAATGATAATAAATTTCAAGAATAAGAATAAGATAATGACTGCACACTAAGCTTGATATTTTCAACGCGAGAACATTCCATTTACAAGTCAACTTGAAACGTAAAGTTTCATAAGACAGTTTTTAACAATTGAAATGAATAGTTTTAAAGTTTCTTTTTAGTATTTCAAGTTGAAACCAAGAATTCAAGTTTGATTTAAAGTGTTTTTAAATTCTTAAGAACAAGTTGGACGTAAAATATAAGATTCAAATTTGTTGAGAATCTTGCAGTTTAAACTTGGAAACAATCGAGTTTGTAGTCGAGGTTTTAGTTGGAAACCAATTCATTCTTAGTATTACACAGACTAGTCAACTCATTCAGTGTATATGCATAACCAGCAACCATTTCAGGAACCATTTCAGGAACCATCTCAGAAACCATCACAGAAACCATCTCAGAAACCACAGAGACTCTCTTACAACAATGAGTCCAACTCTGCATCTACTCAAGATACTTCTGTTCCTACTAATAGTCATCGTTCTTCCATTTCAAACAGACCCGCTGCTTTAATCCTTGGTCTTCCTTCCAGTACAACAGTTTCAGGTGTCTTGATGTCTGGTCTGAATACCGCTCCTCCTGCTTATTCTACCAGTGGATCGTTCTATAGCTTTGGTGCTCCTCTTCCATCTGCGCTGGCCGCTACTCACCATTCTTCAAACACTCCTGCCAGCAATGAATTCAGATCCGTTTACAACGACTCACAGCATTCTGGACCTACGTCATCATCCAACCCAGTTCATTCTGTTCAGTCTGTTCAGTCTGGATTGTCTTTTGAACATCAACCTACTGACATTGTCAGCAACTTTACTGGAAACACTACTGAACCTGCTTCTCCTTCTCCTACAACTACTTCTTCGTTACATGAATTGGAACGTAGAAGGTCCTTGTTTGTTGCTAAAACTAAAGCTGCTTCTTTGATGGTTCCTTCTGCCCCAACCATCACAATAGACTCTCCTGGCTTCACTGCTTCCACTCTCGATAATCCAAACTTGAATGTTATTGGCGCTGGCGCTAGATCTGTATCAGCTGTGGATTCATGTGTGACTCGGTCTGGCTCATCCAAAGACCGTGCCATGTCAAACCATTCATCCATTTCTACCCCTGGTGTCGCAAAAGGCTTTCTGTCCTTTCTTAGCTTCAAATCTAATCTTGCTGCTTTCTCTCATATTCAACCAATCAAAAAAGATCTTTCCAGTTCCGGATCAATGCCCTCTTTGGTATGTTTCATCCCATTGATGACTTGATTGTTTGATTCTTCCTAATTTTTATCCATTCTTGTTTTTAGACGACTAGATTATCCCAGTATTTGATCCTCACTTATTCTCGCTGCAGTCCCCAATTCACTTACCAACAGGGAAATAATCCTCGTCGTGTCTTGACAAAACCTTCAAAACCCGTTCATAATGATGGCTTTGATAACGAAGACTATGATTATATCCTCTATGTTAACGACATCCTTGGATTACCAGATTCTCAACAGTCAGTTTCTTGAAATTTTAATCATTACTACTCTTTGCTCTGATCACTCACACTTTGTACTCTTCAATCTCGTAGATACCAAATCTTGGATATCCTTGGTCAAGGCACCTTTGGTCAAGTAGTCAAGTGCGAAAACACAAAAACAAAAGAACTCGTCGCCGTAAAAGTCATCAAAAACAAACCTGCTTACTATAACCAGTCTCTTTTTGAAGTCACTATTTTAGAAATGGTACCCACATAGTCTTTTACATCGTGTCTTGCTTTGTCTACATCAATTATTAACTGACTTGCATGTTCTTGTCACATTAGCTTAACAAAAAACATGACAAGGAAGACAAGCATCACTTGGTGCGCATGAAGGACACATTTTTATTTCGGAACCATTTATGCATTATTTTTGAAATGCTTAGCGTCAATCTATATGAGCTTATCAAGCAAAATCAGTTTCATGGTCTTTCTACAAACCTTGTTCGTGTGTTTGTAACCCAGATTTTGGATGGTTTAATTGTCCTTAGTCGTGCTGGAATCATCCACTGCGATCTTAAACCAGAGAATATTCTACTGAAAAAGTATGACGCTGTTGGTTTAGACTGCCAATGTTGATTCTGTTGAACATTGTCCCTGTTTTTTACAATCCATTAACCAATTTTATGTTTCTAGTCTTGAATCTCCTGCGATAAAAATTATAGACTTTGGCTCTGCATGCCATGAAAATCAGACTGTTTATACCTATATCCAATCGCGTTTTTACAGATCTCCCGAGGTTCTACTCGGACTTCCGTAAGTGGTGGCTTGATATGAATAAAAACTTTTGATGATTCCAACTTGACTAACACACGATGCATTCAAATGCCACTGCTGAATATCCTGGTTGATATGATGACCATGTGTCATGTTGTTTTTTTAGCTATACGTCATCAATTGATATGTGGTCTGTTGGCTGTATTGCAGCGGAGCTATTTTTAGGTTTGCCTTTGTTTCCTGGTTCATCAGAGTACAATCAAATTGCACGAATTGTGGAAATGCTGGGGTATGTATTTGTTTATTACTGTCAACTTTTTTATTAGAGTGCATTTGCAAGCAAATTGGTCAATACTTTTGGAATACATGGCGCTGTTATTAACGTGGTTTTATATTTAAATCGTAGGATTCCTCCAGGATATATGTGCGAAAGAAGTCGTCATGCGCTCAACTTTTTTGATAAACACGACGGTTCCAACAACAAGAATGTGTTTTCTTTGAAATCAATGGAGTCCTACATGAAGGTTTGTACATGACAATCTGATTTATCCATATCTTTCAAGTCAGTTTTGTTCGTGTCTAATCTATTTTATTAAAAAAGGAGCGCGGAACAGTCGAACAGCCATCCAAGCGCTATTTTAAAGGCACTACCTTGCCTGAAATTATCAATACATATCCAGTCATGCGAAAACTGTCTCCAGAGGAGGTAGCCAAGGAAACTGCAAATCGTTTGGCATTCATTGATTTTCTTCAAGGATTACTCAATTTAAATCCACTGGAGCGCTGGAGCCCACAACAGGCCAAACAACATCCCTTTCTAACCGGCGAAAAGTTCATGGGCCGGTTTGAGCCTTCACGATCTCGACCAGCGTCATCAATAGGTGTTTCTGGTGGAACCACCGTCACTACTACCTTGCAAAGTGGAGAAGTGCGTGAGATTCGAGGAACTCGGCCACGTGCAGCAACAATTGGCGGGACTAAAGTGCAAACTGCACCCCCACAGTTACAAAAGCTTGCAGCTATATCACAGCAATCTGGAGATGCAAATCTCTTTCGATCAGAAAATGGGGTTGCTCGGAACAGTCGAGGGGATGGATCAGAACATTTGGAGAGAAGCGGACAGCAGGGTAAGCAGCATGGTTCTCAGGCAAACAGACACCAACAGTCTCGTCAACGACACGGCGGTACTGGAAATGCTCCACAATTACAGCCATTAAAAATCCCTTTACCCATGTCCTCAGATGCTGAAATGCTTGCTACATTTCATCAGCAGACTCAATCTCAAGGAGTACAACAACCGAGTTTTCCGCAGTCGCAACAAGTCCATATGTCTGCCATTATGACACCCAGATCTTCAACATCTCAGTTTCCTCCAAGATCTGCCACGCTAGAGCAATCTAGTCAATATCCCCAGCCAGATACAGACGCTCCAAATAACGTTCCTCCACAAGGTCAGCATGCACATATGTTGCAGGTTGTTGGGAATTTTGCAGACTTTCAAATCCAATCTCGGCAATCCATGCACGGAGGTGCGCCTTTAAGTGCAGTTCAGGGATCCAGTGGAAGCAATTCACTGTTTGGACCACCACCGGCGCATCAAAATCATTATCGTCGGACATCTGTTGCTGGAATTCCTGGGCCTGATCAAAGGGGACAGGCTCAGTCTCAATCTCAAGCCATGCTAGAAGCAGAGCTTCGATACCAGCAGTTTCAGCAACTTCAGCAGCAGCAAGCACGCCATTTGCAAAGCAGGCAACAAAGCGATACAGCAGGTAGTAGTCCTCGATCGTCACGCTCCTCACACTTGAATGCACATCATTTACACAATAATCCACCTCCCTCTCCTCATCATCGTACTATGCATATGGATGTGTACCGCCAAACTTCTACAGACTCTTCGCATGCATTTCCTTTTCGTAAGGCGCAATCCCATCACACGATTACTGGAAATTTGGAGCCTTCTATGTCTGCCACATCTTCTTTGATGCCTTTGCCTCCATCTGCATATGGGGGGTATCATAATGGTGACACCTCTCGTGATTCAATAGGAGTGGATGGGCATCCTCATTATGGCAATATGGGTGAACGACATAGACTCCCTTCGCGTATTCCATCTGCTGCTAATTCGACAGAATGGGAGCCATTTGATGACATGCGGGATGTAGAAAGTATTGCTAGTTTTTCTGGAAGCGCTGTGGGTAGCTATAGTGGTCATCGACAGAGTGGTGGAATGGACAACTATCGGAATTCTGATCGTCGGTATTCTCAAGACCACTCCATGGAATCATCTTTTGCCGTTATGGGAAATGATCCACGGCCGATTGCTCGATCTACATCCTATTCTCAGTCGCAGCAACTGAATGTTTCTGGCGATGATGATAGACTTTCAAAGTCCATGTCCGTGCCACACATGGTTGGCTTACCGACCAACATAGCTCAAGGCTCTTCACAGCAACACCTGTCTCAGTCACAACTGCATTTTGAGCAGCTTCAGGTGCTATCACAAGCAGCAACTATGCTTGAAGATCCTAGCATACAAAAAGAGTATACTCCCAATGACTCGGAGGGTCAATACCAACCGTCTCAGTCTGCAAGAGGTAGTGATCAACAGCCCAACGGTTCGTATATATTGAAGATGGTAAATAATCCGTCGGCACCTTCCGCTATTGGATCTCCTGGCATGCGTGCGTTCTTTCATGGAGGACACTCGCGTTCATTCGGTGATCGATCTATGCAGTCATTATACCAGGGAATGCCCTTGTCCCCTTTAGGATCGAGTAGCAGTCTTTCTCAACGCCAGTCTTCAAATTACTTGAATGGATCGCATATGATGGATGCGTTGCCTACACTGTCTGCAAGCCATCATCCTCCAATGCCTTCTGGATTTCTATCTTCGCGACGCTCTAGTCAAATGGAGTTGATGCCACCATCTGGAGGTGCATCGGCAGGGTTGCACTTTGTGCCTCAATCCTCTTCCAACACAATCAACGGATCGTCGTATTCAGGTTCTATTCTTCCAGCACAGTATTCATTTCAACCTGTTCACGAAGCTGCCGCAGCTAGTCAGTATAGATCTTCCATGTCACAACTTGGTAATGTGTCACAGGATGGACGATCTAGTTTAGGAAATACAAGTCAGCTGTCGCTTAGCTTGGATCAGCTGGGCACAGGTGAGCAACTTGCTAATCATGGCGATGGCTCGCAGCAAGACATACCTCCTTACCAGCAATATCCCTTTCAGTAGCACTATATTAACGGGTGGTTATGACCATCTACTACTAGCTCAGCGCAATAAACCAATAGTCTTATAAAAATAGTATTATTTTCGGTTGTTTACCAGTTTATCTTACAGCAACGCTGATAAAAAGCAAGCAGCAGCTTAAAGATACGATGAATTCAACCACATCAGTCTTTTATAATGACAAGCCATTGTTTTCGAAGCCCATAAATGAAGAGATGTATGCTTTAGATGCTCAAACAAGAACGAGTTTTTAATCTGACATGCAAGTTTCTGTTGGGATTGCGATCTTACGTATCGACAGATTGTTTTTTGAAACTATTAAACGTGACTGATAAGTTGAACTAATCTTGGTCCACTCACTCGTCTGTTCATTCGTGTCATGCAGTATTGGCAAGACCCAATAAGGTGTCACCAATAATAATCAAGAGCTCAATCTAGGCACATGTATTGGTCAAAGTATACACCTCTACGCATATTTAAAACTAATGAACATTTTGATTTGTTCCATTGACCTATCGTTCATTAAAAGTCTCAATGGCAATCATAGGATACTATCCATTTTTGCATAAACGCTAAAAACACTAAAAACCAATTACAATCAAACAGTGAAGGCTGTAAATAAATCTGAATATCCTGTCAAAGTCAATCAATAACACACTAGATTCAAGTGTGACGATACCATTACTTACCCTGACATGACATCTGTTGTACCAATCTTTCGAGCTTTTTCAGAGTAAGATGCATGCTCCTGAAGTAAATCATCCACTTTTTGAAATGCTGCCTCACGTTGTGAATGGCTTAAACCAATCAGAGCGTTTTCAAGTACATTGGCAGCATATGCCGCACATACCATTGCGATCGTTCTTCTGTCTGTAGCTGGGCCTCGTCCTAAAAGACAATTCACTGCGCGCTGAATGATTTCCTCCTTGATTTTTGGATCAGCAAGTGGATGGGTAGGCAAATCAAACAAGACAAAGTTTAGCTTGTCTGTGCGAAGAACGCCCTTGTCGACAAGTCCTTTGGCTATACGCTCTCGGACCTGTTTGAGTTGATATCCAATCTTGGTCAAATTCCAAGTCTCGCCTAAATGGTGCATATGCAATCAGCAAATTCGTCAGCAAAGCACAAAACGGAAACATGGTGAACACAATACAAGTAGCATCGAGTCTGATTTGAAGTGACTCAATATAGCTTGCTCTTGAAGATTATACGTGTCGAATTAGCCAAACAATAGCTCACCACTAAGCAAGTCCACCCAATTGCCAATACTATCTACATCAGTTTTGATATATCTCATAGCTTCGTCCAATAGCACTTCTCCAGTCAAACGCTCATCTGTAACTTCAATCAAACGATCAGGAAAAGGCCGCTTCCTTGGTTCTTTAACAGTCGATATACGATTTCGAAAAGAGAGTTCAATCAAAATGACACCTCGAAGAACCTAATGTATTCATCACAGTAATGCGTCAGGATAAAATGATATCAACTGATTTTAAATACCAGAAGAAATGATACTGATTATTCAAGTCTATTCGATAAATAAACCATCTATTCACTAAGATGAAGCAAAAGTATATCGTAGGTTCATAGTTTAAGCAATATTTGGATCACAAATCGTCTTTGAAACATTCAGCCAAGGTATATTCTTACGTATGAAATGTTGTCGTTCCAAAATGAAAGACGACCCTAATAAGAGTTTAATACGAGTTAGTGAGTATAATCTTGACTCATATTTGAAGATATAAGAGGCATAACGAAGCTTTGTTTGTATTACGGCCGTATTTACGTAAAATGAAATACTGATGGGAATCAAAATGCATTTACAGTTCATCTCATGAAATGGTAATTTGCACCACATTGACTGGACAATGTTATTTTTCCAACCTTTTGGATGACTGGCTCTTCTCATTTTTGTATAAAACCGGGCAAATTCCCGCATAAAAATAGTCAAGCCCAATATGTGGATTGCAATGGATAAATATGATGGCTGTACAATGCATGATTGTCAAGGAAGAGAAAGGGATAGTTTGTATTATACGATAGGTGTTGTCTATTGAATTGAGAATGACAATCAAGTGAATCTGTAGTAGGAAACCCGATATTCCAAAGCAAATAGAGTTGAACCAAACACTCCATTTTACGTGAATATGAATGTAATAGATTGCAATATGTAACAGCATTGATCATTCAAGATTCATGAACAATAAATTGTACTAAGCCATTCTCGTAGTAATTTGTTCCAAAGTATTGAATCAATACAAAAGGAAGATATGCCAAAAGCTTAAGCATGACATTATCCATCAAATCAATAAACCCGCCATATGCAATTTGTTGATAACCCATGTAACGATTTAGATTGAAAGCATAAACATATGGCTGCAGGATAGATCTGACAAGCCATGAGTAGTGAAGTGTATATAAAAGCTCATGCCAAGCCAAATCAAACCAAACCAAGCCATGCCAAGCCAAACCTCACCTCGTTGTCTTTATAGCCCAGCAGTAGCACTTCTTCCATCAGCGTCAACTTTCTGCCCCGCTTTCCCACTCCATCCACCTTTTCATCGTCGTCATAACCCTCTTGGTTATAAAATGACTGTCCATTTGTGTCAATAGCCTGTGCTGATCCAGTACCTCCAGTAGAAGCATGCGCTCCGCCGTCTTTTGGAAAAGCTCCACCATCAGCAGCTGCAGAATAATCATCAGTATCGTACTCAGTCATGTCATTTCCAGCAGCGCCTCGTCGTCTCTGAGTCAATCCTGTGGAAGCCATGGTTTGGATTAATGCCAAGTTGCGTTGCAGATTCGATAAGCAGAAATGATATTTTGTTGGGATAAAAGCGAAACCTTGTTGCCGTTCAGATGTTGTCTATTGGCGGATCGAATAAAGAATTGTTTTATAAAATAGAAAACTTTAGTTTTTAATCGTTAATTATTCAGTCTTGTTATTACAGATTGGCTCAACTCATTTCATTTTTATTCAATTTCTAATCGAGTGTTGAGAAATATTAAACCATTTGTAACTCGATCAACTTTTAAACACGATCATACGATGGATTGAATCAAGTCAATGTGTAGTAAAAGGACTGAATCTACAGTTTTTATTTTAAACAAGTATTTCATGTTACGTGAATATGACAGTAAAGAATAAATGTGAAATAAAGTGTTTATTAGACTGTCGAGTTTAATCTGAAATCATTCCACGAGCAATAGCAATCTCTGCATTCATAATACTACTTCCTGCTGCACCCAGAATAGTATTATGAGATAGTAGAGTAAATTTGACATCAAATATGTTGCAGGGACGAATTCTTCCAATAACCACTGCATTTCCTTTTCCAATTCGAGCATCCAGTCGAGGCTGAGGACGATCGGGAAGGTGCGTGACGACCACTGCTTTCTCTGGAGCAGAATAAACACCAAGACGTTGAGGTTCACTGACGTATTGTGAAAGTACAGTTTCGATCTGTTCAATAGTTGGTGCAGGTCGTTGTTTGAATTCCACAAATACACTTTCTGTGTGACCATCAATCACAGCGACACGATTGCAACTCGCGGATAGTCGCATATCTTGAGCAGTTACAAAAGAAAAGTCTGTCTTGGATACAGTGCCTAGAATCTTGGATGCTTCTTCTTCCATCTTCTCTTCTTCACCAGAAATAAATGGCACTACATTTCCAAGAATATCCAGACTAGGAACACCTGGATAACCTGCTCCCGAGATTGCTTGCATGGTTGTCACTACTACTCGTGAAAGAGGACCAAAAGCGTCTTGTAATGGCTTGAGAGCAACGACCAGTCCAGTAGTCGAGCAGTTTGCATTGGTGATCAGAAACCCTCGGTTTAATGAAAACAAACTGCGTTGATGAGGAATCATATCAAAATGGCTTGAATTGACTAATGGCACAATAATAGGAACTGCAGGATTCATGCGATGATTCTTTGCGTTTGAAAAGACTGCCAACTCAGCCTTGAGAAAGGCCAGTTCAATGTCTCCAGCTACTGCAGCGTCCAGTCCAGAGAAGATAATTCGACAGTTGCTCTTCACAAAGAATGTTGGATCGCATGGTTGAATGATGAGTGTTCCGGCAGCTTCAGGAATAGGAGTGTCAAGCTTCCAATTGACACATTCCTTGTACATCTTGCCAACTGACCTTTCGGACGCACCCACTCCAGCAACAACCATTCGAGGATGAGACTCAAGCAGTTGAATAAACCGCTGTCCTACTGTTCCTGTAGCACCCAGAATACCCACTGGAATCTTTTGATTGATGACTGACATGTTGATGGCGTTTAGAAATACTTGTGTAATAAGGGTGGAGGTTACAATGAATGATGTTCATGCATGGCAATGGCTTGAGTCAACCTCGATCAATCCAATGACTTGATTGTTCACTGTAATCCTGCTCACTTTTACTATTCTTAATTCTTGAAAATATTATTCAATACAAACTATAATTTCAAGTTTATCCTTGATTTACTATTCAATTGTGTGTTTGACTGCTTAACATACAGGAAATTGTTGAAGTTGTTTATAAAACCATCATGAATGTCATTGCTTGATGTTTTAAATCTGATAAATCAGTGAATTTGATCTTGACATTATTGGTAATACCTATGAATATGACAACATATGAATATTCTTGAAAGCACTAATACAATCAAAATAAAACAAGTAGTAATTTCAACTTACATTTCAAGACTCATTCCATCATGAATTTCATCTAAAGAGAGCAATTGAACCAAAAGTTAATCAAAATTGAAATAGTATTGGAATAGTATTGGAATAGTATTACTAATAGGATTATAACTCACAATCTTCCAGAGTTATGTGATCCTTGTAAATCGTATACCATTTTTTAAGAACAATTTTCTCAGGCTTTGTACCAGTTTGTGCTGCAATCAAAAGTTTCAAGACACCGACAGTGTCATCCGGACTTGAACAACATATATTTCAAGTTAACAATTCTGACTAAATGGATTGACTGGTCAACAAAAACAATCCATCATGTATACAAGATTGTTTGAAATCAAAAACAGGGTTGACATACTTGCATTTAACTCTGACTTTTTTCCCAAGTCGATCGTTGCAGATAATCTAATCAAATGAACAGTTTAGTAAGCTTTGAATAACAGAAACAAGTGTTGGTAGTGCCGACACTTGATGAAATTCATACAAACAATGACCAAGTTGACCAAGTTGAACATGTTTTTCACTCAAGTCAAACACCAATTCGACAGTTTACCTCAATCATGCTTGCAAGTCGGGCAAAGAGTAAAAACTTGAGAATTCAATAAAATAATAAATTGTTAATCTAAAGTTTTTGAAGTTTCCATAGTTGGATTAGTGTTGGCATTTCACTGTTTTTTGAGCAACAGCACAACTGTTTAGTGGAAATGTCTGGTTCTTACACAGACGATGAGTCTGGTTTTGGAAATGCATTCTCTAGAAAGAGACTTTCTACACAACGGAAAACTAGATCTTCAACTGTTGCCAGTGGCCAGATGGCTGCTGGTTGTGATGCCATGGAAGTCTGCTCTACCGTAGCTAATGCTTCGAGTTGTACAGAACCTTCAGCTTACACTGATAATGAACTAGGAAACGCCTTGTCCATTCCTATTCAAAACGAACAGACTGCCAGTCTTGCAAATAACTTGAATCTTTTAATAGCAGTTCCTTCTGGTTTTACAAAAACTCTGGAATCAGCTGGATCTGGATCTACAGTCTCAAACAACAGCATGAATAATATAATTCCAAAAAACAGTCCTTCAAGTCCAAACCAACTCAAGACTGAATCTTGTATACAACAATCCAACTCTATTATGTCTCGGATAGATGCTCAACCTTGCATGGACAAAAACCTCAATTCTATCGAACTGGATTCCATCATGACTGTAGACTACAAACAACACTCTCAAGATACGACTTCTAACACGATGCTCGAAACCATCTCTAATGATGGCAGTGTTATCAACAAATCTCGACGAAAAAGGTCACGACATCGCAAGAACACGACTATTGTGGTGTCAGAAGGAAGTGACATGGACGCATCTGAAGGTGACAGAAGTTCTCCAAGTCGCACTGTCGAGAAAAAAAGGGAAATCAGCAAACTTGTCATAGGAACGAGCAAGGTTCTTGGAAAAGGCTCGGATCTTCCCTCGGAAGAACGTCCTTATCATGATTTTTTTCCAGATCTGATAATTGAGCAACCCATGCCCATTCTTCGATATGATACTGATCGATCCGATTCACTCGAATCCATCATGACCTCAAGTAATGAAGGCATCAATATGGCTTGCGATCCTTTACAAAACGACACAACTGTTTGTTTGTCTGTCATGGGTCATCCATCTGAAATCACTAAAGGTGTTTGTCCGCCCATGACAAAAACATTGCCTGTATTGTCCATGGATGCTTTTAAATCGGTACCTACTCCATCATATACTAAACTCAATAATACAGATCATTTGGACAAAGTCGTAAAGCCTCTTGCACCTTATTCTCGGCATATTGGTAAAGTGTATTGTTTTGATTTTTGTTTTAGATTGATGGTTGTATTCACAAACTATTTTGGCTTGTTGATTAGAGCCATCTGAAGATGATCTTGCAGAGCGTGTAGAATACGATATGGATGAACAAGGTCATTTTTTTATCAGTGTCATCATAGTATATCAAAATTTTGCTGATCTTGTTTTTTGATTGTGAATTGTCTATTATGTAATATACAGATAGAATATGGCTTAATATGCTCAATGTTGAAAGGAAACGACAAGGTTATTGCATTTGCACAGAGGATCTTTTCGAAGCCATTATTGATCATATCGAAAAAGAGTGGTTTGATTTGGTAATTATATCGACAAGTCAATATAATTTTTGATAAATTTAAACATCCATCATAGTCTGATGATGCGGTGGACTCTATTCAAACTGCCATTGTAACCTGATTACTCTGTCAATTATCTAGACCAAGGATTTTCCTAAATCAGGAAGGGACGACACATTTTATCCCGAAGACATTTCTTGTGCAGTGTGTGACGATGGAGAAGCAGAAAATAGCAACGCAATCGTGTTTTGTGATGGCTGCAATCTCGCAGTACACCAAGGTAATGAGTCGACACATTTCAAAAAAATAAATATTACCGATCCATGTTTACGGATGAATTATACACTGACAAGTAGTGTATATTCTTAGATTGCTATGGCGTCCCGTTTATTCCCGAAGGGCAATGGCTTTGTCGCAAATGCATGCTTAGCCCGGAAACACCTGTTGTAAGTCTCCACATCAAGTACTGTTTTGGGTTCATGCTTTAGTAATTTAGACATTTCTGTTTTAAATTTAGTCTTGCCTTTTTTGTCCAATTAAAGGAGGTGCGTTTAAGCAAACAACGACCAATAAATGGGTTCATTTGAATTGCGCCATGTGGATTCCCGAATGCCATATTGCCAATACAGTTTACATGGAGCCAGTGGAGGGCACTGGCAACATTCCAAAAAGTAGATGGCGACTAGTAAGTTTTTATTTGCCAAGAAAATTTTAAAGTCAATGTTGCGCTTTAACACTGTGATTACGAGTGTATTGCTTATACTGTATATTTGACGACTTTTAATCAATATGTCTTGGAATTTTTAAAAGATTTGTTACATTTGCAGAAAACGATATGGCGCACCTATTCAGTGTAGTAACAAAGCTTGCTTTGTGCCATTTCATGCATCATGTGCTCGAAAAGCAAAACTGTTTATGAGGATGCGAGGAGTCCACAACAATGATCCCAACAACTTTCGTGCATACTGTGACAAGCATACGCCAGTAAGTTGCTGGGCTTTTGTTGATTGAATTGTCTAAATGTTTTAAAGAAGGCTAAATTGACAAATGAATTTAGAAAGAATATCGCGAGCTGGTAGATGTCGAGGCAACAACTCACGCAGCTCAAATGGAGCTTTTCAATGTGCCTATTCCTTCAATGATTCATCAAAAGCGTTCGATGTATGGTTCTAATATCAGTGATGCTCTTGATTCAGACGATGATCAAAGCATTGCATTGCACACATCAACTGGGCCTCGGAAAAAAAAGCAACTGGTGCATGGAAGCGACACTAATCGATCAGATTTCTCCAAATCGAATGCAAGCGGTACAGCTAGCTCTGTCTGCCATAACGCAGGGAATCAGAGTAGTACCGTGTCACATGCTTTATCATTTCCATCGACTTCATCTGACATTACAAATCGATTACAGTTATGCTTGGCTACTCCAGTAATTCCACAGTATATTTTTCATCAAGTTTTGGAATCAACTACATCCTATTCGCCAAGAAAAAAGGACGAACTGATTGGAAAAATTGCAAAATATTGGTCTTTAAAGCGTGAAAGCAGACGAGGAGCAGCTCTTCTTAAGCGACTTCATCTTGAGGTCAGTTGCTTGTTTCATTATACTAGGTTTTTGATACATGTAAACGTTTTTAAACTTTTGACGGGCTTTTACTACTTATTGATGGATGGGAATAGCCTTGGACTACCACTGCATCTGCCCACAAAGAGGATGAAGAATTTAAGATGAAGAAATACGAGGTATATAATGACTTTATCTGTACTATATCTCGATTGGATAACGAGTTTTGATTAGCATATGAATAATCTGATTTTATTTGAAATGTGTTTAGCTGCTTGGCGTATTGAGGCGAGATTTTGAGCGGGTGAGATTGCTTACTGAGTTGGTCCGCAAAAGAGAAAAGGAAAAGGAAAGGATTTGCAAAATCCAGTACGAATACTTTGAAAAGTTGCTAAATCCACTTGCAAGCATATTTCGCCCTTTACTAGATCAACTCAAATAGTAAGCATGTTGCTTGTCCATCTTGAGCTGATTTATATCAAGAGTAGTACAATATTCAAATTGTATTAAATCTATAAATGCATTTGTGTTTTTACTTACCTTTACCTTTTAGTATTGATCGTCATAAAATCTTTACGTTTCCTGTTAGCAAGGAAGATGCTCCCGACTACTTTGATCACGTCAAGTCGCCAATGGATTATACGACAATGACGCTAAAGTTTGATGCCTTTGAATACCTAACGGTTGATGATTTTCAGGTATGTAATTCATGTCTATAATATAAATGTGATTCTATTGCTGACATATTGTAGGCTGATTTGGATTTGGTGATCAACAACTGCTTATTTTACAACAAACCAAATACTGTTTACTCGAGAGCGGCTTTGAGACTCAAAGCAACTTTGGCTCCAATAATGCAGGATATAAGGAAACGAACAGCATGTACATTGACAGATACTGGGCTGTTAAACACCAATGTCGATCATTCAGATATGATTGGATAATCAGACCTTGATGCTTGTGGATTTAATTTCAACTTTTGAGACTTGCGCAGCTCTTGATTTAGTTCATCATTGACCTTTAAAATCAATATTAATTTGGCTCTATTGATTTTTAAATCTCAAACCATTCTTCATACAGTATTATCACGATTTGCAAACGAGGCAAAGCTTATGTTTAAAACATTGATGACTGGCATAAATTTTAGTATAATTATTCGATTGTGTTTATGTTGTGTGATTTTTGGGGTTTTTTGACTGGTGTACGGGCTTTACTTTTACAACAGTCATTCTAATGTTGGCTAGTACAGCTGATTTTGAAGTATTCCCGTGTACTATAAGTGTGTCGCGACTGTAACATGGTAATAAGAACACTACAAAAATCACCCGCCGTACTCACGTAAAACAAAACAGTAGATAAGGATATCAAATTATACGATAAACAGTCAATGTCATGAAATGTCATGAAATGATTGGCTGGACAATATTACTTTTTAATCGACTGACTTTTCATATTTTTGTATAAAGAAATTAAACAAAAATTCACACTACAATTTGAGTGATTCTCACAGCAAACTCAATCTGCAGATTTCAACAAATGAATTTGGTGATTATACAAATTGTTGTGCCAAAAGAGAACATCGTTTCAGTTCAAAATTAGTTTGATTTTTGACAAAAATAATTTTCAATTTTGACCGATTTTGTAGTTGAAATTCGATAATTTGCACTTGAATTAGTTAAGATTAAAATGGGTCGACGAGGAGGAAAGCGCAAGCATGGCAGCAACCGAAAGGCCGTTTCTAAAGACACTGAAAATTCTGGAAATCATCAAGATAATCGCAATGCAGACTATGTCTCGTACGAGGTCGTCATGGAGAACAAAAAGTTTGCCGATTACTACAAAGCAAGTAGAATTTTCTGATTCAGAATAACTTTTTCAAGCCTTGATTCCGTTTATTAAAACTACGACATTTTGTTTCTATTACTGATTGCACCTGTAGGCTCAGAATATTGTTTCTGAATCAGACTGGGATGATTTTATGGCTGCTCTTAAACGTCCATTACCAGTTTCATTCCGAATTACTGGGAGTCGTGGGTAAGGATTGCCTTGATATACGGATTATAATATAAAATTGCTTTATATAGGATCTTTGACTTTGCATTGTTTCATTTCCTACTACGACCATCTGCCAAGATAGGGATGCAAGCGATCTTCGAGAGTATATGAAAAAAGTACACTTTCCAGCGTTGCAAGGATTTGATATTGACGGTGAAGTGATCAATCCTCCAAACCCTATAGAATGGTAAGAGAATAAGCCATCAAGACTGACATCAAGCTAATACGATGTTGTGTATCGTGTAATAGAAGGATTTGTTAGGCGTGTATAGTATCAAATACTAACCTGTATTTTGCTATTGAATTTAGGTATCCAAACCAACTTGCGTGGCAATTTGACTGCAGTAGAACAGCACTCCGAAAATCTCCAAAAGTAAAGGCATTTCATAGCTTTTTGATGTCCGAGACCAATGTAGTAAGTAAATATTACTTTTCATGTATTTAATGCGTAACCCTATTATTGATGTTTGACTTTTGAACGTAGGGAAACATCAGTCGTCAAGAGGTTGTTAGTATGATTCCAGTCATGTTCTTGGATGTCAAGCCAAGCCATTATGTAAGGCTGGATTTTACACTTTGATTATTGGAGTTTCAAGAAATTTGATCATTTTTTAATACTATTTTAATGGAAAATACAGGTTTTAGACATGTAGGACTTGGCATGCTTTATTTATGACAAAATCTTGATACTATTATCGTTAAACTATGCATAGTTAATATTGTTTACATATAGGTGTGCCGCGCCAGGAAGTAAAACAGCTCAGCTATTGGAAGCAATTCATAATGTTGGCGAAAACTATGATAGTGAAACTTTGGCCGGTATGTGGTTTGATAGTAGAGCTGTAATGTGAACCGATCATCGCTTGGTTGTTAACGTCTTGTTGTAGATGGACTGGTTGTTGCAAACGACTCTAATTACGAACGGAGTCAAATGTTGGTTCATCAGGCCAAGCGACTTCAGAGTCCATGTCTTTTGGTTACAAACCATGATGGTCAAGAGTTTCCTCGCGTTTTTCTAACAGATCGTGTATGTATATTATAAACGGATATGCTGTGTATGTGATAACATGTGTACTTATGCATTTATTTAGCACTCTACTGAAGGAGCCACTGTTTTACAGTTTGATCGTATTCTTTGCGATGTGCCTTGTAGTGGTGATGGTACAATGCGCAAAAACAAGACCATTTGGCGTACTTGGACCCATGCCAATGGAAATGGTCTTCATCGGTAACTCAACTTGCATTGTATAGTCAGCAATTCATATTTTTCTACTCTAAATCTCTGTGCTTGATTTGTATACTATGTCAATACCTGCTGTCTTGTTAGTTTACAAAAGCAGATTCTTCAACGCGGATGTGAGCTTCTCAAAATTGGTGGACGCATTGTATACAGTACTTGCACGTTTAATCCAATTGAAAACGAGGCAGTTATTGCATCAATGCTCAATGAGGCACAGGGCAAGTATTTTATTTAATTAGACAGACATCAATCTTTTGTCTAACTGTATTTGGAAATACAGGAGCTCTCCGGCTTGTTGATGTATCTGCCGATTTACCTCAGTTGACTCGTAGATCAGGTCTCACTACCTGGAAGGTGTGATCTTTTTGCCATGCAATACTTTTATTTCAGGTATTTTTAGATATTAATTTTATTGAATGAGATTTAGGTCATGGACAAGTCGGGAGCTATGTTTGATACGTTTGATTCTGAGAACGAGTCACACCGTACTACTTTAGCCCCAACCTTTTTCCCGCCTAAAAATGTAGATGAGCTTGGCCTTAATAACTGGTGAGTTGGATCTATCTTATTTTTAGTGACTAATAGTATCTATATATGCTAACACTCTTTAGCATGCGTGTATATCCATACATGCAAAATGGAGGTGGCTTTTTTGTCGCAGTGATTGAAAAAGTTGCTTCAATTGGAACAATGGATAATTACTCTATCCCTAAAGAAGAACGAGTTTCTCGATCCAGTGAAAAAGTGTTTTTGGATAGTCAAACCACGACTGACACGACCGCTGCTGAAACACCTGCAAAATCTGATGAGTTGAAAGCTGAGAATACAAACGAACCTATCTTGAATGAAAATCTGAAGCGACCTAGCAACGAGGAACAAAGGTAATATTGATTTGATGTTTATACTTTGGTAAGTTTATAAACGCATTCGAGGTATTAACACATTTTCCATTCTGCATGTCAGCGATAGCAAGAGATTGAATTGCGAAGGAAAAGGAGTTGATCGAAAAGGATGGTTTGGCGTTAGCGAATCTCCATTTGTGTTTGTGGAATCCGATAGCCCTCTTGCAAATAAGATTTGGTACATTTTGGTTAGAAAACTCAACCTTGAAATGCTTTATAATACTAATTATCTAATTCTCAAATACTAGCGATTTCTATGGAATGTCGCCTAAATTTCCTAAAGATCTTTTTGTTGTACGCACTGCAAAAGATGAAGAGGATTTTAGAAGTATTTATCTTGTTTCTTCTCCAATCAAGAAGATCCTGATGGCTAAAAATGCTGGAAAAATCAAGGTTGGACTGACTGTTTGCATGGTATTTGATATGAGTATGTCTTGATTCAAGCATGCTGATTCTACTTGAATGTTACTTTCAACTACTTTGCTATAGATTGTAAACACTGGTGTCAAAGTATTCAAAAAAAATGGTGGCGAGAATTTGTAAGTGAATCTATTTTTGATTTTATTTAAACGACCATCTAGCAACTCATCACAACACTATACCGCTTGATTAGTCCAACATGTCCGTACCGTGTATCAAGCGAAGGCATTCAAACCATTGCTCCATTTCTTTCGCCTGCTCGTCAGATTACGCTGTCTCTTGCAGATTTGTGCATATTCATTTCTTTTGAATATCCAAAGTTTACCGAATTTTCTAAAGAAGCGCAAGCGCAGTTTGAATGTCTTGGTAACTCCTTCAACTTTTGGTGTACTTGTGCGTTGGATGAAAATTACATGCTAATTTGTTTACGTTTATTTCATTATTCAGTTGTTGGAAGTTGCTTGCTTCGATTTAACCCAGCTGATGAAAAGGATTATACGGGAAGGTAAGACTTTATAATGCAGTGGTCACATTAGAATATGAAATCATATCAAAAAACCATTTTAATATCTTTGTTGTTTAGTATCACTATTCCACTTGTGCTTCCCTTTTTTCGATCTCATGTAAGTGGTTCATTGCTGATCGACAAGGCTGAACGTGCTTCACTCATGCACCGTCTTACTGGTGTCATGCTCACCGAATTCAAACCAATGGATAAGAGTGACCGCAATGACATATCGTGTTAAGGGCAATGCTACAGACCAAGTAAATTATATTACAACCGTATTCATGTAAAATGGAACACTTGTATTTATCTTGCATCAAGTCTCTTGGTTTTGAAATAAAAATAGCTAAATGTTGCGCTTTCCTAATACAAATTGACTTGAATAGACATTTTGAATGTTTAAAGCAGTGTTCATTATACAAAATCAAACTATAGGTTTGAACTGATATTGTTTTCATCTGGTAGTCATGCATTGTACGATCACCAGATTTATTCAAATCCATTCAAATCTATTCATTGCAATCTGCATATTAGATTTGAATGTTGTCCACAAACTCTACACACTCATTATTGTTGTATATTAACATCTCGGATACATTCTAGTTCAAGTGAACAAGATTGCACGTTCTAGATGAACACAAAAAATCAGTCAACAAAAGAGTTCAAAAAACAATATTTCTAGTAAACTGGCAAATGATGTCATAAAACTAGCCGTTTATTATACACTGTCACCCTTGTTTAGTGTTTCATGTTGCGTGAATACAAGTGTAAGAGTTTATTATAACTCGGTGAGTTTTGTTCCAAGTCTTGCGGCTTTTCTAGCCTCGCGTTGTGCTAAAAGAGCTTCACGACGTTTTTGTCGCTCTTCCTCGCGATTGCTAGATGCCGTGGTAGATTTCAAGTTGGTATTCGAAAATGACGATACTGGTTTAGGTCCCATAGATATTGGCTGAGATGACCAGTTATCTGACCATGAATCCCAATCCTTTGAAGCTGCGTTTGTGGGAGAAACCATTTTAGTAGGGTCTGTTGATTGATGGGATATCAAAAATAAGAAACCACATTAGCAAAGGGTGAACTTGACGGTACTATACAGTATCAAAACAACCAGCTGAAATCAAAATTAACCAACCTTGAACTGGACTTTTAGGCTGCATTGACTCGTCTATATCCCAACCACTGTCATCCCACCCGTTTGTTGTTTCAGCCGCCAAAGCACTTTCCAAATGAGGATTAGCAAAAGCTCCAGCTGTTGTATTACCTGCATCAGTGTCAAACTTGAATGAATCTGTAGCTGCAAAAGTGGTAGATGGGGTCAAAGTCTTGACATTTTTCTCGTCAGATGTTGGATCGAGTATAGAAGAAGCAGATGTTCCATCAGGCTTAGTATCATATATGCTCATGGATGTTGCAATACGCGAAGACATGGCTGAAATGGCCCATCCAGCCCATCCATCATTGGCACCACCTCCTGTAGAAGGGCTGTTGGAAAAAGTTTCTGCTTCCTTTGGTACAGCTTGAACCGCACTTTCAGGCTAAACAGAATAGTCAAATAGCACGAAACATTAGAAATATTTAATGAAATCAGTTTAGAATAAATTAGGATTGTGATCAATACAAACCATTTCTTCGGCTGCACTTTCAAGCTTTTTTATAAAAAGAGACATATTCTTTAATGCCTGTACACGGTTGACTCTAAACATACAATATTAGAATATTGAATCGAATATTTTAATTCATAAAGCAAACCAACATCTTACTTTTCTTGATCCAGGATAAGCGGAGAGATGCTAGGAATAATCTTTTGAGCAATCTCTGATGGATCATAGCAATCGATTGTAGCTTGAAGTTTAAACAATGCCGGTATTAATACGAGTGTCTGGCATTTAAACTATACATATCTATGAATTAGATTTAAATCAAACTATACCTGCAAGCGCCATCAAACCAGCTTTTCGAGCTGGGGGAAATCTATCATGAAGACTACGAATAAATGCAGTAGAAAGTATTTTTTTCTTGATCTAGATGGTGATATTTTTGGTTAATGTCCATAGCATCAAACGCAATGTTTTGATATTCATCATATTTGCAAACTGTATAGTTCTCTGCAATAAACTCGCATTACCGAATCACTCATATAAATACTGATTTTTCCTAGACAGATTGTGGTATTCTACAAATACACGATACCAATTAGTACGCTCATTCAAAAAACATGTTTTGCTTAAATGTATTAAAGGTGTTTGTTACGTGGGTACAATTCCCAACAACTAGCAAGTACTCAACTGTTCTAATTCCTGGCTCTTCGTCTGCTTGAAGTTTTGCTAAATATCTAAGAATATCATTGTTGATGATACGCTCCGAAAGCTGGAATGCAATAGTTAGTATTTAAAGGCAGCTTCTAGCAAAATAGCTAGCAAAGCATACCTTTGGTGCAATGACCAAAACAGACTTGAGTGTACTTTCACGCACAGTTGCCTATTTGATGAAGCGTTGGTAAGCTCGCGCATAAAGTATGCAAAACGGCCTTTTATTTATATAAAAACTTACACTAGTATCGCCAAATCCGGTTGCCTACATAGTATTATAATTATAACCCATGTGAGTCAAGGGTTTTCACTCATCAAAAACAAGATATGCAATCCAGATCTACACCAACTCACCAAATTAGGAAATATTTTTTCTGACACAATCTTTTGACTAAGATGTCCAATGTAAGAACCTAAACTCTCGCAAAGGGTTACACGAATTGAGCGATCAGAAGACGCAAATAATTTTGTAATGATAGGAACAATAAGTGTCCCAAAAGCTGATTCGTCTAGCCTGGAGCCAATCTTGAGAATAGGTCCAAGAGCCTTGGCATCGGCACCACCAAATTCAAGAGCGTTGATCAGTTCAGGAAGAATCTTGTACTTGCAAAATTCTAGTGGAAATAATACTACGGATGTATTGATAGTACTAGTTTTAAAAGCAGCAAATCAGATTGTGTATCAAGATCATTCAAACACGCAGTATGTCCAACTTACTTGAAGTATGCATTTTTTTCATGAGGATCCTTTAAAGAAAATTGTTCTAGAAACAGTGAGGTTTTGACAAAATCGTTATCAAAATAGCCTCCTTTATCCTGAGCAGACTTTAAAACCTGGTCAAATGTAGGACGAAGTTTGGGATTGATATGACGCATCTTTTGGCATAATGACATCATGGATGATGGAATGGATCCCAAGCCAGTCTGACCATTAAAAATATCGTGAATTAAACAGGAGAATCCCCAGATATCCAGAGACGTTATAGGTTGGCTGTAGTCATTGACAAAGTAAAAACCATTAGCGCAAGATAAATATATGCGCTTAGCAATTTTTGAAACACGAGTCAAGTATACCTTGCTAAAACCGAGGTGGAGCTCTTGACTACCTCTGGTGGAATGGTATGCTCCTGAGACGAGATCATGATGGCATGTCGAAAGATGGGTGGGTTTTCGTCCTTGAGCGAGCTAAGAAAGTCTAATCCGCCAAGTCTTGACATGTTTACATGAATCAGTCTTGGCACGGGATTATCAAACCTGTCCGTAATGTTAAAAAAGATGAACTTACTTCCACTCACCCGATTGGGTTGAAAAAATAGAGGTAAGTCGCACGTTAGCATAAATAAGCGCACAGTCTTGTGTCAAAAACTTCAAAGCGCTCGCAAGCTTGAATAGACCTAAACTTACAAGATTTGCATCTTGCAGTTTTGACTGATCGTGAATGAGTGGGGTTACCGACTCAGTTCCAATAATAATCTGAGTCTCAGTCTAGTTATGAATAGATTGATTGCATACGTAGTAGTTGAAAAAGACGTGTAACACAACCAAAACATCAATTATTGTTAGATGCAGTACATTGATACAATTTACACTTGTATTCACGCAACATGAAACACTAAACAAGGGTGACAGTGTATAATAAACGGCTAGTTTTATGACATCATTTGCCAGTTTACTAGAAATATTGTTTTTTGAACTCTTTTGACTGATTTTTGTGTTCATCTAGAACGTGCAATCTTGTTCACTTGAACTAGAATGTATCCGAGATGTTAATATACAACAATAATGAGTGTGTAGAGTTTGTGGACAACATTCAAATCTAATATGCAGATTGCAATGAATAGATTTGAATGGATTTGAATAAATCTGGTGATCGTACAATGCATGACTACCAGATGAAAACAATATCAGTTCAAACCTATAGTTTGATTTTGTATAATGAACACTGTTTTAAACAACTCATTAAGTAGCAGTGACTGCTAGTGTTCCATTTTACATGAGTACGGCTGTGAATTAATTTTAAACCTAGAATACTAAAACAGGCTTACTTCGCAGCCATCTATATAGCGTAAAATATCAGGATAACGGATAGTTTTTGCCCGACGAAGTGCGTTTTGAGCAAGATCCAGTTTATCTCGATGCAAGTTGCAATCAAAGATGAATACTGATACAGGTTGTTGGTCGTCCTAACATTGCACCATGACAAATGATTGTTAGTATAGTCAACAAGAGTTTGAATTTATAGAGATACATGTAGTTCTATCAACGTATCAAGATGAGATTGACGAGGTAATCTTGAATGAACTCCAAGTTTGAGAGTTGAATTCATTCTACAACTGTTGTGGATATTTGCAGTGTGTAGATGTTTGAAGTTGGTCTAGTAAAAGTAGTCATTGTATGATAGTGCAATGGTAGAAACCTGCAGACCTTTTTGATTCCAGTGTGAAGAACCCAGAGTGACTCTTCCGGTTGCTGAGAAGTTGGCAGTCCAATAGAAAAAAGGAGATTAGGTTGCTGGGAACCCAATGCCTTGGAGAGAGTTGATTTGGCAAAATCCAAGACAAACGAAGTCATGTTTGGGCAGTTTGTCAAACACTTGGCAAGACACGAATTGCAGGAACTTGAAGTTGTGGTAGGAATCCAAGACAGTTTACAGCTCGAGTGATGATGAATGGCATTGAAGGATTATCGCGAATGGCAAGACTTGTTGGAATCTTACAGTTCACGGTTAATGCAAGACAATTTAATCATTCAAGACCATCAACTATTCATTTTATTAAGCAAAGACTGCTTACACCAGATTGAGATTCATTCAAGACTGAGTTGTTATAGTAAATAATCAATACATTTGAAAAACTAATTGGAAGAACCTGGCACACTGGTGTTTGCAATCAAAGCAGCAGTCATGAGTTCATGTCTAACAAGGTTTCTCTGTCGAACCTTTTCTTTTAGTTGATCTAGTTTGAGTTGTGCAAGCAAGATATCTGGTGGTAAATGTTGAAGAGATTCAAGCCTATGTGCCATAGTGTTGGTCTTTTGTGCAGCGAGTTGTGTCTGATTGTCCAATACTTGTAAATCGTTTGGGATCAAGTTGTGTACTGTATCGGAGATATCCTGCATTTCATCCAGACGAGTCATGTAGTCGATGCGCTTGGATTCTAGCATGTTCTTGTTTTGAGACCATTTAGAAACCATTCGAGCAGCAGAAGCACTCTCATGTCTCTCTCTTTGCTCAAGACTGTATATTGAACATGATTAAACCATTGTAGTAATACAATTCACAAGTTGTACAAGATACCTAGTAGCCAATGACCTTCCAGACAAGGAAGCAGCAGTCAATCGTTCAAGTAAAACAGTTTGAGTTGATTTGATGGATTCAAGAGAGTGAGCAGTAGCCAAAGTGTCTGATAATGCAATCAGTAAATCACTTTATAACAAAAGGTTAGTGATATGATGATGAATACAATAGAAATGAAACATACTTGATGGAAGTAGAAGCAGCCAAACCAAGAGAGAGAGAAGTGTGAGTTAGAACATCGAGAGCGAGAGTAGTGTTGTTGTTGTTGTTGTGAGCATCAAGCCTCTTTGCTTGATTCATACAAGACAATGTCATGACCAAACCTTGAATCGAAACCAAAGAATTGACTCCTAGTGTCGTCATGGATGCTTACTGAGCGCGTCTTGTGGATGTGTAAAGGGCGATCCACTCATCAATGATGTGCTACAACTTGACTTGTAGAGCCACTTGATGATGACCAACTTTCCCTTTTTAAATCTGTCTTGAATCGCTGCTTTTTACCTTTTATTCATCTTATATCCTTCTGGCTTCATGGGGAATCGTCTTTCCAAAGAACAAGCTTCAGTACCATTCGCTTATGCTAGAGATCCTACTGCTGTTAGACCTACCGACTTGAGTCGATATTCTACCACTGGTCCTCTCATCACTAATGATCCCTCTTTCCCATCCAACTCTCTTTCTACTGCTTTCCCTTTAGACAGTGGTGGACTAGATGATGCTTCAGTACCTTCGTTTGCTACTCTCGATGCATCTCCTTATAGTTCTGGCTTGGATGGCATTGCCTTGGGATTGCCTGATTCAAGAGCTGCCATCATCAATGCTAATCCTATTCACAAACTAAAACTTGTTTCTGAGATTGATCGAGACCAAGACTTTCTAGACTCTTTACCTCTCATCATCCCATTGTTAGGAAACTCGTGTTTAGAAGACAGGCACGCTGAGGAACGGCTTGCTCGGGATCCAACTGTTGAAACACTAACATTTGGTCAACTGCCTTCTCTTGCAACGATTGGGGCTTGCTCTCAAAATCTAGTTGCTATATCAAGAAATATCGGTCTACTGGCTTATACTACCACCCTACAACTGTAAGCTCCCTTAACTTTCATACCCTAACCCTGATACCTTTACTGTCCACTAACTTGCTGATGCTTGGTCTGATTCACTTGTTTTTGAAATCAACTTTAGCTGTTGTAATCGGCTGACTAGCATTCCTGCAGAAATCGGCTATCTTAAAAATCTTGTGATTCTTTCTCTTGCTCACAATAATCTAACTGAACTTCCAGATACCATCGGTTTGCTTACAAAACTTGTTCAACTCAAGGCAAATAATAATGCACTTGCAAGTATCCCTGAAGCCATCTGCAAACTATCAAAATTAGAGACTCTTCAACTGGAATGCAACGAAATTACACATGTACCCAACAAAATAGGTGCACTGTCCAATCTGGTAACCATCGATTTGAGCAATAATCCGCTGGAACTGTTACCAGCAGAAGTCGGGCGTTTAAAAATGCTACGCCGAATTGGAACCTCAAACTGCCCTCTCTCAACTACCAGCAAAACTGGCGATGCTGTCCTGCCATCTCTCAAGGAACTTGCTGCTCGAACAATCGTTCGCTTTCAATTGCCCATCCTCTCCATTACTCAGCCAGAATTAAAAGACTATCTTGCTTCAGCCCAAGAATGCTCATGTTGTGGTGGTCCTTACTTTGATACCTACACAACACATGTACGCATGGTAGAGCGAAGTCGTACTAGTCTGCCGCTAGAATATCGACTATGCACTCGGCATTGGTCCAACGATGCCGATCGAATCAAATCTTTATTTGCTCCACTACCAGCCACCGCTCCAAAACCTGCTCCTCTGTTGAACATTGCCTTTTCTAATTCACTAGATTCATCTGACAAAAAATCATGTCAGGCTCGATCCGATGCATTGCCATTGAGCTCAATTGCTAAAAGTCCTAGTTTACCTACTCTCCCTTTTTCAGTAGAAAGTCATTCACGCAAATCGTCTGCCTCGAAACTCTTTAGAAAAACCGCGTTCATGGCCTCGGGCATGCGTGCCAGTCGCTCACTTAGCTTCCTTTCCTTACAAAACGGATCTGCTGCATCCAGTCTACCTTGAATCATAAGGCAGCAACTGCTTCAAAGGGCATCCCAAAATCATCTGCAACACTCTTATATATACCTTGTAGGCAGACAGTTTAGGAAACTTGCCCGTCATACTTGGCATTCTCTCGACTCGTTGACTCCATGCTACAATAAAACAAGTCGTTTCAAACTTTACTTTGTTTTCTCTCATGTAAAACAACCACACATTGTATTGATTGCATCTTGAATTTATATTGAACCAATATATTTTAAACTTTTATAAAATAAAACAGATCCAAAGGTCATTCTTTGCATGGTGCTGGTTCAGGTGAGGCTGGGTCAATGGGTGGGTTTTCCACTCTTCCCACCTTGAAATACTTTTTATGATCTCCATAAAAATCAACCCATGTAGATAGCGACTGTTTAGAGGTGTAAACATGAATACATATTAGAATCAACATCTATATCGACAACAGAAACGGCACGTACTTCAATCTGTGCATCAGATAATCCTCGCAAGTCGTGAGTCAGATCTGTTTCAAAGCAACCAGTGATGTACGCTCGGGTTGCATCCTTTCCAGCAAAAAAGCTATAACTACCACCCTACAGTTGGCAAGGTTAGCTCATGTCTTGACATCACATTGTCAGACAAACCATGCAGCCTAAAACTCAAATCATTACTTTGCCATAATAAGGTTTCCCTTCTGAAACGTCATACACTATTCCACTATTTAATTCAAACCCATTCAACTGGTTAGATCAGCTCTTTTAGTGGGTCACTAAAAGTAAGCTTTGGCTAGTCTTGAAAACAAAGTGATGGTGTACACACCTGATAGCAATGTAGATTGGCTTTGAAGGATCGCTTCCATCATAAGTTGCCAACATCTCCGGGGTTAATACGATTTCCTTTGGCTAATCCAGCAAGGTTAGATAATCCAAGTACATGTTTCCTAGTGATGACAGTTCTACCATCAACACAAGTTCCAGAAACTTACAGGAAAATAAGTCCTAAAAAGCTTCCGTACAACTGCTGTCTGACCACCAAAATCATATGTATCTGTAACGATATAGGATGTAGCAATAATGGCTCCTACAAGCACACACAGCGACACAAGTATCTGCAACAAACCAACACCCTTTGGTAAAGGTTTTTCTGTAGGTGTTGTCTTGGTCTTTGGTTTCTGTGCTTTTGTGTCCGTAGACTTGGCTGTATTGACCATGAATGCAAATACAGATTGCAAACAACTGAAACCTTGAACTGCAATTTAAAAGTGTTTTTCCATCAATCGATACTTGGAATTACATTCAATCCAATGGCTGTGTTCTGGCAGACAGTGAGATCAAGTTGTGTTCTGGTTCGTTTATTGAAAAGTTGACTCACATTTGAATTCAATAGACTGTTTCTTTGCAGGCTCGACCTCGAGGATGTCATCTCATCAGGTAGTCCAATTCACAATCAACTTGTTCTCAACTATTCATATTCTCTGATGACTGACAGATTTGAATGAATTAAATACCATAGTGGAGAGATACAAAGGTATAATGTCAACCATTCATCACCAGCAATGAGTTTGGGATTAACAGGTTGATATGAGGAAAACAGAGCACTTGCTCAGATGCCAAAGTGTCAAATTGGATTGGCCAATATTTTTTTACAACACACATCGGCCTCGTTGACTATTAATGAGGTACAGCGTGCTTTGAACGATTACAAGTGCATTCATGGTTTTAGTGTCGATCTCCGAGTAGATAAGCAAATAACATGCATTTTGTAGAACTGCGATCCAGATGTTCGCAAAGACATGGAAATGTCCCTTAATAATCTGGCTCCGGAAGATGCTGGTTACATTCACACAGATGAGGGTTCTGACGACATGGTAGGTGCTGCAACGTTGGTTGTGGTGATCAGTGGTTTGATGAATTAACCTATTCATCTCGACTATTAAGCCTGGACATGTCAAATCGTCTCTTTTCGGCTGTTCCTTGACAATCCCAGTTACAAACTCGGCACTCAATCTTGGGCAAGTAATCTGTAATTTTATAATCAAGCCGTGTTTATTTGTCGTTGTATAGCTTAATAATACTGTTGATCCATGACGCACACAGCACTTGGCAAGGAATATGGTTGTGTGAGCATCGTAATAGAGGAGGCTCTCGTCGTGTGGTGATCACAGTGCAGGGTCAGTGATATTATATATTGTCTTGATGTATTTCCAACACGAGCATCAGCTTCCAGAAGCACATCCTCGGCATCTACACAATATGGATTTGTTTTTTAGGCTGTCAGAAATACCTAGTACAATGCACCAAAATGCATGCATGTGTAATGGACTTTTGACAATAATAAAACTTACCCACAATGCACGCATTCAATCACCTTGTTTTCGTCCAGTTGCTGTTTAGGTACACGACAAATACATGTCGTTCCAAAATTGGTATCCTTGGGTTGTATGCATCTTAAACAGCACAGTTTCTCGTATCCAGTCTAAATAAATCACATTATTTAGGTCTGTGACACTGATCTTGGAACCAACATTGCTCTGATCCAAGCCTCGTGTACAAATAACTAACCTTTTTCCATTTTGCAATCAATGCTGCATCTGCATGTCCCTGTTTGATACAGTAGTCGTATAAATCCCTAGTAATGGCCTTTCGCCTATAATAGATATCATAAATGTATCGAGTTCGTTGATGGTGCAAACGCATAATTGGCCATGCTGTCTCCACTTTACGCTTGGCTTCGGTTGGCTCGCTCTCAGCTACGTGTATGTCGTATCATATTAGCACATCCCTCAGTTATATCAGCAAATAATCCTTTTAAAAACAAGCCTGATCAATACACAGTCGTATTCATGTAAACTGCAACACAGTAGAGGTGTCGGTTATAATCAACAGCCAGTCTCATGGAATAATGTCCATTACATTTACTGGTCACTGTTTGAATTCCTCGACAGGGTTGGCTGGCATTTTGCCCATGTTTGTATACACAACTCAATGTTTGTATTGCAGTTTCAACACACTCACATGTGTTCAATCTACAAATTGAACATCACAACATTGGCTGATTGACATGAAATCAACTGCAATCTATTTTGTCGAACGCGAGCGTATCTGTAATTCTAGAATACAATAGTTTGACAAGATCACAACTCGATCTCCGGACTGTTGTGAATCTGGTGATTGTACAACGAGTAGATCATTTCAGTTTAAAACTATAGTTTAGACTGAGATCATACAATGACTGCAGTGTCGATTGAACCGAGACTATCCAATCCAATTCAGTCAATGTAAAGTAAACCCCATGAAATATTCAAACATTGTATATGCAAACCAAAAACGGAGTTGATTTTACATGAATACGATTGTAAGATGATCATATTGGCTCAAGTGACCGAGTTCAAGCGTCCATATCAAAATGTGATAAATACTGACATGGACCAACACACCTTGTCTCATTTTTTGTGCAAGCTCAGTTAGAGTTGGCTCGATTAGCTCCCATCCTTCTGGAGGCGGTTTTGTTCCCCGTCTGACTTTTGGCATAAGCGGTCAGCTGCTGAATTCAATGCAAAGATTTTTGGTGTTAAACTCTGTACTCAAAAGTGAGTTTGAGCCACGTGATATACAGCTTGAATATGAACAATTTGTTGAACTAATTAGTGCGCGCAAGCAAACCCAATTCCATTCTTGAAATCACAATCAAATGATTTTATTCACTGAATTTGAAGCATTGCATATCAAAGTGTCTTGTCATTTCACCATGTGTTTCATTAGGTGTTTGACCATGTGTTTGACTAGGTGTGTTTCACCATGTGTGTAACACTCATACGAGAAATAAACTCGGCTTTTTGCATTTTTTGTCGAAGCAGCTGTATCTCGGCAATCAATTCTTGATAGTACTCTTGCAGTCTGTCAATTTTGCTTTTCAAGTTTTTAGATTCATCCTGCAGTATTGCATAGTGTGTTTGATATCACATCAAAAATGTGCATAATGTTAATACTACAGTACGGATTGTAAGCATTGCATGTATAAATACTCACCACTTTCTCGCCATAATCACGCAAAAGATTGTCGTTGCCTAAAAGTCCATTTTTTTGACGCAGCGTGGTATTGATGTTTTTTAGACTGTCTCGATTTTGTTTTGAAATAGGCAGTGAATCCCTGCGCAGAGTTACTTGCTTATCGAGTGCTTTGAGATCCAGCTTTAAATCAACGGTTTCACCCTAAATTGCGTTGTATTCAATTTCAGCTATGCAATGGTTGCTTGTTATATATTAAAGCAGACATGAGCGTATTTGCATACCTGAACAAATTGAAGCTTTTCCTTGACATGTGTCAACACCTGGACAACATTCGTGATTTTTTTACGAAGTTTGAGCAGCTCCTGTATTGTACAAAACTGTAAATATGTACACAGCTTTGAACAGTATATTTGTAAACCTTGACAATATATTACCTCGTTACGTTCCTCGATTTTTTCATTATACGTTTGGTTTTCGATTTTCAACTGCTCAAAATCAATCAAATGAAGTCCATCCGCAAGCTCCTCCTATATATATGTGTGTGTATATGTGTGTATTTGAAATACAATGTTTAGCTGTTGCATTGAATAAAGCCATGCATTTTGAAATACTGTACTTTTTGGCGGAGCAGTTGCTCGTGTCGTCGAAGCTTGTTCCTCAACTTAATATTATCTAGTCTAACTGCCACCACCTCGTTTTCCTTTTTGCGTTCAGTAGATTCGAGTTGGTCTACTATTTTAGTTGGAAGAGGTTTACCCGTGCGAGAGTTTTCAGCATCGAGAGCAATCGATCGCTTATATTTCCAAAACTCGTCCGCTTTGGTCGTCACTTCGTCTAGTCTTTCCTCAAGCTTGCCTTTGTATTCGCCAATAAATTTTTGATTTGCAATGTTTATTGAATTGTATTCTGTTCGGAGTTCATTGAGGGATGACATGCAGTTGGCGTATCGCTGCTCTTGATCTGATACACTTTTTTCTCCGTCGCGTGTGTCGTCGGTCTATTGGATTGTACATGGGTCGTGCATAGTTGAAAGGGTAGTAAATGATGGCAGATGAGTTGTTTAAATCAGGTACACCAGTCAATTTATAAATTTGAAACACATACTTCAAGTCGTATGGATTCGACTCACCCTTTTTTTTTTAAAATACTCGCTCAGCTTGTATTGTAGCATTGAGTTTCGTAAAGATAGCTTGTCTCTGAGTTCCAAGTTTTTTTTGATGGACAATACAATGGCATCTCTGTCAATTTCAATTTCGATCAGAGATTCACTTGGCTGGCGATCTATTGTACTATTGCGATACTCTTGTCCGTCTTGGTTGTCATTGTCCATCATGTCTTGTGTTCCAATTCGCATACTACTGTTCGCGTCATGTTTGATATCATTGCTCTGCCAAGATGAACCAAGATGCTCGTGTTGGTTGTCGACAGCATGCTCATTGGTTTGATGATCGGTACAAGTCAATGTAGGAGAAACAGGACAAAGCAAAGCAATTTGCACAGTATTGTGTACGCCCAACATAGTGTCATTAACCATTTCATCAACCGACGCAGATCGAGTCATGTTAGTTGTCAATCCAAACATCAATTCATCCTGATCCGCTTCATAATCTGCATGAACAAATGGAAATGTACTATCCACATCAACAGGTAATGGACTTGTCATGAGTTGTGTTGTTTTGGATAACGGGTGGATTCGATCGTCAGAATAAATGATGTTTGCAAAGTCATTCAAAATCTTTGTATCTTGGGGTTCAACTGGTTCGAACATGTTGGCGAATTGAATATCCTGTACATCCAACACACCCATATTTTTTTCATCCGCTTCGATGGTTTCTTCTTGGATATGGGCTTGAATGCTATGAAGGATGGATTCCAGCAAAGCGTTATCTTTTTCATTTTCCTCTGCCAAGTTGGCCTGCATGGTAGATGCATGGATAATAGATGCATCGTCTTCATTATACTCATTTGATTCTTGTATTTCGGTAGATGGTAATAAAGAGTGATCTAGCTCGTCATTTATATCAATTTGGGATGTATGAGAGCAAGGTCGCGACTGGGTGATACTGGACGCGATATATTGGGATGCGTCGACTTGAGGCAAGGGTCCATCTGGCCTATCTTCTGGAAGCATGGGTGGTGGCTCTTCACTTGCCACTAAAGTGGGTGTGGAGATGGTTTCTGCATTGGTATCCGAAAACTCCAGTACGGATTGTATGTCTGCATTGGATATCGCCTGCTCTTCTAGGGGATAAACCTTGGAATTCTCTATATTTTCCAAAATTATAAATGCAAATGTTGAATTTAGATGGTTTACTATGTTAAAAACGTATCAAACCCACCTGGAGTTTTTGAGATAATCTGCTCTGGAGTGTTGACTTGTGCAGCTTCATTCTGTTATTGAAGCGTTGGTTATTCAATAAAAAGAGTCGGTCAAAAACTGGCTCTTGAATTCTAAACATTCCTCATGAATCAAGGCACGAACCTCTTTTACTTCGTCTTCCATTGTAGAATAAAGGAAAAGAAAATTCACCATCTAATCTAGCTTTTATCAATTGTTTTACATTCCCCAACATCACTTGCAATTTTATTGAATTAGGTGAATGAAACATGACACCATAAAATTCATTTTTAAATGGAATGCTCTCACGCAGCATAAGTCGAAGAGGCAACACGTCCACCACGACCTGTCCAGTTGGTATGAACCCATTTTCCAGGAGCAGTTTCGAGCTCGTAGGTATGAGCACCAAAGTAATCACGCTTCAATCAATGATCAAAAACAATTAGAATGCTAGTTTTAAATCAAGCAAAACAAGCAAAACAAACCTGGGCTTGCAAAAGACTTGCAGGAAGCTTGGCACTGCGGTATCCGTCATAAAAGGCAAGTGCAGATGAAAAGCAAGGAACGGGAACGCCAAGAAGAACGGCCTGGGAAACTACACGACGGAAATGGGGCATACAACGGTGAATTGCTTTGGTAAAGAAGGGATCAACAAGAAGGTTTGGAAGTTCGGGATTGTTGATGAAAGCCTTGGTGATATCACCGAGGAAAACACTGGATAGGGATAAATAGAATTTGAAAAATGCAAGTTAGTTGTAATGTATACAACAATTAAAGACAGGATAGATCATGTTTATACCTGCGAATGATGCAGCCACCACGCCACATGAGAGCAATTCCACCATAGTTGAGGTTCCATTTTTGCTCCTTGGCGGCCTCACGAAGTTCCATAAAGCCTTGAGCATAGGAGATAATCTTGGCGGCATAGACAGCCTGACGAATATCTTCGACAAAAGCCTTTTTGTCACCAGGAAAGTGAACGCCTACTGGACCCTGAAGAATCTTGGATGCTGAGATACGCTCATCCTTGATGGCAGACAGACAACGAGCAAAGACAGCTTCACCAATCAAGGTGACAGGGGTGCCAAGATCAAGAGCCGAAATGGCAGTCCATTTACCAGTTCCTTTCTGACCAGCAGTGTCGCGAATTTTGTCGACTAAAGGCTGACCATCGGTATCCTTGAAACGCACAATATCTCTGGTGATTTCAACGAGAAAAGAGTCGAGCTCGCCGCGGTTCCATTCATCGAAAATGTCACCCATCTCGTCATGAGAAAGACCGAGAACATCCTTGAGAAGAGCATAGGCTTCAGCAAGAATCTGCATATCACCGTATTCGATGCCATTGTGAACCATTTTGACATAGTGGCCAGAGCCGCCTTCACCAACCCAGTCGCAGCAAGGTTCTCCACTGGAAGCCTTGGCAGAGATGTCCTGGAAAATAGACTTGACATGAGGCCATGCAGCAGGAGAGCCACCAGGCATGATGCTGGGACCGTAGCGAGCACCCTCTTCACCACCGGAAACTCCAGATCCAACAAAAAGGAAGCCTTTAGATTCAAGTTCGTGACAACGACGAATGGTATCGGGATAATGAGAATTTCCACCATCGATGATGATGTCACCAGGTTCAAGGAAGGGAAGCAATTGAGAAATAAAATCATCTACGGCAGCACCAGCCTTTACAAGAAGCATGACTTTTCGAGGACGTTTTAGTTTAGAACAAAGTTCCTGAATGGAATGTGCACCAACAATCTTGGTTCCTGTTGTTCAGATTCAAACAAATGTACAACAACGATTCAAACGACATTATAAGTTTATGAATGGTAAGAATAAGGATTGCAGGAGTTGTAATAATAATACAGATTAGATTTGTAATGTAAGCAATTGATCAAGATTACAAGGGCCAAGACTTGCCTTTTGCTTCGTTGGCAAGAAAATCATCGACTTTTGAAGTAGTGCGGTTAAAGGCACAAACCTAATAAGATCAGTAAAAGCAATCAAGTTTAGGAAGAAAGCTGAACACAACACACCAGAACAGTAACAAGGGATGAAACAAGACTTGAGACTTGTTATAGTTGAATGCAACGAGCATAATGGAAGATCAGCAATTTGTAGTAGATCAAACTTACAGTGTAGCCATGATCATTCATGTTTAGAATCAAGTTCTGGCCCTATAATAAGAATATGAAGATGGTTAATATAGAATGGAATGAAAGCCTCATTCTTGTAGATGAGATTTACCATGACAGCCAGACCAATAAGACCAATATCAGCACTACTCATAAAATATAGAATGTTAATAGAATGTTAATGGATTGAATTGAATTGAATGTTTTCTTACACGGCAGTCATTTCAAGATGGAATCAATGCGATGGATAAAGATCTGAACAAGGCGTTGACTTGCTTGAAATTCACAAGACATTATCAATAAACAAGCTTATTCAACTTGTTAACAAGTTGTTGACAAGTTAACAAGTTCTAAGCTCGCTAGTCTTGAATCTAAAAACAACTTTTTCTTTGTCAGCTTCGTTTCAAGTCATTTGCTGCGTTTATTACTCTGGCATGACAGTCTCTCCTCTTACTATTCTCGACAGACTCATCTCAGAGAACTTACATGGTCCAACTATTCCATTTAATCCAAACTCTTCTGCTGCTGCAAAGGCTAATTCTCTCAACTTTGACCAATGGGTACTCATTGGTGATGAATACACCGACTTGGATGCTAAAGACCCAAGGTGCTGTCTTACTACATTCTACTCATCATCTCTTATCACTTCAATCTGCATAGATTGACTCTGAGCTTCACTTGAATCACCGCAAATTTCATTTTTACTTTTATTGTTGGTCGATGAATCTCTGCATCCTTGTTCATTGTCGTATTCATGTAAAATCAACCCTGTTTTTGGTTTCAATATTTCATGGGGTTTACTTTACATTGACTGGATTGGATTGAATAGTCTCGGTTCAATCGACACTGCAGTCATTGTATGATCTCAGTCTAAACTATAGTTTTAAACTGAAATGATCTACTCGTTGTACAATCACCAGATTCACAACAGTCCGGATATCGAGTTGTGATCTTGTCAAACTATTGTATTCTAGAATTACAGATACGCTCGCGTTCGACAAAATAGATTGCAGTTGATTTCATGTCAATCAGCCAATGTTGTGATGTTCAATTTGTAGATTGAACACATGTGAGTGTGTTGAAACTGCAATACAAACATTGAGTTGTGTATACAAACATGGGCAAAATGCCAGCCAACCCTGTCGAGGAATTCAAACAGTGACCAGTAAATGTAATGGACATTATTCCATGAGACTGGCTGTTGATTATAACCGACACCTCTACTGTGTTGCAGTTTACATGAATACGACTGTGTATTGATCAGGCTTGTTTTTAAAAGGATTATTTGCTGATATAACTGAGGAATGTGAATAATAATTCACGATTTCCTTTTAAACTTCAAGATTTTGTATATCCGCTGTTTTTTGTTGGCATTCATGTTGTACTGAGATACAATATACTATCACTTATGCTTTGTGATCTTGTTAATATCCATAGTATATATTATTATAGACTGTTTTGCTAACACTGCAAACCATTGCAGATGGTTTGAACTATTTATGGATTTTTTTATAAAAACAACTGGATTCGAAGTGCATGACGATCTTTTGTTTTTTGTGCGCCAGCTGCCCTCTAATTCAAAAAACTCTCCAACTGCATTGCCCGACTCGGATGCTGTGTTGGTGAAGCGTCGTACTGCTGGTGTGATCCCTGCTCTTGATGATGTGGTAGACTGGAAACAGTCTTTTTTTTTAAATCTCATTTCTCAGCTGCCCTGCACATTGACAGTAGCCGTATGCACTCGTGGATCTTCACAAGCAGTATCCACGCCAGATATTTCAAGAGAAATCACTGATTTGTCATTACGTGCTTTGGACACCAAACCAACCACTAATTTGGACAAACATACTTTACCTGGTGGTTCTATCCCAACTGAATCCAATACTGAATCATCTGCTGATTCGGGATCCGTGTTAAATCAATCTCAGCATGCTGCAGATAAAACACCATCAGCGTCTATACACGATGCAAGTAATGGTTCTAGCCGCTCATCAACGGCTCTCCCCAACAATGGTATTCACACACCTCATTCATCTGCTGCTCCTTCTGAGTCGACGTCTGCCTCGAATGCTGCAGTCTCACAGCCTTCTGAAACATCTAATACTCGTACAGGCAACAAGTCACGCATGGTGGCTCAGCGTAGGATAACCAAAAAAGTATTTGCCTCTCCTTACAAATCTAGAATGGATGTCAAGGACGCAGTGATGAACGAATGCTCCTTTCCACTCGTGTACTACACGGTAAATGACTTTGAATCGCATGCCCTTCATTTGCCTATTTCAGAACGCGAGTATCTATGCGTCGAGCTGTCGTTTACCATTCCTGATAATCAATCCTCTTCTGCATATGCTGCCGCTACAGATAAAGTGGCCAGTATTTCTTTGGAAGAGGACAGCACACCATTTCCTGTTCCTCCAAATCACACCAAGGTGATCTTGTTTCAAGGTGCAGTACCGTACTCTTCTCTCTTAGACAACTACCAACAAAAAGGTCTTGCTGTTCAAAGCCAGTTCAGGCAAGCATGGACAAACATGAACCGTCATTCTTCTGCTGCATCAACCAATCCCAATACGGGTGAAGTAGATTTGAATCGATCTGCTGGTCGTACCGAATATATTATGATGCGTGGTCCAAATGGAAAGGGACAATGCCAAGTTGCCATTACAGACAATGACAGCTACGTTTCTGCCGATGTTGTATCTCAGGAATCTTCAGCTGTAGAGAATTCACCGCCATCATTCACTGATCGATTAAGGTTTTTTGGAAGCGTGGTAAAAAATCAACTTATTGGCAATACTGGATCTTTGGGTGATCATCATGCTCACAGATTATTGAAAAAACCAGAAAGTTTGAGATGTTCCATGACTTATGTCAACGTTCCTTGGCAATCCATCTCGAGCGATCTATTAGAATTTGCCAAACAAAAAAAACCAACTGCAACGAAATAAACTTTGAATTTATCAAGACAGACTGATTTATGTACTCGTTTATACTACTCGATGGTAAGCTATCAATGTAGCTTGCAAAAGTGGAAAACAAGCGATGGTTTGAAAGCAGTCATACAAGTAAACTTGAATAAAATAAACACCAAGTGTTGATATAGCAATAGATTACAAGCCATCTTGTTTAATCCACACTAATGTATAAAACATAAAAAACGCAAAAGTGGAGAACCTGGGCATTGATCCCAGTGCCTCTCGCATGCTAAGCGAGCGCTCTACCATTTGAGCTAGATCCCCATGTTTTTACTAAAAAATAATAATAGTATTGATTGTACTCACACTTGTGCAAGATTACCAACGCAGTGGTTTTGTAGAATATTGTTGTTTCCTATTACAAATGTGTTCATCAGACACAACTACAGAGTTGAACACTGATTGTCTAATCTTGACAGTCACACACTGTACAATCACTCAATACAATTAAAGAGTTGAATAACAATTTTCAACAAGTCCATCATTTGAGATGGTGAATGTTAGACTTTACACGAATGGGAGTGACTTGAAGTTGGTTTTGAATTCAGATGCAAAGTTGGGTTTCTTTATTCTACAACTAAAGTATGGCATCTACCAGCAACCAACCACAATCATTTGTAGCCATTACAGGCTCATCTACATCTTCATGTGGATACTGTCATGCTTCATCAGATTCTTCCCATTCGTTTGGTCTTTGGGCATATAGATTGACTCCATCAGTGTATCAAAACCTGATTGATCATGGATGGCGACGGTCAGGGAAATACCTCTATAAGCCAACATTAACGACTACGTGTTGTCCTGCTTATACCATTCGTTTGAATGCTGGTTCTAGTAGTGTGAGTAAAGGGCAGAAGAAAGTACTGAAAAAGATGAAGAGGTACTTGAACAGTGGTAAAGGGATTGTTGCTAAAGATGAGGAGAATGAGATGAGCAAAGTTGGACCAAGAGAACAGTTTATGATTCCTGCCAGTGATATTCCTACTGCCATCGACACTGCTGCATGGATTCATGCTGATACTGCTAGATCTGATGTGTCCAACCCAAAAAACAAGACTCGCTTTGAGCAAGAATCTGCTCAACATCTCGGCAGCACTATTTCTGTTCTCATTCATGAAACGGAATCCATTGCCAACCAACATTCCCATCAACTCAAGGTGGGATGTCAATATTGTTTTTCTGGTTGATATTTCATTTAGATTCTCAACTCAATGTTGTATTCAGGTAGTGCTGGAAGTGGCTTCATTTACACAGGCAACGTTTGAATTGTATAAAAAATATCAGATTGCAGTTCACAACGATCCGCCATCAAGATTGAATCCGGAACAGTTTACCCAGTTTTTGGTCGATACGCCCATCTGTACAGAATTAATTCCTGAAACAGATTTTAAATCTACTACATCTCAATTAGCTTGTTGGAACGATCCAACTCATTCCATTCAACCTCAACCCTCGTATGGTTCATTTCATCAGAAATATTACATGGATGACAAACTCATTGCCGTTGCAGTCTTGGATATTCTTCCTCGGTGTGTATCTTCAGTGTATTTCATGTACGATCCTGCATTTGGATTCTTATCTCTGGGCACTTATTCCGCTTTGAGAGAAATTGCTCTTACAAAATGGCTATCTGATACCATGCCTCGTGGGCTAGATTACTACTATATGGGTAAGTCTTTTAGTTTTGTTGTAGCCTAGTTTACGAGCTTGAATTTCTTAAATGTTTAGGATATTATATACATTCGTGTATTAAGATGCGGTACAAAGCTGCATATAAACCATCCCAAATTCTATGTCCAGTAAGTACACCTTGTTTTTAATCTAAAAGGTTTTGGCTTAAAACCAGCTTGTCACTCACCAGATCTGATTTTGAAAATGGGGGTTTTGGATGTTTGGAATTTAGGAAACCTACAAATGGGTTGATTTGAGTCAAGCTACTAGATTGCTGGATTTGAGAAAAGATACAGCACTTGTGGATTGCAAAAACAAGACTGAAGGCGATACAGAAGATGCTGCAATACAACCTCGACCTATTCGTGATGTTTTACACGTGGATATTCCCACAAATGTAATTGAGAAATCCGTTGCACTTGTTGGACGCAAACTTGTCCCATTAAATGTAAGATTTCAATCGTGTCGTTGTATGTGTTGGTTTCTTTACAGCAGTTACTGCAATCACTTGTCATGCTTGATATCTTGTGACCTATACTGACTACTGTTATAGATGCTTGGTCCCAAGCATAAACTAGTGATTCAAGTTAAAGAGTTTTCCACTCGTGTAAACCCATCTACGCTTTTAGATCAACTGGTGTTTGTCGCCACTTGATTTGTCTAGAACCTTTTTGTTGCAAATGTGCTAATTGATTTATTAATGCATGTGCAGTGTCGAGTATTTATAGCCCAACTATCAAATTTATTTTGACTGAAATAAAGTATTTGTCAACCCTTGATTATTCAACAATTTATCGCCAGTATAGCATGCACTCAATTCGACAAGGTAAATAGTTTAACAATTTTGAATTCATGACTTTTAATGGCCACACAATCACATTTTTCTGACATAATCAATACAACTCCAAAATAAAAATGTTTTCTAGTCAAAACCACTTTTGAAACAAGCATCTTGGTTTTAGTATCGAGCTAAACTATATTCATCCTTGCGATCCCTTGTAGGTACTTAAAGCAGCAACAGATGCACCACCAGCAATTTCCTTGTGTTCTTCTGAATCATCCTTGATACGATATATAGTAATCTACAAACCATTCAACATAGGATTAAAACTCAAAAAAAATCCAAGTATAATGATGCATATACACGTACCTCTTGTTGTTTGAAATATCGACGGTTTTCTTCATCAATCAAAACTAGATTGAGATAGTACCGTACCGAAAACTTTTTGTTGATGTCTCTATACGTTGGTGTCAATTCAAATCCGCTCAAAAAAAGTCTGATGGGTATTGTCTCGCCTATATTGCAGAGTTCAAATCAGAACAAAAACCAAACCTATCAATTCCATAGTTGTGAATAAAATGGCTTACCCCGTACTGGTGCACCATCCATAATCTCAAATTTGGTGATGGTCTCGCTCTCGTTATACTGATTTGGCGCAATACCTGTAGATTCGCGTCTAATGATTGATAGTTCCATATTCTTGATCTTGATTCTCACAAGTAAAAAGTAAATCTTGCCAACAATGACATCGCGCAAATGGTACCTAAATAGTTATACAAGTATTCAGTGACATGGCAATGTGTATAAAATAAAAGCAATACCATCACAGTACTTACTTTGATTTGTTGTATTCAAATTCAATATGGAGACAATCTTCAATACCCACTTCCATTTTAATCGAGTTGTTGATCTCGGGTGGCATGCGGTAAGAGTATGCCCAAATCTCGCGCTCCTTGACAGCATCCGATAATCTCCTAGATATCGTTACTCTCACAAAGTATCTTTTCATTATGGAAATAAAATATGCCATGTTTTGTATGAATACATGAAACAGGACTCAAATTATAGTGTGACAATACTCATTACCGAAGTTTGACATTTAATCCGTGATAACTCTCGTAAGCTTTTTCAATGTTTTTGAATTCAAAATCAAATGTGGTACTTTGACGAAACTCGCCAGGACCTGACAATTCTTGGGAAAGCGATAAAAACTCGTAATGATTACCACGATCGTAAAACAATTCTAAAAATATCAAGATTTAGTTGTTCGGTTTTATGCATAGTTGAATCCAACTGTATGGTTTGATGTAGACAGCACTCACGTATTTGCCCGACAAATTCGATTCGAATGCCTTGATGTTCTAATCGCTTCCCATCCCGAGTCCGTACTTGAACCTGGTTAAAATAGACGACCCAAACAAACATATCAGTTGATCCAACGAATTCAATACTTTGTCCTATATGTTACAGTACAACATATGAGTACCTTTCCAGCGACGGATTCGCCGTCAAAGTACAAGGGGAATTTAGCACGACGATCCTTGTCAGCCTTGACATCAATAATCTTTCTTTGATCCTCGTCAGTAAAAACAACTTCAATGTCTGCAGCTGCGCCCAGACCAAACAATGCCTATATATGAGATATTGCAATAAATTGGCGTAATCGATGAGTTGCAGTAGTCAACACGACAAGACTGGTAGATATAACAATATGAATAGCGGATGAATGTACTATCCACTCTAATGCAGTGAATAGTGTCATAGTGATAGGACTAAAGCCAGGGATGAGTGGATTTTCGACGATTTAAATGTACACTGGAATAATTCAGCATTGAATCTCAACCAGTTGGAGATGCAGACATTATATTTGTAGTAGGATTTCCCGACTCGAATTCCAGAATATTAGCCATGTAGAGCAATAGAATAGTGTATGGTTTAGCCAGAAATAGTTACAACAAAGTTGTAGAATTTTGACAGCGTAGATTGAACAAGAGAGCCGAACCACTTGATTGTAATCATAAGATATAAAAGTATTGTATAAAGCAATGGACGGCTGACCTCCATCAATGACCGGTTGTAAATATGGAGTTCAATGCGACCAATTCAATTAAATATCCGTTGCTGAGTTTCAAGAAAAGAATTCAATAATCAAAACAAGTATTTAAAGCCGTGTTGACTTGAATGGAATTCTTGCAATGATAGAAACTGGCTTGATTCGACATTCTCGATTCTTTTAAATATTCGTCATGATACAAGTTGTGAATTGGAATAGTTTGTTCTTGAAAGTCATGCATTGCACGATCAACAAGTTTAAAACTGAATATCAACTGTTTTGTTAAACTCTTTTAAATCTCAGTTACGCTTTCTCGTTAATTCAAGTCGTTTTGAAAATCAACGCTTGTTTTCATGTTCATCACACTAATGTTTGTGGGAAACAAGTCCTTATTTGAATGGAAAAACAATTCGTCGATCGTATCTTATATATCAACTAACAATCTGATTGTTTGACACGATCTGCAGCTTCTGTCATTGAATATAGAACGTCGTTTGGTGACTGTTTGCTGAGTTGGTGTCGCTCTTGCTGATACGAGAGTTTCAACATTCCATCTATATAAAGTCTGTTTGTTAGTCTGAATCAATCGTGCAGTTTTACAAACGGATGATTCACACTGTTGAAATGCTGCAACAATAGTCTGCTCAGTCCTGTCGGAATGGCTTCAAAACATGCGAAATCGAATGGCTGAAATATCAATATTCCATTCTGCTTTCTCGTCCTTTTTCCCCTTCAGCTGTAAATATTTATTTCGAGCCCATTCGAGTTCCTTGACTCAACCCTAGACAAACCATTGGTCTGACTCATATTCCTCTGTTGTTTTGAAACTAAAAGGTATCCAATCACTACATATATCGAGCTATTACCTCTGATATATCGACTGCATTTTTTTGCAATTGCTATTTTTGCAATTTCAAAATGCTTAGTAGCTGAAGTTGTAAATCCTTCTCAACCTCAATCAAGTGCTATTCCTATCAGTGGTTTTGTCTTGACCAGTATATATTCAGCTGGGTATATATTAGTATTATTGAATAGTACATTCCTATCAGCATCATTGTAGTCTGACAGTTGGCACTTGAATTCATGTTGATTGCTCATACGCGCCAACTTGGCCATATAACTTGTTATAATCCAATATCCCGACCATCTTGCATATCTAAGCATGAGTGAAAACTCTACTACAATACATACTCTGATAGTACACTTTATACTATAACTACTGGTTTTTTGAATATCTTGTTCTACGCAGTTTAGCGTATGCAAATTTAATTATATGTTTGATTTGTACTGCATATCCATCATGTCAACTTAAATAACAGGCGTATCTATTTTTATGACTAATTTTTTGTGAAATAGTTTGGTGCTTTTCTGTATTTGAACTCTATTTATACCCCTTAGCGCTAATACCCTGCCAACTCTGGAGCAGCTTGAGCTGGAGTTTCTATTGATTGATTGTAAGTCGCATCGATTAAAATTGAATCAAGTTTTGATCAACTATTATTCATTACAACTGCTTGAAATTATTTCTTTTTCTACTCAGATTGTTTAAACAAATTGGTCAAGACATTTACAAATGGATGCTTTTCAGCCAGGTAGTTTACTGCTGTACAAAGTTGGAATTATTCATCATTGCAATCTAGAATCATTGTAGTGATGCGAGTAAGCCATCGTATACGCATTGTATTGAAACTCAATTTTATATTCAAATGATATTATGAATAGCACTTTGGGCAAAGGGACTCGAGTCTCAAAAATGCTTAAATTCTGACACTCAAGTCCGTCAATTTAATCGTACAATATCTAAAAAACCATTCCTGTCCGATATTTTCCATATGGCAACGAGCGACGATGACGTCAGTGAAGATGACTTGACAGATGGCCATGACAGGCGCAACGCAAAAGATCACTGGCATAATCAACCCAATTCTCATCGATGCGGCGAAACTCCTGCAGCATCTTCGTGTTCAAATCACAATATAACATTTAAACCCGCCTTGCCTTTTTCTAAACTAGCAGAGCAAGCTAGGAAATTCCCCTTGGTCAGTCATCGACGATCGGTAAAGTCTATTTCTACAAATTCACCACCAGTTATAGTGTTCGAGTCAAAATCTAAAAGCGGTAGCAGCGATCATGGTATGCCAAGTAATATATTACATTCCAACAATACCAGCAATTGTGCTGACGCATCTGTTGTAACATTTCATGAATCAACATCTATAGCACTTTCAACAAAAGATGCGCTGGAGATTATCAAAGACATTCCGTCCAAAACTCCAGTTTCATCCCAGCACGCTGAAAAAGAATATCCATATATAGAACCACCATCATCTAAAGTCGCCAACCCAACACATTCTGCCCAACTGCGTAAATTTGGCGGATTCAATCTTTTTCATTCTCTCATTGATAGACAACCCTCACAAAATCGAATGATGTTTTACAAAGCACGCTCGCCAGGGTCAAATTCGTCAGCCCAGTCATCATCATCTGGCAGTGTTTCTGAACAAGACGATGGATCTGATGGTGAATCCAGCATGGAGTCATTAGATACTCATGGTCATCCATCAAGCCCACGTACTCAAAAACATGCTAATCAAAATGAGCCACATGGTAGAACAGTATCTTCATTTAATGTGCCCACACAAGTGCCATTGGCTAAACCTAGTAAAAAATTGACAGCTTCTGAATCAAGAACTCGTATGATTCAAAAACTGCTCAAGGAATTGCAAATTTCGAAAAGTAATACGAACCGTCGAGATAAACATTTGCACGCCATCAAAAACCCTGAAATCATTTTAGTGCCACGAGTAGATAGTACTAGTCATTGTGCAAATAAGTCTGGCAACTCAAAAAATGTGCCATCATCAATCAATTCATGTAAAATACCAATAGCTGCCACTTTACCAGACACTGTTATTCAACCACCTTTATCTCAGACACTGCAGCCAAAACTAGTAGGTGATTGCTTTCAAGATACGCAGTCATTATGCGAATGCAAGAGCGTCGAAAGCAAAGTATGCCGAGAAAATAACCAAGTATCGATTACGACTGTAGTTGGAGAAGGCTCAGTGTCAATTCCTCAGAGTTTATCGTCACCGGGTTCCCCAGATGCATCGCTTGAAAAAACATCGCAGGTTTTATGGAAGCGTAAACATAAAGTTGCACTCAAGGATATATGGTATCCCATGGCACTTGCACTTCATCACCCGCATCACAATAATCAATCTGTATTGCAAACAGTTACGACAACTTCTCAGCGACTTCAAGGCATTTCTCGTCCAAGCTGTACTTTGACAGAGAAATTTGGTTGTGGTGAGATGCGTGTTATTGGTCGTGGTGCAACATGTAGAGTCCGAATGCTTATTGTCACCAACATGGGATCGACCCAATCCACACCAACACACTTTCAGTCCACTCCAACTCCACAACCGCCATTCACTCGCCAAAAACGAGTTTATGCTGTCAAGGAATTTCGCAAACGATCCAAAAACGAAAGTGAAAAAGTTTACATCAAACGTATGACCAGCGAATTTTGTATCTCATCTAGTCTTCATCACTCGAATGTTGTAGAAACTCTTGATCTAGTTGTCGACGAGCATCAAAAGTGGTGTGAAGTGATGGAATACTGTTCGGGTGGTACTTTATTTGATTTACTTAGAGAAGTGTGCATGACTCTACAGGAAGTAGGATGCTGTTTTAAACAGTTGATTCAAGGTGTACAGTATATTCACTCTATGGGTGTTGCACATCGAGATTTGAAGCCAGAGAATATTTTGTTCAATGCAGAGGGGCAGCTAAAGATTTCGGATTTTGGCGTGTCGGATGTTTTCAAAACTGCTTTTGAGAGTTTTCCACATTTGTCTAAAGGTCTCTGTGGATCAAAACCATATATTGCTCCTGAAGAATTTGAACGAGGAGAGTATGATGCTCGTGAGGTGGATATATGGGCAACAGGAGTGATTTATTACGTTATGAGGCACACAGGTCTTCCATGGCATCTGGCTGTTCCAGACGATTTCAACTACGCAGTATTTTTGCAAACACGAAATGGAAGGTTTAAGCCAATTGATTCTTTGGAAAATGGATGCAGAGAGTTGCTCAATTGTATTTTGGAACCAGATCCAAAAAAACGATATACAGCCGACAAAATCTCTGCCGATCCTTGGTTTCAAAATATTATTGTTTGTCAAGGATTGGAATGTGCTGATGGATCGCTGCATCGACATATATGTCATAAAATGTATGCTGATTGGGCTCAACGACATCATCGGCAACTGATTGCCTAATTGATGTCTACATGACATGATTTTTACCAAACATTCTATAGCAAAATTTAGTTTTTCTACCGTCTAGCTACCACAGCCAGTGACAAAAGGTATGATAATGGAGAGATGAAATAAAACAGGAAATTGTCAGCAATAAGTTGTGTTTGAAGTGTTGGTGTGGAATTATCATTCTTGTTACAGCTTTGTTTTCAATTTGGTCGTCAATATCATAATTCCAAAAATGTGTCATGTCCTTGATCATGGTACTTTTTTATAGTTCCAACAAGTCGTTTTGTGATGAATGCAGCCCATCATTTGGGTTCTAATACCAATTTGACCTGAGATTATGTCAGAACCGCGAATCGGCTTTAGATTTATACATGGCTTCGCGACTTGGTTGAATCTAGCTTGAATTGAGAGGTATTACTCTATTTTACAAATGTGTAGGTTGCTTTATTGCTGCTGTATACCTCCACTACCCCTATCAGCTCGAGCCCAGTATAGTATTGGTCTTATTTTAGCATGTATTTTGGCACTGCTATTCAAGTAAGTTTATGGTCATTATTGTCTGAATCTTGAATCTCCGCATAAGAGTTCCAACTCTACAATCCGTTGATTCAGTCTATAGTCTTTGGGTTTAACTCCATGCAGCAACTCGACTACGATATGCTTATTGAAACCAATTCATATAATTATTTGACCGATTGAAATTATGACGAAACAGAACACATGGACTGGAATGGTTTCCGTATAGACAGACACCAGAATGTGGCATGGCTTGTTGGAACACATTGGCGGTATATAGAATATCATTCGGTTTAGTCATATACCATGCATTTCTTATGGTTTTTCTGATTGGTGTGTCAGATCCATCAGATCCACGAATACATGTTCAGAACGGGTAATATCAGCTGTACTTGATCATCAACTTGTAACTGGATTCTATGTAGCAACTCATGTCAAACAATATATATTAGATTATGGCCAGTCAAGTTTGTTGTATTTGTTGGTGTCATGGTTGGACCATTCTACATGGCAAATCACTTGTTTTACCAATATTGGATAGCCTGTTGTAAGTACAAATATATTTTGCAATGTCAATTTTAATTGCTCAACTATACCAACACTCTAACCCAATTGAACTCTAATCATTTGAATCTATTCAAAATACATGCAGTGATATTTAGCGCAATGTTTGTCATTCTTCAATCCATCATTTTAGTGGACATGGCACGAACCATTTCAGAACATTGTATAGAGATGTACGATCAAACACAATCCATACTAGCAAAAATACTTCTTTTATCAACCACATTTATCTGCACAACCGGATTCATCGCCATCACAGTTGTTCTCTACATATTCTACGGAAATTGTGTACTCAATCGTGTATTTATTTCTGTCAATCTGATCATGAATCTAGCTCAAATGGGCGTGAGTGTAGTACCCAAAGTGCTGGAAAATCATGCAAAAGGCGGACTATTGCCTTCATCTGTTTTAGCATTATATAATACGTTTCTAGTTGCTGTATCTGCCGTATCCAATCCAGATCATTGTCAGATTGGAGTGGTGTGGGCTTCTACAGCAAACGCAACAAAAACTAGCGGTGATACGGCTGTGGAAGTTGCAGGTATTGCCTTTTTGGTGATCAATATTGCTTACTTGGCATTTTCGACTAGCACAATGGATATATCTGGTAAAAGCAGCGTTGCTGTTTCTTCTGATCAAGGGGAAACCATCGAGTATAATTTCTCCGTTTTTCATTTGATATTTATCCTCACTGCGTTTTACATGGCTTCAGTGTTTACCAACGTGAGTATGCAATGCCAATGCACCGTGTAGAATGATTTTAATCTTTGTTGCATACTAATCAAGATTGGTTTAGTGGAGTGTTTTTTCCATCAGTACAGTGGCTGGTGTAGATTTATCCGCTGTGGACAAGGGAGTTGGACCCATGTGGGTATGTTTTTATCATTTCTCGTTAAACTTTATACTGTCATCAATACTTGTATGCATTGAATCACAATCAATTATAAATCACCAACTCGATTTTTTGTCAAAATAGGTTTCTGTAGCGACAAGCTGGATAAATGTGTTGTTGTATATCTGGTCACTGTTGGCACCCATTGTTTTCTCAAACCGAGACTTTTCGTAGCGCATAATAACCTGATAGTAGCCATTTCTAATTTATTCAAACAACCTTCAATCTACTTTCTAATATAGTCAAATAAAATCTGTTTGCGATTGGTTTATTTCAAATGTAGTAGATAACATCATGCAGTCTTTGCAAAACAGTATGCTAACGTTCGCGTTCTAGTTCAAGAAACCAGAGATTGCACATTTCACAAATGTGATTACTGTTTGCACTCCAATTACTTCATGTTTGGATTGGATTGAATGAAAGGAAAGTTGGAGATTGGAGATTGGTACCAATCAAACATGAGACTGACCATGTACTTTGACTTGTTTGGTTTCATTCTACATGAATAAAACTGTAAAAGCGTGAGCTAGGTGGAAAGTTGCAAGATCATGACTAGTGTCACGTGTACACTAATTTCAATAAATTAAAAATTGCAAGTTTGACAATTCGACAAAAAACTGCAATACAAGACAGCAGCAATGCCCATCCCACTGTTTCGTATGTACCCTCTGCTATGACTTGCAAGTTGAATTCATGATGTGTAAATGACTGATAATTTTTTAATTCAAACCATTTATGATGATGGGTTATGAAATGAACATCAACTTGCAACCGGATTGATGATACTGGAACAAACCTTGTCAAACTGCTGATTCTACCACATTGTCTATTAGCTGGATCGAAACTTTATTTTCCAAATATTGTTGTTCGTATGGTACGATCGAATCTTCCACCCCATCAAGCAGTTTTTCGTTGTCCTCAGCAACTCAACAAACTAGACATGAAATCATATCTAAGCCAACTATACAATATTACTATTACAGATATTCGAACAATGAATTATACAGGTAGCACAGTGAAAAAAAATGCAGGCCCAAAGCGACCTGGAAGAGGCAAAATGACTTCCCCATCATACAAAAAAGTTATTATAACTATGGATGATGATTTTGTGTTTCCCATGCCGCCAATTATAGGCGATGGTACTGGCGATGAAACGTCGGCTACAACGGGTGCGGTTCGTATGCCTCCACGAGTATCGTTTGGTAAAGGATCAGCCAACAAAGTTCGTGCAAAGATCAATAAGCAAGCATTGGAGCGAGGTGTGGAATTGGACGCTTCACAAACCCCAAAAGATTCTTCGACTGACGTACAAAAATAAACTATGGTTTAATGTGATCTTTGAATCCCTAGATTTGCTAGCGGGATTCGTAAATGTTTTTAGATCCATTCTACCTGGTTGGTGTTTTTGGATAGTCATGTGTATAAATAGTGTGCAGATCTCGATATATCCCACCAAATAAATGATTAGATGCTACTTTGCATTGCGTTGGCACATACAGTAATTCGACTTGAAGAGCACTCAAGCCTGATTGAGAATAAAACTTTATATGAATAGGCACCAGTCAAGAATATAAAAACAAGATTGCATTTATCCAAAAAATACTAATTGATAATCATGTTTAATGTTGATAAAAACGCAGATAATGCTCGAGAAATCCAAATACGAAAAATCGAGTTAAACAGTCTTTACATCAACCCACATTGCGACTAAGAATTAATTTTACGTCCTATGGGGTACACCAAGAAATATAGGATAGTCAGTTTCAATACATTGATGATAAAAATGAAATCGAAAAGACTTGCCTTTTTTCGGCTTAGTAGTAAGTTCAGCATCAGCAACAAGCGCATCGGCAGCATCTTTTCCAGGTTCATCTGAAGTTTTCCTTTTACCCTTTGCTGCAGGAGCTTTGGCTTTGGTTCCAGCAGCGACTTTCTTTGTAGCTGCAGGAGTCGAAACTTCAGCAAAAGGAGAAGTTGTAATCAGTTCCTAGATGAATCGATACGCATTCAAAATAACAGTTAATTTCATGCCCAAGAGTTTCAAAAAGCAAAGCTGATTACCCCAATAGCAGGAAGATCTGCAAACGGTTTGGAACCTAATGGATTGGAAATATCAAGACGTGTCAATTCACATTTCGATGATACGAATAAAACAGTAATGTAGACACTCACTTTTATCAGCAACCATCAGAGTAAAACCCAGACCGCACGAAACCTTTTTACATGAGATTCCCTCCATCCCCTTGACAATATCAGCATTTACACATGATCGCGGAGCATTAGGTCCGTGTCCAAGCTCACCATGATAGGCGTTTTGTCCCCAACTGACGGTTGATTCACCTAGATGAAAATAGTAATGGCATTAAAAGTCTAGCGCAGGTTCAAGCCAACCGATATCATTTGAACAACATGGAATACTTACCAGCAAGTGCAAATAGAGTAGAACCACCGGCGCTAATTTCCCAAACCTCCCATCCAGACAGTCCAGGGTAATGCCTTGAAATCATTAACACAAGTAAATGGTTGACACGAACACAAGCGATTAATATAATGCCATATTCTGAGTAATCAGATGACTGCAGGTGGAATATGTCAAGCTGTAATTCCAGTTTACGCAAAAAGATGGACATTTACTTTGGATAAAGCCACGGTGTTCCCTGACCGCCATCTCCGGACTGTTTCCACTTGCCCCAAAGATAGAGTGCATTACGACCTAGAATAGAATTCAACGATTATCAATGTTTTTTGCCACGCTTGAATGATGGATATTCAAAAGGTTAGTGCTGATGATCCGACTTTAAAGCTTACCATCAATGGCCATGCAACTTGTTGTACCACATGCGATTTTTTTGACCATGTTGTTACGATCTTTGAAGCCAGGAACTTCTGTTGGAACAAAAATGTCTTTTGGAGGAGAATCGGGAAGACCCAGTCGACCATATCCACCGCAACCCCAAGAATACACGGCCCCTTGATCATCTAGCGCAAGAGAATGGTTGGTACCACATGCGATTGCAACAATTTTTTTATCTTCGAGTTTGGTGATGGGTTTTGGCATTTGTGGGTCGTATATCATACGACTAGTACCAGATATGTAGCTATGATCTTTACCATCACCAAGCTGACCATATTGCGGACTTCCCCATGCAAACAATGTTCCGTCCTCTAAATTTTAAATGACAAGCCAAACAGTCAATCTAAATATCCAGTCTAATCATTTATGATGAAATTCAAGTTTGATTTTACCAGTAATGGCGAGTGAAAAGTCTAAACCACAAGCAACGTCAACAGCATGTTGTCCTTTGATGGCCGTGACTTGCACAAATGTTTTAATATCGACACCAGCCTTGACACCACATTGCTGTACTTTGTTTTCACCAGCAGCGTAAACTCTACCAGAAGCTAAACACACGAATTAGATTAGAACAGTGTGGAAACAAGCACATTGACTTTAGATTTAAATGATTTACCAGTAACCAGGAGAGTATGTGCCTTTCCAACAGCAGCCTTTACAAAGGTTTCACCTTTGATATTGATTCTGAATGGATCGGAACGAGAAGTGGTTGTACCATCACCTAGCTGACCATTCTGGTTTCGTCCAAATGTGTATGCAGCACCTTGATCTAAACTCATTCTAGTTAGAATCAATACACATAAACTATGGATTCCAAACTATCGACTGTCTTATACACACCATCAATGATGACTGCATGTGCACTCGTGCAGTGAGAGAACACATCTACAACATTGATATAAGCAGCAGCTCCATAGATATGCGGTGCGGGGAATTCATGCGAGCCAAAACTAGAATTACATTTTAAAACAAATGAGCATGTAGTTGTAGTCTATAATAGTCTGACTACACACATGGTGTCCATCCATACAGTCTGTCATGTAAAAACATGAATCAGATCATATTGATAGAAATGGACTGCGTGTTGTTTAAAGCGCTCTGACCAATACCATGCGTAGATTCAAGTAAATGACTTGTTCAATTATAATGCGATGACAGTATCTAACATGCATGTTGATGTATGCAATAGACTCTCAATTTTTACAAAGCAACAGCAACATACTCCATGGTTTTGGAGTTGGTTGAAGATTTTCTTCCAACCCAGTCCCAGATAGTTGCACCACAAAAGACCAGACCACCAGTACTGTGACTGTTTTTAGAAATATCAGCACTAGTTTCAGGACTCATGCCAGCAGGTTTGGAATGAGTTTTTGAATCCATTATAATTCGAGGCAAGTCGCGAGTCTTTTACAGCGACAATGCGATAAAATGGGAAATTATTAAAATCATTGAATTGCTTTTTATAAACTGAATCTAAAATCACAATATTCTATTCGAGTTGATTCTTGTAAGATTAAGTTTATTTTTGTAAGATTAAATTAATTCTTGTGAGATTAAATTGATTAAACCAAGTGATAATGAAAATACATTATTTTATTGATTTAATAATTCAACTTTATATTTTGATGAAATTTTGACAGAATCAACAAATTGTTCCAACAAATCAAACTGTCTTTATGACACAATCGACACTTTATTATTCAAATTCACTAAAAATGAGTTGAATTTCATTTTCAACAATTTCTTGTTTTCATTACTCAACTCAGCACGTGGCTAAATCCATTTTTATCGAATTTTCTTTTTTTCTTTGATAATAATTTCTGGTCAACTTGAATATTTTCAACGCAACATTCGACACTTGTATAATGTCCGATTATACAAAACTACCCATTCATCAATTTCCAAAGGTTGCTGGAAGAGTTACTGATGATACTGCTTACTGGTCAAAACTAAAAGTAGGTTGTTTTCAAGTTTATTGAATCATGTTAATGTGAGGTTGAATTCGAGTTTTATATTCATTCAAATACTAACACATCATGAATGGATTAGTCACCAGTCATCATTAAAGAGTTTTCATCCATCAACTCGGTTCAATTCTCTCCTCACTCTCCACACGATTTTTGCATATCTTCATCCACTAGAGTTCAAATTTACTCGGCAACCACACAATCTGTCAAAAAAACTATTTCAAGATTCAAGGATGTTGTTCATTGTGCATCAATTCGTCACGATAATAAGCTGCTTATTGCTGGTGATGCATCGGGACTCGTTCAAATATTCGAGCTCAATTCTAGAGCAATATTGCGTACTTTGGCTGGCCATAAAGCTGCAGTACATGCAGCAGAGTTTTGTCCAAATGATACCTCAAAAGTGTTGACTTGTTCAGATGACAAAACTTGTGTGGTATGGGATGTGCCTACACAAATGCAGACCAGTGTGTTTTCTGAGCACACCGACTATGTACGATCTGCCATCGCAATGCCCGATAACGATACTTTATTCATGACAGGCTCGTACGATCATACTGTCAAGTTATGGGATACCCGTTCACCTGATGCATCAACAATGACCATGAATCACGGATCTCCAATCGAAGCAATTCTTAGACTTCCTGGCGGTGGTCTTGTGGCCTCTGCAGGTGGAAACCGTATCAAAATTTGGGATATTCTATCGGGTGGTAAACTGCTGCATTCGTTTTCAAACCATCAAAAAGCAATCACTTCTCTATGTTTGGATTCTACAAACTCCTTCTTGATTAGTGGTGCACTCGACCACCATGTCAAAATCGTGTCGTTAGAGGACTATAAAATCGTCCACAGTCTCAAGTACTCTGCTCCCATTCTGAGTCTCGGCATTTCTGTATGTGTTTCTTTAAATCTGTCCATGTAGAGTGAATGCATCTGACTCTTGTACACTTTTTTTTTGTAAATAGCCTACAAATTCACAATTGGTGGTGGGCATGTCTTCTGGACTCTTGTCTATTCGACAACGTGCAGTAAGATCAGAGGATATTGCCAAAAAGCAGGATGTTCAAACTCATAATGGCACCTATCAATATTATATACGTGGATCCAATTACACTCCAGACGAGGTAGAGTTGAACGCTTGCTGTTTGTAGTATCTGTATTGGCTATTCATATTTATCTACACTATTGCATTATAGAATGATACGCGCATTGAATCAAAAACTAAAGCTAGGCTCCAGTCCTACGATAAGCTGCTCAAGGGATTCCAGTATGCCAACGCATTGGACGCAGTTCTTGAAGGACCACCTAAACCGCTTTTGATTATTAGTATGCTCGAAGAACTGATTCATCGTGATGGCCTTCGTGCTGCCCTTGCTGGACGAGATGAACATACTTTGCAACGCATCTTGTCGTTTCTGATGCGATACATATCAAATCCAAGATACACAGTCTTGCTTACGGATGTGAGCAACACCATTCTTGGTAAGTTTGCAATCTATTCTTTTTGCTGTTTACCATTAATAACATGTATTGGTATAGATATTTACTCTCTGGTGCTGGGTCACTCTCAAATCATTGGAGAGCTGTTAAAAAAGTTGAAATTTAAAGTGCACGAGGAAATCCAGCTAGATTATAGGCTTGGCGAAGTGATAGGATTGATGGATACGCTCATGAGCATGTCTGTCCGTGAGTAATAAACATTGCTTTAAGCTAGTGAGGAACAGTATGATGTAAAGTGTTTGCTTTAGTTTATTGTTTCAATACCGACATTCAGAATATGCTAAAGGCTGCATTTATACATCTGAAAACATATCAGAAACTTGTGCATAATAAGCGGGATCAAGATGGTTGGCTAGTTCATCACTGGTCATCCATGCAAAATCAGAAATTGTAGATGAAGGAATAATTTTGCCAGAAATAATATGTGCCTTCATATAAAAAATCTAGTGAAATAAAAACATAAGATTGAAACCCATTAGATGACATACACTCTATCATATAGGGTTGTAAAAGATCAAGCCATTCATTACCTTTTTACTAGAAAGATGATCGGCTTTGACGTGACCAACAGGAGTTTTACCAACAAACCAAGTATCCATGGCAGCACCACAAACATCAACCAATCTCGCCGACGCAGCCTGTGAATTCAAATGAATGAGAACAGAATATACGATCCAACTATTTCAACTATTCCAAACATTTAAACTACCTCGTGCAATAGCTCATCACCCAGCACATCGCCAGAAGGAAGTCTCCACAAGGCATCATCACTTGCTTGTTTGACAACTAAATATACAGATCGTTGCATGATCCGATTCAAAGACTTGAAATCGGCATCAGCAGATGAGATGTTTTTTGCCGTAACAAGCTTGATCAACTCATCGTCTTGAGGTTGGACTAGAATGGGAGGTTTACCATCTTTTATTTTTCCCGTGGTCACTTTGGCTTGAGCTGCTAGCCATCTTTGTTCTGCCATGGATCCCTTTTTGAAATAAAATGTGTAGTCAAATGGTGCAGATTCACTTCGTTCAATAGATTCTCTATATGCATAGTACGCTCGTTGGAACTCGGTCAGTTCAGGAAGAGTCAGTGGGTTACGTTTGAGAAGAACACCTACTGCAACTGCAGTATGTGGTAATGGGGATGCAGAAGCTGTTGCTAGAAATCGTTTGTTTAAACATAAACTAGAAACTCTCGAGTTGCTATGGCGAATGGCTGTAGAAAACATTTACCAACACTCTAAGATTGACAAAGTTCAGATCTTGTCGATGAAATTAAAATTTTATAAAATAAATGATCGGACACGTTCAGTATTATATCACGTGGTTTTATCAGTTTATTCAGTCTGTAAAATACAACCTCAGCTGATCTGCCATTTGCTGCAAAGACTGCCGTTCAATCCGATTCAATCTGCTTTTTGGTTTTGACTGAAGACACTTGTCCAATGCACTAAGTACTTCCATCAGATTGGAGTTGCTGTGAGATGACAAACGATCTGATGCCAATGTGGATACCGACCCAGTGGAAAGTGTAATGGGTCCAATCAAGTGTGATTTCAAATTATATCCTTTTATGGTCAACAGCGTATCTGCTGCTACAGTGCTAGCAAGTCGCATCTAAAACATACGTGTTTCAAAGTTAGATGAGTAAGTCATTGGTATGCCACGTCAGAACTTACTGATTTTGGTTTGACAGCTGATCTGCTCAGTAACTCTTGAACTAGAGATCTGCTGACAGCCGAGAGTTTGGGTGCACCGATTGGAGATACTGACGCAAATGCAATGGCAGTCTGGGTTGCAGTGTGAATGGTTACCCAATCGCTGTTTTTTGATTGCATTATACGATCCAAAATCCGTGACACTTCCTAAAGCGTTCAATTCATTACCATGGTTGCATCAATAGCCAACAATACAGTCTGACACGAATATAGTCGAATGGTGTTGGGTTGGTACTTACAACAAGACTGTTGAATCGATGTGTTGCAGTCAATCGAATAAAACGCAATACTAGTGTTGAATAAACACGAATTGGTTGCAGTGTTAGTATTGCAACAAAGCATAATCCAATAGAGTGACACTACCGTGAAATACAAGCGTTGAATCTGATACATCAGTTTCCATCCACACATCAAAAGAACAAAGTATTCGATACGCTTGACTTGTATCGAATTTAGCTGAAATTGAGCAAGCTAAATCCGTCAAAGCAATGCACGCTTTTATAGTCTGTCATATAAATATATCAGTTACAATAGATCATAACAATGCATACAACACATGGTATAGTTACGCACCAAGCAAAATGCTTCGCCAGGATTATTCATTGATTTAGAATGTTCTAATGCTCCACTCGCACCTTCGATATATAATAGTAACGGTTTACTGATTACGTTTTTAAATGTTTCGTTGTCAGCACCAAACACCTGTTTGAAAGATTTGCACGACAAGGGAAATTGATGACTGAGCGTTTTTAAAAAATCCCATTCAATGATTCGCGCAAGAGGAACGGCTACCAATGCTAAACGTTGAAACTCTACCACCGCGTATGAAACATCTGATTCTGTGTCCAAGCAATGGCACAATCTTGTCCAGATACAATACAATAAGTTAATCAACGATGCCATATTTTGATCATTCACTCCAAGTTGGTATTGCTGGGTTGTAGAAAAGGGTTGGATCAGTTCAAATTGACAGAGACATTTCACTAGATCAGCATTGGTAGATATGCTCAACAAAAGTGCAGATGAATCTGGCATTAAAGTTTTTGGACTCAGAAACGGATTAGATTTCAAGACGATCGCTGAACTATCAAGCCCAAGCAGACAGGCCAGTCTGGTCATTCGAGGAAATAATGGTGACGTGGAGGCCAATCTTGGAATCAATGCAGAAACCATTGTTTTTGCAAAAGTGTAGCCATCTTTTGTACTTTTAGTGTTTCGTGACACATGTCCAAAGAATTCTGTAATCAACAACCACGTAGTTGATTGTGTACAGTTGAAAAATATCCTCCAAAATATATGCTCAAATTGTGGCCATTCAGATACTCTGTCAAGTCCATGAGAAAACACACAAAACGACACAAGAATATCTGTGTACATTGGCTGAGCTTCATGGATGGGAAGCACAAGTAAACGCGAATCACTCGACTCTAGTGCATGAAATATTTGCTCAATTCTGTTCATCCATGGTAGAGATCGTCGTGAGTTTATGGTCATTGGAAGTGTGCATGTACACAACAGTGCCTTGACGGCATAATACGTTCCAGCAGATACTGAATGTTGAACTGTGTTTGTTTTATCATAGGCGTCAACCAAAGTATCCAAGTTGTTTTGATCAGATTGGGGATTGTGAGATTCGTTGTATTGATTCACAGAGTGAATATAAAACTGAAGCGTGGTGTAAACACTTTGAAGTAGTACTGAATCTGGTCCTCGCATTCCATCCAAAGTACATTGAGTGACTACAAAACTAATATAAACCAATGTTGGCTCATTGATCAATAACGTGCATGTTGGAGTTTGTAATATATTGATAAGCGCAATCCAAGCAAAATATAGTTTATGGCTAGCTTACAGTATATTGGCTACAGCACTTGTAAACACGGATGATATTTTTGAAAGCATGTTTACGGTGGCCATTATTTTGATCAAGTGATTCAAATGAGCCAAGAAAAACTTGGCTGACGTCGAGTTGGACATGTAAAATTAAAATTGTGATGAAGACATACAAATTTGAAATGGTAGTGCTTTAATTTACCTAAAGAGCATAGTGCCGATAAAGACTTTTCCGGACAGGTATGATGATCGTTTGATAACAATGGTAATAAAGTCAGCCTGCGTGTAGCAGTATCCAAATGTTCCATGCAAATGACACCAAGCGCTTCATTTGGCATTAGTTGAGTATTCGCTGCCAATAGTATACCAATATGCTTCCATCTGTTAAAAACTATATTTAGCATCTTCACAAAACCCCAAAACAGTGTTTCATGTTAAATATAACCAGCCAATATGATTTTGGCGTCTTACCCATGATTCAGTAGTGCAAAATCATGCTCAACGTGTGCAAATTCCACAAATTGAAGCATCAGCATTAGTATTGCTGGCCATTCTAGATATATATAAAATTTAAAAACAATGAATAGTTTTACATTTATAGCAATTTGGATTTACCTTTAGCGGAGAGATTGATGCTATTGGCAGATTCTCCTACGCTAGCCATCAGATTTTCTGCAGCGATTGATGCCTAATTCAAATGACTTGTAGTCAGCATGTGTATTTTAGATATGTTTAAACCAAACAATCCAAATACCGAGCTGTATATTTTCTGGAGTTGGCCCATATGCTCATCCGTAATGCAGGGATTGTTTCGAGCTTTGGCATGTTCTGTCGTCGGTTTAGTATTGCTAGTTCGTATCAGTTTCTATTAAACGCATTCCAAACGGTCATGCGTTATAATGTTAATAGATATGATTTGATGGTAGAGTTTATAGAATGCATGTGTTTAACCTTTGTAGATTCCAGTACATGAAATACACTCTTGAAAAGCAAATTAATGCATTTAAATTCGGACAAGTATATCAAGTGGTTGGATTCACTTTTAGCCAAAGATAGCAATGCGATTGTTTCCAATGCAGATGCATCGACCTAGCAAGATCATGCAAAACTGTTATCAAAACATGATCATTCCAACATGTCAAATCCAGTATGCGCACAATACCATGGATTCGATTGCAAGTCCATTCCGTTGTATGCCAGTAACTAGACTATGAATCTAAATATAAAAACAAGATGAATGTCAAAATAGCTACCATAATACAGCCATTCGACTATCAGTTTATTTCGGACCTTTTCGAGTAAATTATAGAGAGTTTCAGGCGTAGAAACAGTACTAATTTGGGATGCTGCTGTTTGGTAAAGTGCTTGAGCAGTGGATATACATGAAAAAGAATCGTTTGAATGTATATCGTCATGGATCGGATCGGTGGTTGTATTAATAGTCATTTCTTGATGGATTTAAAGTTTAGATTTGATAAAAATGTTCAACATTATCTCTTACCCTCAGGTTATTATGCACGATTAACGAGTTGATTTACAGCGTATTTTACTCAGAATTGATTTTGAATCGACTATTTTAAAAATAATTCACAATTGAATGTTGTATTTTATCAACTTTTTATTATTTGGAATTATTCAACACACAAACTCATTCTTATATTTGAATCAAAATGTCATGATTGGAATGTTGAGTGAATTTAACAAGTTTTTTTGGTGAATTTGGAGTGAAATGAAATCGGACATTTGCTGGCAACAACTTTAAAGTCAATCTAAAAACACGTGATGAATGGTTTCAACGTTGAAATCGAAAAACCGCCATTTTATCATCATTGCCATCATCACCATGAGCGAATCTCGTACGGAACTGCTTGCTTGGCTGAATGACTTGTGTCAGATCAATCAAGCTAAAATTGAACAATGTGGATCTGGTGTTGCTCACTGTGTTATTATGGACTCAATCTACAGAGATGTAATGCTGACTATTGTCGAGTTTATTAGTGTGGTCTTGAAACGATGTTGGATTATATTGCTGTTTTGTCTAGTGTACTGCACAGTGTTGTCTGTAGTGGAATATGTCTTGTGTGTATCTGATTATGAGAAAAGGGAGCGGGAAAAGTGTTGATACTGTTTGCAGAACAAATGAAAGGATTCTTGAGTTGTGGTTGCACTGAGTAGTTGTGTATTCCGCTCTATTGTCATCCTATCAGATCTATAGGTTCCTTCTTGAATATCAAATTCTCTGTAATATTCGGACGTTTTCTTTCCGACCACTCCATCCATAACACTGCTTGTTTGTATTAATCTTTTGTCATTGTTTTGGTATTAAAACTTATTCTATAATTAGGTTCCAATGAGCAAGGTCAAGTTTGGTGCAAAACACGAATACGAATACGTATCCAATTTCAAGGTCTTGCAAGCTGTATTTGATAAACACAAGATTGATAATACGATTCCCGTTGAGCGTTTGATGAAATGTCGGTTCCAGGATAACCTCGAGTTTCTTCAGTGGATGAAAAAGTAACACTATTATGCGTTGTTAATAGTTGATGCATCTATTGCAATGGTTTGGTCTTGAGCACTGATCTATTGTTTTTTTTATATTTAGATACTGGGATCAGTATTATCCTGGTGGTCCATATGATGCGCTTGGAAGAAGAAAGGGTGAGGTTGTTGGCGGAAACACCATGCGTCACTCTGCCATCAAAGCTCCCTCTCCTCATATGCCTGGCCCAGGATCTGCAGGGGTCAAAAAAGCAATGTCGAATAGCCACATGTCTCGATCTACTGCTTCAACCACGTCTGCATCAACTGCTCGTAAAACTACGGCACCTCCACGCGCAGCTGCAGCTGCAGGCCCTCTCAACAATAACGAAGATGCTATTCGTGCTGAACTTGTGGCAGAGTATCAAAAAATGACAACGCAAATGACCCAGCAAATGCAAGAGCTTAAGCTCACTGTAGAGCAGGTTGAAAAAGAGCGCGAATTTTACTTTTCAAAACTGAGAGAAATTGAGCTTTATATTCAAACACGTACTGAGGCTGGTATTGACGATCATATGGATGCAACATTCAAAGAGGTTCAGGCCATCATGTACAAGGTAAATAATCTTGTATGCAATTCAACACATTCATTGCTATCCTGCATGATCTAATACGTAGACTATGATTTTTAGACCGAAGATGGTTTTGAAATTCCAGAAACTGCCGAAGAAGCTACATTTTAAATCATTGATCGAGAGTTGAAATTCACCGGGTTGCTTTGAGTTTTTTAATGCATACAAGAGTGTCAATTGTTGAGTTTTTTCCAGTGATTTTGCTCAACACCACGACGATTGAAAATGAATTTTGATTATCCTTGTTGATAGGAAACTGCATAACAAATGGGTCAAGAATCAAATGCATTTCATTTCTTGAAAATTTTGCACAAACTCCAAAACAACTACTCTTGCTTTGATTTGACAATTTCAGGTTTAGAAACAACCATATACGATCTGCTAATAGCCTTGAGCATTTCATCAATCAAAATAACCGGCGCAGAAATTGCCAACACTGCAATCCATTCTTCCTGATTCAAGGGTGTAATTGAAAACAAGTTCTAAAGTATAAAGTATATTAGCAAATAGTCTATCCAATCCATCATACGATGCAATGACTTACAGTAAAGAACGGCACGTAGAGGATGGTGATATGAAGCAACATGGACAAGACAATTGCTCCACAGAGGTACAAATTTTTGTATAGGGGGAACGTAAGCAAACTCTGGTTTTCAGACAAGGAATTGATGGCATTGAGCATTTCGACAACCACTAGGATCGATAGACTCATTGTAGTGGCTTTGTGACTCATGACGTTGGTAAACATTTCACATCCAATTTCGGGGAACAGCGAAGCGCATTGATGGAAATGAGACTAGTGGTATAAGCGTATAATAAAAGACGTTAAAAACAGGAATGCTGAATACAGTACTTGCTAGTTTTGATTACAGTTTAAATAACAATCAGACACTTACCAATTGATGGAACGAAATGTGTGGACCAGCTGAAAAGTACATGAACCACCATGCGTATCCAAACACTGTCGCAGCACCAACATAAATGCCAATCACCATATACCGAACAAACAGCCACGTGGTGACAATTGGCTCCTTGGAATCGCGAGGTGGAAGACGCATAATGTCTGGGTCGCTAGGATTGAATCCCAATGCAGTAGCAGGTAGTCCATCGGTAACCAAATTCACCCAAAGAAGCTGAACGGGAATAAGTGCTTCAGGCATTCCCAAAACCACGGTCAAGAAAATGGAAACCACTTCACCAATGTTGGATGAAATCAAGTATCGAATGAATTGCTTTGTGTTGGAGTAGATGGATCGACCTTCTTCAACAGCGCTAACAATAGTGGAAAAGTTGTCGTCAACAAGAACCATGTCCGAGGCTAACTTGGCCACATCTGTGCCTGTACCCATGGCAATACCAATATCTGCCTTTTTTAAAGCAGGTGCATCATTGACACCATCGCCTGTCATGGCAACAACAAATCCTTCGGTTTTTAGCAGATTCACCAACTCAAGCTTGTGGGTTGGTTCGGTACGGGAAAATAGGTTGGCATTCAACGCAGCATGGCGTTTTTGTCCAGGAGTCATATCATCGAATTCGCGGCCAGTAAAACTTTTTCCAGTAAGATTATCATTGATGCCAAAGACACCAATTTGACGGCAAATGGCTTCAGCAGTCTTTTTGTTATCTCCTGTAATGACAATTACACGGATACCAGCTCGGTAACAGCGTTGAATGGCGTCATAGACTTCAGGACGAGGAGGATCAAGCATGCCGACCAAGCCAACAAATGTCATGTTGGTTTCATATTTCATGTAGTCACTCATCAAAGGTTTGGCGGGAACAGTAGGTGAATCAACAGTGGCAAAAGCAAGAACACGAAGCGAGTCAGATTCGGCCCAGTCGGATACTGTTTCCAGAATCCTGGCACGAAGAGCAGGGGTCAAAGGAGTTTGTTTTTTAGAAGCACTATCAAGACGAATAAAATTGCAACGCTCAAGAATTTGCTCAGGTGCACCCTTTACATATAAAACCTGTTTTTTTGATTCAAGATTTTCAACAAGAACAGACATGGATTTGCGATCACGAGAGAATTCGATGGTATTGATGCGAGTATACTGAGATTCAATCTTTTGGTCTACTTGAGATACTCGCCACAGTTTTTCCTTGGAATTCATGGCTGAAATAGCAGCAGCGTCAGGGATTTGGGGGATCTGAGAGTTGAAAGTAGTATCATCAGTACCAAGCTTTTCAACCAGAGCCTTGAGTGCAGCTTCGGTAGGCTCGCCAATCTTTTGGAAAGAATCAGAGGGTTGATCGTAAACAATCTTGGAGTCGTTGCAAACAGCACAAATATGAGAAAGTTCGTTCAATGAAGGATGTTTGGAGATGAAGTCTTGGGGAATGGGAGATCCTTCAAACATAACAAGACCTTCTGGGCCATAAGTGTTTCCTTGTACATCTAATTCTAGTGCAGCGTCAGATGTTGTAAATACAAGCACCTTGCGAACACTCATCTGATTAGTAGTTAGAGTTCCAGTTTTATCCGAGCAAATAACGCGAGTGCAACCCAGCGTTTCCACTGATCGTAGTTTGCGTACAATGGCACCTTGATCGGCCATTTTTTTTGTTCCAAGAGCAAGACAAGTAGTAATAATCACAGCAAGACCCTCTGGAATAGCAGCAACAGCGAGAGCAACAGCAATTTTGAAATAGTAAACAGCACCCTTGATCCAGTTTCCGCCAAAAGACTCGTCATTAAAGTGACGAATATTGATGATCCAAACTAAAAGACAAATAACGGAAATGATTTTGGCAAGCTTTTCGCCAAACTCATCTAGAGCAACCTTGAGTGGAGTTTTTTCTTCAACCTGAGAAGTGATGGAGTCGTGAATTTCACCGATAGAAGTTTTTGAGCCAGTGAGAACGACTATAGCAGACGCTTTTCCAACGGTGATGCTAGTTCCAGAAAAGACCATATTGACTTGATCTTGCTTGACGGCCTGATTGTCCTTGACAGTGTCCAATTCTTTTGAGACTGAGATGGGTTCGCCAGTAAGAATAGACTGATCAGCCTTGAATGCAGAGGATGTGATGGACAACAGACGAGCATCAGCAGGAACTTTGTCACCAACAGAAAGTAAGATAATATCACCGGGAACAAGATCTCTAGCGTCAATTTTCTGAAGAAGTCCGTTGCGAAGAACGCGAGCTTCATCTGGAGAATATTCTTGTAAAGCCTGATTTCCAATGTGAGTAACAAGACTGACAAGTGTTATATAATTTAAAAACTTACTTCAATGGCTTTTTCAGCATTAGTTTCTTGGACAACACCAACAACAGCGTTAGCAACCAGAATAAGAAGAATGACTATTGGCTCGACATATGCAGTGATGCTACTATCCGATTCTTGAGTTTCTAGTGCAGCAAGAACAAACGAAATGGCAGCAGCAATCAACAGAATGATAACCAGTTGATCCTTGAATTGTTCAGCAACAAGAACCCATAGTGGAGTTGGAGGTTCATGCGGAAGTTCTACAATTACAAAAGATCAGCTTCAATTCAACAATGCTTTCAATTGGATTGGAACTTGATAGATTGACACAGAATAATCAACACTTGGAGTTGGTATATCATCAACCATGCAGACAGTTGGTGTTAAACATGCCAGTTTGTTTCTGTTATTCATGGCTATAGATTAACACTGTTTTTTTCTGAAATCAAACTATCCACACAACTCCAGAGATCAACCGTAGTAAAGTCATGGGAATGCAAACACAGTAATGATAAAATACCATTCTTTCCATGGATGGCCAGTCTTTTTGATACTTGAGCAGTATCTAATCCTTTGGTCACATCTACTTGTAACAATGAAGCAACTTCAGTCACAGATTTCGAGAATGCCGAGTCGCAATACATCAGAACAGTCGTTTTTTTCTTGGTAGTGCGAGTGACGGTGGTCTTGATGGTCTTTCCATCGACAACGCTAATAGTGCTGGTAGATGATTGCTGAATGTCTTCCATCCTAAAGCCTTTTTGTGAGGGAAACCTTTGGCGCGATGCTTCGAGGCCGTTTCATCTTTGTTTCAATCTTCTTGAACTCTCGATCAATACACAATGTTTCATATTTTACACTTGCTAAACACTCGATTCAAAACTAATTATTAAAATCATCTGGAAATTGACTTTGTATTGGGCTGCCAACTTTCAGGTACAAAATCATCTATGTTCAATTTATAAATTATTATTAATGATCGCATTCCATCCTTGTCAAATGGATGATATTTACCCGATGGATTGCGTTGCTGTGCATCAGTATGGCTTTTAGTATGATTCATGTTGCTTGTGGTAGCATCCTTGGATTCCAAATTTGTTAATGGCAGTCGATCTTGCTGGATGCGCTCATTTTCCAACAGAGCGTTCTCTTGCTCTTGAATTTCCAATGCTCTCTTTTGAATATATAAGCGACGAGCAATTTCATCTTGCAATTCCTAAATATAAATAAACTGAGCTTAGCAACAGACGACATTTCGAATAAAATATCAAATGTGTAAAAGCGCTTGAGCCTACTTGAACAGTCGGAGCTATAGCATAAAATAAATAAAATCAATGATCTGCAAGTGTATTGTTTCGACATTAAATGCTAAGACTCGAATGAGAATAAATCATACCAGTTTCACGAGTATGTCTTAGCCAAGCCTGCCATTGTATTGGAATAGCATTTGGTTCGTATTGAGATATATTACTACGACCATCAGCATACTCGATAGATCTTCTTGGAAGAGAAATGCCTAAATTAAACAAGCGTAAAATGAGCATCAGGTGAATACAAATGAGATTACATGAACAATAAATGCAACCTTCACGAACAGGAGGCCCTTCAAAATACATATTTCCTTCCAAGTCACTCCCAACGTATCTTGTTGCCTTCCATGGCTGGTTGATAACCTTGATTTTGTTGAACAATCGTCGTAACATTGTGAGTTTAAAACGTGATGCAAAAACTGTCAAAATTCAATATCCCGTGACTAAATCTCATCAGGTAAAAAACGCTTCACATTAATTTAGTAGAATTGGTCAACTATTCAGTCACGCTGGTATGTTCAGCTTGAAGCATATCGTCGTGATTTACGTTACTACAAAGTATAATTAATTATAGATTTCATTCAAAAGTCTTGTGAAAATGCAACTTTTGACATTTTGCATTTTCATATGAACAATCCATCTCAACAAGGAATGTTTCATTGTATTTTACTCTTGCAATGCAACTACAAAGTCCGAGTAGTTTACACGATAGTTGGATTTATTAACTTGAAACTAGCCAACAAATGAATCGTTGAAGCGTGTTGTTGGTAGTGAATAATACAGTAATTGTTGAACACTCATTTTTGGTTTGTTGAGTTCATGACATTCAATTGTCATGTTATCAAAGTTTTCATTCCACTATCAAATTGATTCATTCAATTCCCAGAATGATATTACACAGACTAGCTCATCAGCACATATATAAACCATTTATACCACGTACCATATGTCTGAAACATGAGATTATTACTAGACCATCTATTCACTGCAAACGACATCCATTCTATCAACATCGTATGTTGATTCGAACAAAGCATAATGATCTAGATCCACCAGTGGAAACAGCAGAATCACTAGCAGCCATTAGCATGCTTCACTTGGGAACTCATTATGAACTCCAATCCATGCGCACACTAGAGACGTTGGGCATACAGTTGCGACGAGTCGGTGGTTCTAATGATCGAGGAGTCGACTTGCGAGGACAGTGGATCCTTCCAACTAGTACTGCATCGGACAGTCATCGCACTATACCAGTGGTTGTTCAGTGCAAAGCAGAGAAAAAACCACTTGGACCCAGCAAAGTACGAGAGCTACAAGGGACGTTATTGGGAGAGTTTGATTCAACTATTGCAATATTGGTTTCGTTGTCCGGATTTACCAGTCAGGCATATGCAGCAGCTGAACGAGCACAAAAGATTTGTATGGTGGAGATTGGCTTGCATGGTGGATGCAAATCGTTTTGGATTGGACGCAAAGCATCTCAGTTGTTGGGTGGAGTATCGGTCGTCAAGAGTTTCAATGGCAACATTACTGTAGTAATGCCGCCTACTTTATAGTGCTATTGATCTTGCATCTAATATCATGTATCGCCTATTATACAAAATGATTGAATATTTATGTCACTAATGACATTGAATGATGTTGACTACTCGTTGCAATTAAAGTCTCATGGGTTTGACACATGTAATATGGCAATGTACAGCTACTTGCCAACATGAATGCAATATTACGATCCATTAATTGTAATGAAATCATGCTTTTACAGTTTTATTCACGTAGAATGAAACCAAACAAGTCAAAGTACATGGTCAGTCTCATGTTTGATTGGTACCAACCTCCAACTTTCCTTTCATTCAATCCAAACATGAAGTAATTGGATTGAAAACAATAATCACATTTGTGAAATGTGCAATCTCTGGTTTCTTAAACTAGAACGCGAGCGTATCTGATATCAAGATACAACAGAGCTTTCGTAAAAGAAACAATCCATTTCTAGTAGAAAAACAACGTATATTTAATCATTGTATATTCCAAAACAATCATTTCGAGATAAATACAAAAAGGTATTTCATTTTACTGATTAGTATTAAAATCATGCTAAATGACCGTTCAAAAAACCTGTGTTGTCAAGGCTAATGACAATTCATTGCTATTAATACCAAACTCGAGAGGGATCTCCCTTTATATGACGATTCGCAATTTGTTTGAACCGCTGCTTAATTATGCATTCAAAAGGGGTCAGTGAGCTACAGCCTAGGAAACCAGTACAAGCCAAGACTTTATGCAACTGAGCTGACATTCAGTTATTAGTTGATCATCAATGTGTTGTGATATTGTATGGTTTACAATCACAGTTGATTGACATGATTCAACTACAATGTCACATTGATGATCAGTGACTTGCAACTGTTGTGTTGGCATTGCATGTTGTGTGTTACTATATCAATATCGATTGTCACTATATAGCTGTATTGACTACACATCATGATCATATGTCATGGTTGACTTGTATTCTGGATTGATGTACACATTGTATTGTATTGCATCACTCGAACACGAACACGAACTTTGTATGACTCGTTGAGCAACTTGTTCAATAACTCGTTGTATGACTCGTATATACACTGCAATTGGATCCAGTCACTCGACATTACAACATGATCCACATACAACCTGATTGTGATGGTGGCTGTCGATCTGATTGTCGTGTCGGTGTATATGTCGAGTATGTACATCCGAGTGATCAAGCCATACATGTATATGCACACCAATTGCGTTGATCAGCATGTGTCAACTGGTCAATATCGTCAACCTGGTTATACACGCACTTGACATGTACATCTGGACAGTGATCATTGTACAATCCAGATTGTTGTGCAAACCATATATGACCAGTCATGTCAAATATCCAATCAAACATCCAGTCATGAATACAACCAGAAATACAAACTCGGGTAGTCCGAGTATCGATCAACAACTGCAATCGATATCAAACTACCATGCACAATCGATTGCAGTCCATACCAGTTATAGTCAATCACACATGTCACATGTCATGGTGTATGTATATTTAATGTCAAATGACAATCAAAGTTTATTGTAAATTAAATCAGAATGACAGTTGAAACAGTTGAGCCAGTCCATATTAGAATTCAAATCAATTGTATTGGGTCTCACGCCAAGATCATTTAAAAAATGATTTAAGCTATTCATAAATTTAAAAATTCCCTGTGAATTGAAGGGGGTTTGAGTGGAATGAGCTTCAAGATTTTGAAAAGTTTGTTGTGGTAGATTTCAAGCCCAAGTAAAAGTCACCATTAGATCCTGACTATTGTTTTGCTACGAGACTGTGTACTCCATCGCCAATTTGTATAGTAATGACCCTGAATCCAAATATTAATTTCAGGTTAATTAATAGAGCACTTGGATATGTTTGAGTGAGAAACTCTGTGATTTTGCTTGTTTTTAGCTCCAGGTATGCCGATTCAGTTTCAAGCTCAACTTTGATTTTAAGCATTTGTTCTTCAAGGTTGGTAGATTTGACAGTTTGTTTTCCAAGACTAGGTTTAAGCAAGAGAAGTTTACTTCCGTGTTTTAAAGCACCATTGCTTTCCTGATATTTACGTGTCAACTGGATATGTTTTCTTTCTAGTTTAGTCATCCGCTTTTGTTGAGTGGTAGCCTTATTCTTTAACGATTCATATAACTGCATTTTGCTGTGATGATTACAAGTGTCTTTTGCATAGTCATGGATTAAATTTTCATGCCCAGATGCAAATATACGTTCGTCAGTTTGACCTACACCATTTGCATATAATATCTCCACAGTTACAGATCCAGTACTTGTAGTTTCAGTAGGGAGAATTGGTTTGGCGATAGTAACTGAGCAAACAAGCAGGATTGATGATAGTACAGCGGTTGGTAGTTTCATTTTACTGGTTTGGTTAGGCAAGTTGTGGATGATTATCATTCAACAGGCCGAGTTTGGATGGTATTTATATTGGTTATTGAGCGGATAATATTAAAAAGCATACTGAATGACCGTTTAAAAAACCTGTGTTGTTAGAGCTAATGAAGATGCATTGCTATCAATGTCAAACTCAAAAGATCTCCCTTTATATGACAATTCGCAATTTGCTTGAACCGCTGCTTAATTATGCATCCAAACCTTGTATGGTTGATTATGCAGTTTCCCACCCTTATTTACCCCCAAAAGGGTCAGTGAGCCACAGCCTAGGAAATAAGTATAAACCAAAACTTTATGCAACTGAGCTGATATTCAGTTATTAGTTGTTCATCAATGGATTCAATCAATAAACTAAATTAATACAATCCAGTTCATATTGTAACCACAATGTCACATTGATGATCAGTGACTTGCAACTGTTGTGTTGGCATTGCATGTTGTGTTACTATATCAACATCGATTGTCACTATATAGCTGTATCAATCACACATCATGATCATATGTCATGGTTGACTTGTATTCTGGATTGATGTACACATTGTATTGTATTGCATCACTCGAACACGAACACGAACTTTGTATGACTCGTTGAGCAACTTGTTCAATAACTCGTTGTATGACTCGTATATACACTGCAATTGGATCCAGTCACTCGACATTACAACATGATCCACATACAACCTGATTGTGATGGTGGTTGTCGATCTGATTGTCGTGTCGGTATATATGTCGAGTATGTACATCCGAGTGATCAAGCCATACATGTATATGCACACAATACATACAATACACACCAGTTGCGTTGATCAGCATGTGTCAACTGGTCAATATTGTCAACCTGGTTATACACGCACTTGACATGTACATCTGGACAGTGATCATTGTACAATCCAGACTGTTGTGCAAACCATATATGACCAGTCATGTCAAGTATCCAATCAAACATCCAGTCATGAATACAGCCAGGAATACAAACTCGGGTAGTCCGAGTATCGATCAACAACTGCAATCGATATCAAACTATCGTGCACAATCGATTGTAATCCACATCAGTTATAGTCAATCACACATGTCAGTAGTATAGATAGGGCACCGAATGATACCGTTTTTCTTGGCAGATGCTCTCTGCTAAAAGGTGTACAAAGTGTTTAAAGTTGATCTCGCCTGTGGCAGGTGACTTTTGACAAAATGCTATGGGCGATTAATGCCAAATATGATGGGTTGTAGTCAGTGCTATATTCAAACCAATATTTGTCTCTTATTTATTCCAACCCAAATGAATTTTTATTATCAGAACTAGTAACTAACTTCCAAGGTTAATTTGAAGTAATAATCACCACGAATCATCATCTGATTGTAAAAAGTCCAGCTACAATTCCAATGAACAGGGCTGACATACCAATGGGAGATAGGAGAAAGCTGCCCATCATGGCTGATTGAAGCATGGCATATAGACTGCCTGAAACAACACCGACTCCATTGGCCAACGCAATAGATGACATTCACTGGGCAGCAATGCTACCAGCAGCAATTCCAGTTGTAGTAAAGCCAATTGACATCAGGAATGTCCAAGTAAGACCAACAGAAAAGCCCGGCGCCAAATGTCCTTAAAACATCCTGAAGTAGTCAAGGGTTGTTATGTTCACCCAAGAAGGTGACGCTAACCGTTTGAATGTTTTGAAGGCCGTCTGACTCGTCTTTCAGTATAGTTCCTTCATGAGATATAACAATTCTTTCAAATGGGAACTGTAAGGAATTAGAGAGCCTTTCCCTTGACTGAGTTATAGTTTCATTGGCAGCATTGAAATTAATTTCAAGTGTTCATGGCGAAGTTGTCAAAATTTTCCAAATCAGACAAATGGACAGACCAAGCGATGACCCTTCACCAACCACCAGCGACAGCAGTGGACACTCACTCATGGACGCTCCTGGGTACATCAAGCCTGACCTCCAAGACTTGCTGTTGACCGACATTACTGCCAAAGAACTACGAGTCATTGCCGAGACTATGGAAGTCGACTACTTGGGACCAGCAGTCTTTCCAGGAACATTTCCAGCCATGGGAAACATCAAGGGTCAGAACTACCGACTCATGGTCCCATTGGTCTGTCGCCGCCGAACAACAAAGGATGTTCCTTCTGTCAACATCATTTTTTTGATTGATACAGGCTCTCCAGTCACATACCTTTGCCACGAAGCTATGGAAGTATTGATTGGGAAGGACTCTCACCTGCCTCAATCACTCTATGTCAAAATCCACAGTGAAGAAGCTATTGAAGCCCACCTTTCCCCCAAGGGCAGTCATTTTGCTGATGTGAATGTGTTGGGAATGGATTTTCTTGCCAAGAACAGAGTGTTTCCCATTCCCGATTGGACGAATGGAACATTTATTCTTCAATAAAACCACTTCGACTTTGCAGGTGTAAAACAGTCTCGCACATGTATAATTCTATTTGAATAGTCAGTGCTTAGTGGGGAGGTTTCTGTGATTCGCTAGAAGGTTCCACAACATTCCAGAACCTTCCAATGGCGTCTCGACTATAAAAAGCGCAACTGCCTGTTTAAAACACTTCCAACAACTTGCGCATGAGTGAATATGATCGGTTTGCCGACTGGGTCAAGGAGCAACGCAGGTGTCCAAAAGATGCCTTGGAAACAACAATCAACCAAATTGACATCAAATTTGTGCGATCATGAAGGAAATGGACCAGTTCAATGAGAACACCAGAAGCTGCCAAGAAAACAGACACTGAAAAGTCTAAATCATTTTTATTGAAATGCTACACTACGACACCAATGTATCGTTGTATCTACTTGTTAATAATAAAACACGTTGATTGTTTCTAATGCTGTTTTGAATGTGGATCTTCGCTTTCTTTAGGGAATCTGATTAACAAATAGTATTCTATAGCGTTTCCTTTTTTCATCAAATTAAAATATCAATTACAATTAATTATTTTCAATAATTAATGTATAACCATTTATGACTGAAATTGATGTTACTTTTCGAATGAACAGTGAAAACACGTGTCCAATATGCTATTCAACTATTACCACACCATTAATTCAATGCCATAACGCATTACATTTTGTCTGTTTGACTTACTTTAAAAAGTGCCGTAGAAAAGGCTATTGTGCGCAATGTCAGCCAAGCAGAATGTTTCATAACAAGCTTCTCGAGAAAACCATCAAAAATCAAATGAGAGCGTGTATGAATGAAGGATGTACATTACTACTATTTCCTTGGGACAATGAGCATGAAAAAGAGTGCCGATTTAAACAAAGTGTCAATTTTGCGATGGCATGATTTCAAAAGCATCGATCAAACAACATTTTAAAGACTGTCAAGTACCATGGATAATCGATTCCGAATTAAATAAAGGTTCATCATCTATGACAGAATACTGTCGCAAGTCAAGCAAAGGTTTCCAAATAGAGATGGATTCGATGAAAAAGTCATTTGTTGTTATAAGAAGTGACCAGGTGATAACATTCAAAAGGAATGGGAGCAATTACGACATGAAAATAACACAATTGAACAATGATTCCACACGAACAGAGGTTACTTATTGGCTTCCGAATAAGTCACCTGCCACAGGCTAGATCAACTTTTAGATACTTTGGGCAACTTTTAGCAGGGAACATCAGCCAAGATAAGTGGTATCATTCGGTGCCTTATCTATACTACTCATGTCACACATGTCATGGTGTATGTATATCCAATGTCAAATTACGATTATATTTTATTGTAAATTAAATCAGAATGACAGTTGAAACAGTTGAGCCAGATCAGATTAGAATTCAAATCAGTTGGATCAATCGTATTAATTCTCACGTCTGATTTGCTTCAAGAGTAAGTCAGCTCCATCATTAAATTTAAAAGCAGCATTTCGTAAACCAGAAAAGATCATTTGCCCAAAGGAACGAGATTCAGATGGTATTACTGATGATGGTTGTGAATCTTGTTCTTGTTGCTCTTGCTGTTGCTGTTGCTCTTGTTGTTGCTCTTGCTCTTGTTGTGGGGTTTGTTCAGCATCAGAATCTTGACCATAACTATTTTTGCATTCTGGTGATGATCCAGTGACACATAGTTCTTGAAGATATTTCCTAACGACAGGATGTGAGTCGATACGCGAAAGTTGCTCATCAAGTGGTCGAGAATCCCAAAGGCCTCCGAAAATATACTTTAGGAGTTTCACTCTGAGAATATTCAGTTCACGAAGCAGAAGATCACAGTGAGTATTGCATTTCTTTTCTGATTTTTCAAGCTTGACAAGTATGGAACGCTCGCTCTGAAGATTACGCTCAGCCTTCTGAAGTTTAGCATTGTATCTTAGATCGCCATTGTTTTTCAAAAGTGCATTTTTGGACTTGACAGCTTTTATTTCCAGATGTTTTACTTGTTTCTGCTGACTATAAGATTCAGTCTCTATTTCTTCGCATGTTGCTTTTTGATTATTATAACTACGTTGTTTTTTTACGACTTTTCTGAGCAAATTCTTCATGTCAACTGAAAGTGAATCAAGACTACCCAAGTCTATGCTGTTTGTATTAGGAGTTGTAGAGGGGTTGGACTGGGTACTTGTAGCCTTACTGGAACGGATCGGTTTGGCGATAGTAACTGAACAAATAAGCAGGATTGATGACAGTACAGCAGTTGGTAGTTTCATTTTACTGGTTTGGTTAGGCAAGTTGTGAATAGTTTCGTTCAGCAGGCCGAGTTTAGATTGTATTTATGTCGGTTATTGAGTGGATAATATTAAAAGAATATTGGATGACCGTCCTAAGGGATTGGTGTTGCTGGCAGGGTTGGTGTTGATTTGCTATCAATGCCAAACTTTGAAGGACCTCCCTTTACATGAAGTCTGTAGTTTCTTGGTTAAACCGCTGTTTGGCTATACATCAAATATAGCTGATTGATTATGCAGTTTCCCACCCTTATTCACCCCCAAAAGGGTCAGTGAGCCACAGCCTAGGAAATAAGCACAGTCCATGTAAACATACATAGCTATATGCAACTGAGCTGATATTCAGTTATTAGTTGTTCATCAATGGATTCAATCAATCAATTGAATCAATACAATACAGTTCATGTTGCAACCACAATGTCACATTGATGATCAATGACTTGCAGCTGTTGTGTTGGCATTTCATGTTGTGTTACTATATCAATATCGATTGTCGCTATATAGTTGTATCAATCACACATCATGATCATATGTCATGGTTGACTCGTATTCTGGATTGATGTACACATTGTATTGTATTGCATCACTCGAACACGAACACGAACTTTGTATGACTCGTTGAGCAGCTTGTTCAATAACTCGTTGTATGACTCGTATATACACTGCAATTGGATCCAGTCACTCGACATTACAACACTGTCCACATACAACCTGATTGTGATGGTGGTTGTCGATCTGATTGTCGTGTCGATATGTATGTCGAGTATGTACATCCGAGTGATCAAGCCATACATGTATATGCACACAATACATACAATACACACCAGTTGCATTGATCAGCATGTGTCAACTGGTCAATATCGTCAACCTGGTTATACACGCACTTGACATGTATATCTGGACAGTGATCATTGTACAATCCAGGCTGTTGTGCAAACCATATATGACCAGTCATGTCAAGTATCCAATCAAATATCCAGTCATGAATACAACTAGGAATACAAACTCGGGTAGTCCGAGTATCGATCAACAACTGCAATCGATATCAAACTACCATGTACAATCGATTGCAGTCCATACCAGTTATAGTCAATCACACATGTCACACATGTCATGGTGTATGTATATTTAACGTCAAATGATAATCAAAGTTTATTGTAAATTAAATCAAAATGATAGTTGAAACAGTTGAGCCAGATCAGATTAGAATTCAAATCAATTGGATCAATTGTATTGATTGATACGCCTCTTGATTAAAATATGATGACCCCATCGTTGAATCTGGAAAAGTTTTTTGTAAATTGAAAAAACTCCAGATATTTTCACCAATGTCAGATATTTAATATTAAGATATTAATAACCTTATCGTCGAGCACCAGGATATTGATAGCTCTGTCGCCAAGCACCGGGATATTGATAACCTTGTCGCCAAGTGCCAGGATATTGATAGCTCTGTTGTCGAGAACCAGGATATTGATAGCCCTGTTGTCGAGCACCAGGATATTGATAGCCCTGTTGTCGAGAACCAGGATATTGATAGCCTTGTCGTCGAGCACCAGAATATTGAGAACTTTGTTGTGGTGGTCGACTAGCAAATTCCTTTTCAAATTCGCGGATGCAATTCAAAATTGTGGGGTTTGATTCGAGGAGTGTCATACGAGAATTCACTAGTTTGCTATTTGAAGCTCCCCCGAAAAAGTGATTCACAAGGTTGTTTCGTTCCTGATTCACTGCCGAAGATGACAATCTATAATAGTAATTAGACTTACTAGACTGTTCTTTAAGTTTGGAGAGAATGAAATATTGTTCACTAAGCTCGTGATTTGGATTGGCACTGATTTCCCAAGATCTACTTTGAAAGCGTTTAGGGTCCTCACCCAGCCCAATTAATAGGTTTGCCTGAGCATTATACACAGATTGTACCAAGCCGTGTAGTTTGCTTGCCTTTTTATGGTACTCTTTTTTTGCTACAAAGGTTTTGATAACAGACCTATCACGGGTTGAAAGCGAGTTAATGCCAGCTAATCCTGCATCTCGTGCACTATGACCTGTTGAAATTTTAGGCACAGTGCTTATAGTTGTAATGGGAGGGGCTGGTTTAGCTGTAGTAACTGAGCAAGTAAGCAGGATTGATGACAATACAGCGGTTGATAGTTTCATTTTACTGGTTTGGTTAGGCAAGTTGTGAACAGTTTCGTTCAGCAGGTTGGGTTGATTGTATTTATACCCATTGAGTGGATAGTATTAAAAGCATACTTTTGGGTAGCCGTCCTAAGGGACTAGTACTACTGTCAGGGTTGGTAGCAGTTTGTTGCTATCAATGTTAGACTTTGAAGGGCTCCTCCCTTTATGGTAGCCTGTAGTCTTGGACAGACTATTGCTTGTGTATTCAAACGTATAGTTGGTTGTGTAATTTCCCGCCCTTACTCGCCCTAAAAGGGTCAGTGAGCTACAGCCTAAGAAACCAGTACAAGCCAAGACTCTATGCAACTGAGCTGACATCCAGTTATTAGTTGATCATCAATGTGTTGTGATATTGTATGGTTTACAATCACAGTTGATTGACATGATTCAACCACAATGTCACATTGATGATCAGTGACTTGCAACTGTTGTGTTGGCATTGCATGTTGTGTGATACTATATCAACATCGATTGTCACTATATAGCTGTATCAATCACACATCATGATCATATGTCATGGTTGACTCGTATTCTGGATTGATGTACACATTGTATTGTATTGCATCACTCGAACACGAACTTTGTATGACTCGTTGAGCAACTTGTTCAATAACTCGTTGTATGACTCGTATATACACTGCAATTGGATCCAGTCACTCGACATTACAACATGATCCACATACAACCTGATTGTGATGGTGGTTGTCGATCTGATTGTCGTGTCAGTATGTATGTCGAGTATGTACATCCGAGTGATCAAGCCATACATGTATATACATACAATACACACCAGTTGCATTGATCAGCATGTGTCAACTGGTCAATATCGTCAACCTGATTATACACGCACTTGACATGTATATCTGGACAGTGATCATTGTACAATCCAGACTGTTGTGCAAACCATATATGACCAGTCATGTCAAGTATCCAATCAAACATCCAGTCATGAATACAACCAGGAATACAAATTCGGGTAGTTCGAGTATCGATCAACAACTGCGATCGATATCAAACTATCGTGCACAATCGATTGTAATCCACACCAGTTATGGTCAATCACACATGTCACACATGTCATGGTGTATGTATATCTAATGTCAAATGATAATCAAAGTTTATTGTAAATTAAATCAGAATGACAGTTGAAACAGTTGAGCCAGATCAGATTAGAATTCAAATCAATTGGATTAATTGATACGCCTGATTCGATTGACAAACGATCTAAACCTATGACCAAGTCTGGAGAAACCCTCACGTATACCAGAGGAAGCTCTTTGCCCAAAGGAACGAGATCCAGGCGGTATTACTGGTAATACTCGTGGGATTTGTTGTTGCTCTTGTTGTTCTTGCTGTTGTTCTTGTTCCTGCTCTTGCTCTTGTTGTTGCTGTTGTTGTGGTTCTTGTTCTTGCTGTTGTTGTGGGGTTTGTTTAGCACCAGAATCTTGACCAAAGCTATTTTTGCATTCTGATGATTTACCGACACATAGTCCTTGAAGGTATTCCCTAACGACAGGATTTGAGTCGATATGCGAAAGTAGCTCATCAAGTGGTCGAGAATCCCAAAGGCCTCCGAAAAAGTACTTTAGGAGTTCCTCTCGTAGGAGATTCAGTTCACGAAGGAGACGATCACAATAATTATTGCACTCCTTTTCTGATTTTTCAAGCTTGACAAGTATGGAACTCCCGCTCTGAAGATTACGCTCAATCTCCTGAAGTTTAGCATTGAGATTGTCATCGTCATCGCCATTGCCATTGCTTTTCAAAAGTGCATTTTTGGACTTGACAACTTTTATTTCCTGAAGTTTTACTTCTTTCTGCTGCTTATAAGATTTAATCTCTATTTCTTCGCATGTTATTTTTTGTTGATTATAATTATGTTGCTTTTTTACGATTTTTTTGAGCAACTCCTTGATATTATCTGAAAGTGAAACAAGACTACCCAAGTCTACACCGTTTGTATTAGGAGTTGTAGAGGGGTTGGACTGGGTACTTTTAGCCTTACTGGGACGGATCGGTTTGGCGATAGTAACTGAGCAAACAAGCAGGATTGATGATAGTACAGCGATTGGTAGTTTCATTTTACTGGTTTGATTAAAAAAGTTGTGGACGATCGTTATTCAACAGGTCGGATTTAGATGGTATTTATGTCGGTTATTGAGTGGATAATATTAAAAAGCATATTTCCTGGATGACCGTCTTAAGGGATTGGTGTTACTGGCAGGGTTGGTGTTGATTTGCTATCAATGTCAAAGCGACTCAAGAAATCTCCCTTTATATGGTGGCATGTAACTTTGGTTGAACCGCTGTTTGGCTATACACTCAAACATCGTATGGTTGATTGTATAGTTTCCCACCCTTCCGCCCTAAACAGGGTCAGTGAGCCACAATCTAAAAAATCAGTGTATGCTATGTAAACCTGTAAACCTATGTGGGACTGAGCTGACATCCAGTTATTAGTTGTTCATCAATGGATTCAATCAATCAATTGAATCAATACAATGTAGTTCATGTTGCAACCACAATGTCACATTGATGATCAGTGACTTGCAATTGCTGTGTTGGCATTGCATGTTGTGTTGCTATATCAATATCGATTGTCACTATATAGCTGTATTGACTACACATCATGATCATATGTCATGGTTGACTCGTATTCTGGATTGATGTACACATTGTATTGTATTGCATCACTCGAACACGAACTTGGTATGACTCGTTGAGCAACTTGTTCAATAACTCGTTGTATGACTCGTATATACACTGTAATTGGATCCAGTCACTCGACATTACAACACTGTCCACATACAACCTGATTGTGATGGTGGTTGTCGATCTGATTGTCGTGTTGGTATGTATGTCGAGTATGTACATCCGAGTGATCAAGCCATACATGTATATGCACACAATACATACAATACACACCAGTTGCGTTGATCAGCATGTGTCAACTGGCCAATATCGTCAACCTGGTTATACACGCACTTGACATGTATATCTGGACAGTGATCATTGTACAATCCAGACTGTTGTGCAAACCATATATGACCAGTCATGTCAAGTATCCAATCAAACATCCAGTCATGAATACAGCCAGGAATACAAACTCGGGTAGTCCGAGTATCGATCAACAACTGCAATCGATATCAAACTATCGTGCACAATCGATTGTAATCCACACCAGTTATAGCCAATCACACATGTCACACATGTCATGATGTATGTATATCCAATGTCAAATGACAATCAAAGTTTATTGTAAATTAAATCAGAATGACAGTTGAAATAGTTGAGCCAGATCAGATTAGAATTCAAATCAATTGTATTGTCTCGCGCCAAGATCATTTAAAAAATGATTTAAGCCTATTCATAAATTTAAAAGTTCCCTGTGAATTGAAGGAGGTTTGAGTGGGACGAACTTTGGACGGTATTTGTGACTGCTGCGAATGTTTAGGAATTGTATTGCTATGTGATGAAGATTGACGGTTTTGTTGGGCACTAAGTTTTTGAAGTTTTTTAAGTTTTCGTTGTGGTTTATTCTGGAATTTTTTACGAGAACACTCCTTACAACCTGATGATAGTTTATCGATGGATTCTAATTTGTAGAGATATTCCTTAACGAGGGAGTGTGAGAGGATAAGCAAAAGTTGCTCATTGAGTGATCTAAAATTGAAAGGTTTTCCGGAAAAGCACTCCACAAGACTTATTTTGATAAGCTCTAGTTCAAAATTAAGACGACCACTATCAATATTGCATTCCTCATGACTCTTTTCAAGATCTTCAAGTTTGGAATGCTGTTTTCCAAGCTCAAGCTCGAGTTCTTGAACTTGACGATTATAATTTGGATTGCCATTGCTTTTCAAAAGTGCACTTTTCAAATCGTCGATTCTTTTCTTGAGATCCTTTATCAACTGCCGTTGATCCTCAAGTTGAAGCTTTATCAATTTGCATTTTTCTCCATGTTCATCAAAACCATGTTGTTTTTTTGAGTAACTTTCAAGCAAATTCTCCATGCCATCTGAAAGTAAATCAAGACTACTCAAGCCTGCGCCGCTTGTATTGGGAGTTTCAGAGGGGTTAAACTCGGTACTTGTAGTTACACTGGGAATGACTGTCGAGAAGCTAGATTCATCATATGTGGTCGTACTGGGATGGATTGGTTTGGCTGTAGTGACTGAACAAATAAGCAGGATTGATGATAGTACAGCGGTTGATAGTTTCATTTTACTGGTTTGGTTAGGCAAGTTGTGAATAGTTTCGTTCAGCAGGCCGAGTTTAGATTGTATTTATATCCAGCTGAGTGGATAATATTAAAAAGCATATTTCCTGGAGACCGTCCTAAGGGATCGGTGCTACTGTCAGGGTTGGTAGCAGTTTGTTGCTATCAATGCTAAACTCAAGAGGGATCTCCCTTGTATGACGATCCGTGAGCTTGGTTGAACTATTGTTCATCTGTGTATTCAAACGTACAGTTGAATATGTAGCTTCCCACCCTTATTTACCCCCAAAAGGGTCAGTGAGCCACAATCTAGGAAATCAGTACAAGCCAAGACTCTATGCAACTGAGCTGACATCCAGTTATTAGTTGGTCATCAATGTGTTGTGATATTGTATGGTTTACAATCACAATTGATTGACATGTTACAACCACAATGTCACATTGATGATCAGTGACTTGCAACTGTTGTGTTGGCATTTCATGTTGTGTGTTACTATATCAACATCGATTGTCATTATATAGCTGTATTGACTACACATCATGATCATATGTCATGGTTGACTCGTATTCTGGATTGATGTACACATTGTATTGTATTGCATCACTCGAACACGAACACGAACTTTGTATGACTCGTTGAGCAACTTGTTCAATAACTCGTTGTATGACTCGTATATATACTGCAATTGGATCCAGTCACTCGACATTACAACACTGTCCACATACAACCTGATTGTGATGGTGGTTGTCAATCTGATTGTCGTGTCAGTATATGTCGAGCATGTACATCCGAGTGATCAAGCCATACATGTATATGCACACAATACACACCAGTTGCATTGATCAGCATGTGTCAACTGGTCAATATCGTCAACCTGATTATACACGCACTTGACATGTATATCTGGACAGTGATCATTGTACAATCCAGACTGTTGTGCAAACCATATATGACCAGTCATGTCAAGTATCCAATCAAACATCCAGTCATGAATACAACCAGAAATACAAACTCGGGTAGTCCGAGTATCGATCAACAACTGCGATCGATATCAAACTACCATGCACAATCGATTGTAATCCACACCAGTTATAGTCAATCACACATGTCACACATGTCATGGTGTATGTTGATATGTTGCATTTGAATACATGACATGATGGTCAATGTCAATCACACACAACTGGTAATGCATGACCAATGATGGCACTCGACGACTGCAACAATCGATACCAACCATATTGAGTGTGTTGATACATTGCATTGACATTGAATGCACGATATCAACAGTGTAATATGATGTACTGCTGAAAGTGTACCATACCGTGTATGTAGTGGTTCAGTAAACCATACACATCATTATCATGCAAACACGATGATCAATAATGCAATAGTATGCTTGACATGATTGTATTGCATCAGTCGACTCTATACGATCACTATATACACCAATGTGTGCATATTGGACACAATGGACACAATGGACACAGTGTCAATATGTGATGGTTGTCGTTGTTGATTGTTGGTTGTGTGATGATCATATTGTTGGCATTGTATATCCAAGTTGTAATACATGACAGTTTAAATCGACGCGATCCAAGACAAATGTGGACATCAACTATACATTGGATCGAGTATTTACAGTGTAATTTGGTATGTACAAGTATGTACGGACATGCACAGGTATGAACATGCATGTCAATGTGTGATCAGTCCAACTCAACTAATCAAACAGCCATGTATACAAATTGTTGTCAGTTACATCGAGTGATGGTCTAAGTAGGTCGATTCAGATGGGTTGCATATAACCGACTAATCCAGCATCCATCCATTGTCAAACAACCATAATGCACAATACCACCAAGTGTGCAATTACACTCGCACTGATCAGTCGTTGTACAGTATGCATCGGTCAATGTCAAACATATGTGTGTCTGTAACTAAATTGCAGTCCATGACACATCCACACGATCCAACATGACAAATCATGTATTGAGTCCGAGATTGATTCAAAACCTGATCATGGTAAACACAGCATGTTGTTGCATATCAGACTCGATATATCAAGTGACAGTTGCACACTGGCTGATGGTGCACAGCGTATCAGTCACAATACATGCACGGTACTGCATTGCAGTCATTGGATGACAGCCGTTTGCAATGTGATACCGATCGACATACATCAGCATGGTGTGATGTGACCATAATCATGGTGTAATGTGTTGGAGTTGACATTGTGAGTTGACAATCGATACACCATGCACATGACTGGAACATATATATTCGAGTGTGATTTGGTTGGTGTCAGGTTGATCATGCAATCACATCGGTGCAACAAGTGAGCGAGCTGATGGTGATCTGAACCCATTTCAACAACAAGTATTGACAGTCATGGATTTGCTGCATTCAATATGCGTAGCACACCGTTGTTGATTGTTGACTGTGTATGCAAGTCAAGTTACCACCAACCACCAATCAGATCCAGTGCGTACATGACCATTCCTAGAATGACTGTCAAACATATTCGTGTCCAAAAGTTGATTGTGAGTTGGTGGTTTGCAAGCATTACACATAGTAGTATGCTGTTGATGCATCCAATATTTGATTTGGACTAGTAAGTTGTTTCTATCAGATTGATGAATATACAATATTGTGCTAGAAAGTCTTGCATAATATATTCATTATTTGGTATAGCCATACATTATACAATCACCAAACTCATCCATTGCAGTCCACATGTTTGGCTCAACTGCTTTGATGGTGTCAATCAAACCATAGTTTTAAATACCAGTTGAAATCATCAACTAAATGCGAATCAAGTAATCAACTCGAGATCGGCTATGAAAGCTAAAAAACCAGTGAAAGAGTCCAAGAACAAGAACAAGACAATAGTGCAATGACCATTATCAACTCGAATGATTTCATGTCGCATCAGACCATTGAAAATGCAGGTTTAAATGCGGTTTTATCCAGATCTGTACCGAGTTTCATTAAACAACCATGACAACTCTGATTGGTATGGTAAATATCCAATATCAACTTTCATTCAAATGTCTAAAACACCAAAAAATACAAAAACCTGACAAGTTTAAAAACACTTGCAATATTCCATCCATGACAAAACCAGTTCAATTTAAAAAATGGTTTGAAATTTGCATATTTCACTCGACCAAATAAAAAGTTTACATGTGTTGATTGAAATAAACTTAAACAATAGTGTATAGGATAGTTATATGCAAGTACTATATTTATTCAAACATAGTCTGGTGGTGCAATCAATGATGCATTCAGCAACATTTACAACCCATTTCAATTCATGGTAACACTCCAAGAATTGATTGTTGCTCCTTTCATCTGCACAGAAAGATCTGACTCGAACACAAAACCGACGAAAAACTGTTCCGTCTTGGTTGTCACTGGAAACTTTTTCACAAGTGCTTCGGATCCAGAAATACCGTCTGTAAGTATCCTACCACTATCCGGATCAACCGTATTCAAAAGCGATTCCACATTGTCATCCGCATCTGTGACATACAGTCCTAAAAAGTCGCTATAAAGTTGTGATTCAAGCGTGACATCAATTTCAATAGTGATGTTGGATCCAACTGGTGCAGTATAGTATGATCGGATTTCAGTGAGCATTTCGGGACTGTATTGTACTCCGTCGCCAATAACCCATTTACCATTGACCGAGTTCCATCCCTGTGACTTTTTGGTAAATGGCGAGTTGTATATTCCAACCGATTTACTGGTACCATTAAACTCCCATTTGACACCATGTTCAAGTTTAACACGATCTTGTTGTTGTGGAATGCGACTGATATGCTTATGTGTTTTGAGAACCTGTTTGCCGTTGTTTTGGCCAATGATACTGACCCGAGTATTACCAAGATCGTTGATTACAGATGCCAGTTTGAACGAGTGTTGACTTTTTATGTTGCTTTTAAAATCGGCAACTGAAAGTGATTTGCCAGTGTCATCAACAACTGACAGTTGATTGATTCCTTGAACTTCTACATCAATGGTCACGTCACTGCTAGTGGTGTTATAGTTGATAAGTTCAGAAACAAAGTAAAGATTGTTCAGTCCAGTTTTGGCACCCAGTGTTTTGAGCTGATCGGCAATACGGTCAAATTGAGAATTTTCAGTGGATCCAGACAATAGATCCGTCAAACGGGGACGTACAATATAGTCGGATACGACACCAATATCTTCGATCAATTGGCCTTGCTGTTTTCCATTACGTATATTTTGTCGAACTCCGACTGTAAGAACATTGGCATAGCTTTTTCTAGCTGTATTGTCAGTCAGCTCTTTGTAATACGGCATTGGCTTAAAATCAACGGGATTAAACGCAAGTAAAGCTGGGTCAAGCCCAAACATGTCGGCACCACCACCTCCAGTTGTTCCATCTTCGCCAAAAATATGACCAGTTTCGGACGACTGAAGTGCTGCTGAAAACACTTCGCATGCAGAGTAGCACATGGCATTAGTAAATGCACCAACAGGTTTGAGATAGGCTTGACCATACATGTTTGCTTGATTAAATGAGTTTTTGACATGATCCACAGAATACTTGCTACCAGGTGGAGTATTGTACCATGCTGGACCAGAAGTGTCAAACGATTGTGAGCCATTAACCAGAGTGTTGTATGCGACAGAGCTCATCAGATATCTCACCAGCACTGGCTGAAAATCAGGTTTGAAAAGTTGTGGAATGGCACTAGAAAACTGACCACCACCACCTGGGTTTCCACGGATATCAAATAGAATAGCATTGGTGTCTTTGAGTACAGTACTGAGAAGTCTGTGGATTTCACGAACAGCTTCCGCATTCGCTCTCGCACCAGTTTTAAGATTTCTTGGCGAAAAATCCTCCAATTTAATAATACCAAGATTCTTGGATTCGGGTTTCCAGATTCCCCAACTGATAGTCGACACGCCGGCGTTTTGGTACTCAAAAGTATGGTTTTGTGATGGCTGTCCAAGTAAAATCTGATCAATCTTTTGCTTTTTATGATGGTACTGGGATATCATTGATGGAGTTCTGATTTCTTTCCAAGTCTTCAACTGACGTTTGGCTCCAGTATCAGGTGCATCAGCGTCAATTATACTGCTAGAGTTGGTAGGCTGAGGTGTTCCAGGTAGAGTTTTTCCAGAAATTTTGGCATACAATTGACTAGTAATATTCCAGCATGATGACTCAAAACCAACAACCCACGGAGCTTCAATGTCGTACACTTTTCCAGTATCTTTTGATTTGAACCGATATTTGATCGTATCAGTTTCTGGCAAAGGAGTAAAGGCACCAAAACGAGACGTCATGTAGTCAAGAGCACCATGCTGGCCACCATAATCATTGGCACCACCTGTTTTGTCCTGGTTCAAGTTCCGATAGTCAGCAAACGGCATACCATCAACAAGAAGTAATTCGTCGCCAGCTTTGATTTGGTCATAGTCCTTTCCAAAAAAAGCACGCAAATCTTGATTCTTTGTGAATCTTTCAAAAACAACGGTTGGTTTCTTGACCATATCTGCATCGCCCTCGATAAATCTGAAAGAAAGGCCAGTTGTGGCACGGAAACAAGAATATGGTCCAGATGGCTCAAAATGGGTATGATGGTCGCGCGCAAGAATAAACGCACTCAAGAGTTCAGTCTGCATCTCAGTATCGGTAAGATTGGATGCATCCAGTTTTGCACGCAGTTTCTTGATGATCGGGAAGGGATCGGCACGCTCACCATAGTGTTTGATTTTAGATTCATAGTTGGACCACAATTTGAAACCATTTTCAACATTGGTCAGCACGACGTTTCGTTGTTCGTCAGTGTATGGCATAAAAACAAATCTGCCAGCATCACGGTGTTCTTTGATAAAGGCCCATGTAGGCATGGATTCTATAATGTATGCCAATTAGTACAGTTTTGAACGATTGCACAATCCAAACATTGATAAACCCAACATAAAATAGACTGATCAACAGATTTGCATACCAGATTTATTTCCTTGAGCATTGACAACGAACGCAACAGAAGCAATGGCTAGTAGTGAAAACTTCATCGTGACTGTAGTATACTATTGAAATGTATTTCGCAAGCGTATCAATACTATACGGATTGAGCTGTTGATTTGTAGCAGTCTGATGATGTTTGATAGTGGCTGACGACTCATTTTTATACCTTGATGGTCTTGACTGGCAATACTAATGCTTGGTATTTTTGCATCTATATGCTTTGCTCTTACTAAGATGCTTGATATTGAGCAAGATAACGAAATCGAGGTATATATTCAGAACAAATAAAGCAACGAATTTGTAGATTAACCAATCTATCCATATTATCACACATGCCATATCAATTGTATTTTACTATCCAACACAACATCCAACTCAAACTGCTGTGAATCCAGTTCAATCAATATGATGATTAATGGTGTATTGACATTTGTCAATTGTGCCAGTCCGTATATCAAATATACAGAACATATTGGCTTGTCAATAGATAATCACTTGTCAGCTGCAGCATTGCCAATAATTTATGCTCATTTAATTTAGGGTCTAACACGTGGTGATTGCATAAACCCATTTAATGAACATGCCAATTATTACAATTGTCCGGCTTGCATGCTAATGGATTGCTTGTATACCACTATGGCTGTGTATGTCGTATGTCAGCTATGTCGGATAATTGAACGTAACAAAATGTGCTGTATTTATCCATACACTATCCAATCATCATAATTTGCTTTTTAGTAAATGGTTGTCAAGTATCTTGCTCAATTCTGCCGCTTGATCTGTATTTTTTGAACTGGTTACTTGGCCAGATATGTCATTTCGGGTTGCGAGTGCCAACCTTATGAGTTCTGTTTGGTCAGGGTTATCATGCAATTGATTTGCTGTTTGTGAGCAATGTGTTTGGATGGCAATAATGGTGTTTAAAACAGCCATTGTATAACATGTATTGACTCGAAAGCAAAATGGATCCACAAACTGTCTGGCATGTATTAGGTTTCCTTTGCGTAATATGTTGAACAGTTTGATTCTGATTCCCGGTTGTTTCAAATTGGCAAGTATAAGGCAGCCAATGCTCAGATCATAACTGGACACCAGCATGAATCCAAGTGTCGAATACAGTTTAAAAGACCCCATTTTAAATGATTATGCAGCATCAAGATCTACACTATGCATGGCTTGATCAGCTACTCCTAAACCTGAATAACTATCGTATTTTTGATTGCATTACCAATGTCGTGGACACCATACTCTTGAACCATATCAACATTCATGAATAATCATGTATGCTGTATAACACTGGATTACTATTGACTGAAACAACTTTTATACTCTGTTGTTGTACACGTTGGTTATTGATATATTGCACATGTTGATCTACCAAGTGATTAGTTCAATCCAGTATACTGACGACAAATGGGATCCAATACAAGATAATGAGCATTGACAAATGTAATATTTGACAGTATAACCGAGCCTTTGTGCTTGGACGAGACGAACCACAATATAATCAATAATAATACCAACCAAGATTAACAGATTATACTAGTGTATAAAACAGTGTTGGCTGGATTGAATTGTTGGTTTATTTGTTGATTTACAGTTGTTTTTTGAATGGATTTATTTAAAATAAACTCGGGTATTGAGACATGAAATGATCTCATGTGAACAGGCTGTAATCGTACAAGCATATTCTGGTGGTGTTACAAGTGTGTTGGTCAACTGTTGTATGGCAGTCCCAGTGATGGTGTCAGGGTTGTGTTTGTTACCAATGGTACGCTACCAGCACAAACTCAACTAATCCAACAGCCATGTATACACATTGTTGTCAGTTACATCGAGTGTTTGTTCAAATAGGTCGATTCAAATGGGTTGCATATAACCGACTAATCCAGCATTCATCCATTGTCAAACAACTATAATGCACAATACCACCAAGTGTGCAATTACACCTGCACTGATCAGTCGTTGCACAGTATGCATCGGTCAATGTCAAACATATGTGTGTCTGCAACTAAATTGCAGTCCATGACACATCCACACGATCCAACATGTCAAATCATGTATTGTGAGTCCAAGATTGATCAAAAACCTGATCATGGTAAACACAGCATGTTGTTGCATATCAGACTCGATATATCAAGTGACAGTTGCACACTGGCTGATGGTGCACAGCGTATCAGTCACAATACATGCACGGTACTGCATTGCAGTCATTGGATGATAGTCTGTTGCAATGTGATACCGATCGACATACATTGACATGGTGTGATGTGACCATAATCATAGTGGAATGTGTTGGAGTTGACCTGTTTTGTACCGAGTTGGGTCATGGCTGTCACAAGTTTTATATTGATCCAGATCTGAATGGGTAGTTTATTGACATAAATGTGTACAAATATGCAATATACAATGTGCTGTATTGTATTGGAAATATACAAGTGTCAAAACACAATATCATGCTGACCAAGACTGTAGAATAATCAGATACAATGCATGTAAATTCAGTTTTATTGTAAGCTAAATCAGAAATGCAGTTATAGAATGACAATCGAATGGGTTGGGACCAGACCACACTAGCATTCAAATCAGTTGTATGAATTAATACGTCTGATTTGCCTAAGTGATCTAATTCCACTACCAAATCTGGAAGAAACTGTATGTCTGATGGAACGAGATACAGATGGTATTGCTGGTGATGGTTGCAAACCTTAGTTTTCTTGTTCAGCATCAGCATCAGGATCTTGCTCAGCATCGGGACCTTGTTGTTCAGCATCGGGACCTTGTTGTTCAGCATCGGGACCTTGTTGTTCAGCATCAGGATCTTGTTCAGTATCAGAATCAGAATCATAATCAGAGCTAGGATTTTGAGCAAGTCGCATACTGCCTGTTTGACCAAAGCCCTTCTTGCATGTTTTTTTACTTATTTTTAAAAGGTATTTTTTAACGAGAGATTTTGATACGGTACGGCTAAAATAGTCCTCGAGGTGTTCAGGATCGAAAGGTCCTTTAAAAACAAACTGAACGACCTTTTCTTTGCAATGCTTCAGTTTATTCTTGCAAGATTTCAGTTTGGATTGACACTTTTTAGCCTTTTTTTTAAGATCTTCAAGTTTGGATTTTTCTTTGTAAAGTCGACGCTTATGTCTCTTTGCATTAAGATCATTGCTGTATTTTGAGTTCCTAAGACGAATTTCCTCAGGTCCATTTTCCAAAGCTTGAATGTCTTTCTCCAAAGCCTTTACTAGCTTCTCTTGATCCTCAATTTCAAGATCTATCAATTCGCAATCTTCTTCTTGTTTAGTACATTCATGATTTCTGTTTGAGTAGTTTTTGAGCAATTCCTTCATATCCTTTGAAAATGGAGCATGACGACCAAGGCCTGCGCTGCTTGTATTGGGAGTTTCAGATGGGTTAGACTCGGTACTTGTAGTTGAACTGGGAACAACTGTCGAAGAGACATGGTCTGTACTTGCAGTCGTACTGGGATGAACCGGTTTGGCGATAGTAACTGAGCAAGTAAGCAGGATTGATGATAGTACAGCAACTGATAGTTTCATTTTACTGGTTTGATTAAAAAAGTTGTGGACGATTGTCGTTCAACAGGTTGGGTTTGTATTGTATTTATATCGGCTATTGGATGTATAGTGTTGAAAGCATATTTCTTGGGTAGCCTTCCTAAGGGATTAGTGTTACTGACAGGGTTGGTGCCGATTTGCTATCAGTGTCAAACTTTGAAGGACCTCCCTTTATATGACGATCCGCGATTTTTGTTAAACCGCTGCTTAGTTATGTATTCAAATGTGGCTGATTGATTGTGTAGCTTCTTGCCCTTATTTACCCTAAAAAGGGTCAGTGAGTTACAACCTAAAAATAAGCACAGTCCATGCAAACCTCCAAACCTGTATGCGATTGAGCTGACACAGTTATTAGTTGGTCATCAATGTGTTGTGATATTGTATGATTTGCAATCACAGTTGACTGGCATGATTCAACCACAATGTCACATTGATGATCAGTGACTTGCAACTGTTGTGTTGGCATTGCATGTTGTGATACTATATCAATATCGATTGTCACTATATAGTTGTATCAACCACACATCATGATCATATGTCATGATTGACTCGTATTCTGGATTGATGTACACATTGTATTGTATTGCATCACTCGAACACGAACACGAACTTTGTATGACTCGTTGAGCAACTTGTTCAATAACTCGTTGTATGACTCGTATATACACTGCAATTGGATCCAGTCACTCGACATTACAACACTGTCCACATACAACCTGATTGTGATGGTGGTTGTCAATCTGATTGTCGTGTCGGTGTATATGTCGAGTATGTACATCCGAGTGATCAAGCCATACATGTATATGCACACAATACATACAATACACACCAGTTGCGTTGATCAGCATGTGTCAACTGGTCAATATCGTCAACCTGGTTATACATGCACTTGACATGTACATCTGGACAGTAATCATTGTACAATCCAGACTGTTGTGCAAACCATATATGACCAGTCGTGTCAAGTATCCAATCAAACATCCAGTCATGAATACAACCAGGAATACAAACTCGGGTAGTTCGAGTATCGATCAACAACTGCAATCGATATCAAACTACCATGCACAATTGATTGTAATCCACACCAGTTGTAGTCAATCACACATGTCACATGTCATGGTGTATGTTGATATGTTGCATTTGAATACATGACATGATGGTCAATGTCAATCACACACAACTGGTAATGCATGACCAATGACGGCACTCGACGACTGCAACAATCAACACCAACCATATCAAGTGTGTTGATACATTGCATTAACATTGAATGCAAGATATCAACAGTGTAATATGATATACTGCTGCAAGTATATCATGACGTGTATGTGGTGGTTCAGTCAACCATACACACCATTATCATGCAAACACGATGATCAACAATGCAATAGTATGCTTGACATGATTGTATTGCATCAGTCGACTCTATACGATCATTATATACACCAATGTGTGCATATTGGATACAATGGATACAATGGACACAGTGTCAATATGTGATGGTTGTCGTTGTTGATTGTTGGTTGCGTGATGATCATATTGTTGGCATTGTATATCCAAGTTGTAATACATGACAGTTTAAATCGACGCGATCCAAGACAAATGTGAACATCAACTATACATTGGATCGAGTATTTACAGTGTAGTTTGGTATGTACAAGTATGTACAAGTATGCACAGGTATGTCAATGTGTGATCAGTCAGGTTATTGATACAAGTATTGACACCATCATCAACGAGTCAAATTGATCAAATTGATCAAATTGATCAGATCTGACACCAACACACATGACTGTTGTTGGTATTTGTGTTGCATGTCATGTGTCAATACTACATGTCAAGCAATACTATATTGACACAGTACACATGTATGTCAGAACCATCAATGTGTACAAATATGTAGTATAGAATAAATGTATTGTATTAAAAATGCAAGTGTCAAAACACAATATGATGATGAGCAATACTGTAGAATAATCAGATACAATACATGCAAGTTTAAATGAAAATCCAAGTTTATTGCAAGTTGAATCAGAATGACAGTTGAAGCGGTTGAAACCAGTCCAGATTAACATTCGGATCGATTACCACATCTGAGTCGTTCGACAAGCGATCTAAGCCCATCACCAAGTCTGGAGACAACATTACGCACACCAGAGTAAGCTCTTTCTCCAAGAGAGGTAAATCTTTGTCCAAAGGAGCTAAATCCAGACTGTGGTTGTGGATTTTGACGTTGTTTTTCATCACTAGGATCGTTAAGATCAATATCTTCAAAATCTTCAAAATTAAGTTCTTCGAGAGTAAACCTTTGTTTTTGTTGTTCATCACTGCATGCTGATGATTGTTCACCACCACATAGTCCTTCAAGGTATTGTTTAACGGGAGGATGTGAAAGGATAGGTAAAAGCTGGGAATCGAGTGATTCAAGATCGAGAGTTTTTCTGGAAACTAGCTTGATGAGATTTATTTTGGCGAAATCCAGCTGTTGATTAACATGAGTCTGCTCGAGTATACACTTGTTCTTTTTTCTTTGAAGATCAGCAATTTTAGAGTATCCTTCTGCAATCTCACGCTCAAGTTTTTTCATCATATCCATATACTTTGAACGGTCGCGACTATTTTTGTGGAATTCAAGTCTCAAATTGCCAAACCTTTCCCCCAAGCGTTTCACCAGGTTCTGTTGATCCTCAAGTTGAAGGTCTATCAACTCGCATTCTTTTGTATGCCTATCATGGTCATGTTTTCTTTTTGAGTATTCTCTGAGAAAATTCTTAGTTTTAGCTGAAAGTGGAACACGACTACTCAAGTTTATACCGCTTGTATTAGGATTTGACGAAGGACCATATTTTGGAGTTGTAGCTACAGTAGAAAAAACTGGATTGGCAATAGTAACTGAGCAAACAAGTAGGATCGATGACAGTACGGCGATCGGTAGTTTCATTTTACTGGTTTGATCGAGTTGCGGATGATTATCATTCAACAGGTCGGATTTGGATCGTATTTATGTCGGTTGTTGAGTGGATAATATTAAAAGCATATTTCTTGGAGACCTTCCTAAGGGATTAGCTTTATTGTCAGGGTTGGTGTTGATTTGCTATCAATTTCAAGGCGACTCAAAAGGGATCTCCCTTTATGACAATCTATAATTTTTACTGAGCCACTGTTCGGCTATACATCTAAACATCGTACGATTGATTGATCAATTATGTAGTTCCTCACCCTTATTCACCCTAACCCTGATTAGTGTCAAATCATAATCAAATAAGCACAGTCCATGCAAATCTGTAAACCTATGTGGGACTGAGCTGATATTCAGTTATTAGCTGTTCATCAATGGATTCAATCAATCAATTGAATCAATACAATCCAGTTCATGTTACAACCACAATGTCACATTGATGATCAGTGACTTGCAACTGCTGTGTTGGCATTTCATGTTGTGTGTTACTATATCAACATCGATTGTCACTATATAGCTGTATTGACTACGCATCATGATCATATGTCATGGTTGACTCGTATTCTGGATTGATGTACACATTGTATTGTATTGCATCACTCGAACACAAACACGAACTTTGTATGACTCGTTGAGCAACTTGTTCAATAACTCGTTGTATGACTCGTATATACACTGCAATTGGATCCAGTCACTCGACATTACAACACTGTCCACATACAACCTGATTGTGATGGTGGCTGTCGATCTGATTGTCGTGTCAGTTTATATGTCGAGTATGTATATCCGAGTGATCAAGCCATACAT